GCAATGGATTACGCATAATTTTAAAATTTTGTACCCATCGACTCAATTTTTGTGAGTTTTAAGAACTTTTATATCAAATCAATAAAATCTCTCCCCACTTGGGCGGAAAGCATGTGACTAACGTTTGAAAAGTGTATATATTTACGATTTTTACCTATGCCGATATTTGAGAAATAGGCACTTTTCAGCAATGGATTACGCATAATTTTAAAATTTTGTACCCATCGACTCAAGTTGTTTTGTGTAGACTTTTAAAACTTATCAATATCAAATAAAATCTCCCCACTTGGGCGGAAAGCGATGTGACTAATCGTTTGAAAAGTGTATATATTTACGATTTTTAACCTATCCGATATTTGAGAAATAGGCACTTTTCAGCAATGGATTACGCATAATTTTAAAATTTTGTACCCATCGACTCAATTGTATTGTGTGAGTTTAAGAACTTTTTAGTATCAATCAATAAAATCTCTGCCACTTGGGCGGAAAGACATGTGAGTAATGTTTGAAAAGTGAATTTTACGATTTTTCACCTATGACATATATGCGAAATAGGCACTTTTCAGCAATGGATTACGCATAATTTTAAAATTTTGTACCCATCGACTCAATTGTTTGTGTAGTTTAAGAACTTTTATATCAATCAATAAAATCTCTGCCACTTGGGCGGAAAGACATGTGAGTAATGTTTGAAAAGTGCATTTTTACGATTTTTCACCTATGACGATATAGGCGAAAATAGGCTTTTCAGCAATGGATTACGCATAATTTTAAAATTTTGTACCCATCGACTCATAATTGTGTAGAGTTTAAGAACTTTTAATATCAATAATAAAATCTCTGCCACTTGGGCGGAAAGACATGTGAGTAATGTTTGAAAAGTGTATATATTTACGATTTTTGACCTATGCCGATATTTGAGAAATAGGCACTTTTCAGCAATGGATTACGCATAATTTTAAAATTTTGTACCCATCGACTCAAGTTGTTTTGTAGATTTAAGAACTTTTATATCAATAATAAAATCTCTGCCACTTGGGCGGAAAGACATGTGACTAATGTTTGAAAAGTGTATATATTTACGATTTTTACCTATCCGATATTGAGAAATAGGCACTTTTCAGCAATGGATTACGCATAATTTTAAAATTTTGTACCCATCGACTCAAGTTGTTTTGTGTAGACTTTTAGAACCTTATCAATATCAAATAATAAAATCTCTCCCACTTGGGCGGAAAGCATGTGACATCGTTTGAAAAGTGTATATATTTACGATTTTTACCTATGCCATTTTGAGAAATAGGCACTTTTCAGCAATGGATTACGCATAATTTTAAAATTTTGTACCCATCGACTCAAGTTGTTTTGTGTAGACTTTTAGAACCTTATCAATATCAAATAATAAAATCTCTCCCCACTTGGGCGGAAAGCGATGTGACTAACGTTTGAAAAGTGTATATATTTACGATTTTTCACCTATCCGATATTTTAGAAATAGGCACTTTTCAGCAATGGATTACGCATAATTTTAAAATTTTGTACCCATCGACTCAAGTTGTTTTGTGTAGACTTTTAAAACCTTATCAATATCAAATAATAAAATCTCTCCCCACTTGGGCGGAAAGCATGTGACTATCGTTTGAAAAGTGTATATATTTACGATTTTTACCTATGCCATATTTGAGAAATAGGCACTTTTCAGCAATGGATTACGCATAATTTTAAAATTTTGTACCCATCGACTCAAGTTGTTTTGTGTAGATTTAAGAACCTTTAATATCAATAATAAAATCTCTCCACTTGGGCGGAAAGCATGTGACTAACGTTTGAAAAGTGTATATTTACGATTTTTACCTATGCCGATATTTGAGAAATAGGCACTTTTCAGCAATGGATTACGCATAATTTTAAAATTTTGTACCCATCGACTCAAGTTGTTTTGTGTAGACTTTTAAAACTTATCAATATCAATAATAAAATCTCTCCCCACTTGGGCGGAAAGCATGTGACTAACGTTTGAAAAGTGTATATATTTACGATTTTTACCTATCCGATATTTGAGAAATAGGCACTTTTCAGCAATGGATTACGCATAATTTTAAAATTTTGTACCCATCGACTCAATTGTTTGTGTAGTTTAGAACTTTTTTATATCAATCAATAAAATCTCTGCCACTTGGGCGGAAAGACATGTGACTAATGTTTGAAAAGTGTATTTTACGATTTTTCACCTATGCCATATTGCGAAATAGGCACTTTTCAGCAATGGATTACGCATAATTTTAAAATTTTGTACCCATCGACTCAATTGTTTGTGTAGTTTAGAATTTTATATCAATCAATAAAATCTCTGCCACTTGGGCGGAAAGCATGTGAGTAATGTTTGAAAAGTGTATTTTTACGATTTTTCACCTATGACGATATGAAAATAGGCTTTTCAGCAATGGATTACGCATAATTTTAAAATTTTGTACCCATCGACTCAATTGTTTGTGTAGAGTTTAAGAATTTAATATCAATCAATAAAATCTCTGCCACTTGGGCGGAAAGCATGTGACTAACGTTTGAAAAGTGTATATATTTACGATTTTTACCTATGCCGATATTTGAGAAATAGGCACTTTTCAGCAATGGATTACGCATAATTTTAAAATTTTGTACCCATCGACTCAATTGTTGTGTAGATTTAAGAACTTTTCAATATCAAATAATAAAATCTCTCCCCACTTGGGCGGAAAGATGTGACTAACGTTTGAAAAGTGTATATATTTACGATTTTTGACCTATGCCGATATTTGAGAAATAGGCACTTTTCAGCAATGGATTACGCATAATTTTAAAATTTTGTACCCATCGACTCAAGTTGTTTTGTGTAGACTTTTAGAACCTTATCAATATCAAATAATAAAATCTCTCCCCACTTGGGCGGAAAGCATGTGACTAACGTTTGAAAAGTGTATATTTTACGATTTTTACCTATGCCATTATTTGAGAAATAGGCACTTTTCAGCAATGGATTACGCATAATTTTAAAATTTTGTACCCATCGACTCAAGTTGTTTTGTGTAGACTTTTAGAACCTTATCAATATCAAATAATAAAATCTCTCCCCACTTGGGCGGAAAGCGATGTGACTCGTTTGAAAAGTGTATAATTTACGATTTTCACCTATGATATTTGAGAAATAGGCACTTTTCAGCAATGGATTACGCATAATTTTAAAATTTTGTACCCATCGACTCAATTGTTTTGTGTAGACTTTTAGAACCTCCTCAATATCAAATAATAAAATCTCCCCACTTGGGCGGAAAGCGATGTGACTAACGTTTGAAAAGTGTATATTTTACGATTTTTCACCTATGCCGATATTTGAGAAATAGGCATTTCAGCAATGGATTACGCATAATTTTAAAATTTTGTACCCATCGACTCAAGTGTTTTGTGTAGACTTTTAAAACCTTATCAATATCTAATAAAATCTCTCCCCACTTGGGCGGAAAGCATGTGACTCGTTTGAAAAGTGTATATTTACGATTTTTCACCTATGCCATTATTGAGAAATAGGCACTTTTCAGCAATGGATTACGCATAATTTTAAAAATTTGTACCCATCGACTCCAATTTTATTGTGTGGAGTTTAAGAACTTTTTTAGTATCAATCAATGAAATCTCGTGCCACTTGGGCGGAAAGACATGTGTGTAATTTTTGAAAAGTGCATAATTTTACGATTTTTCACCTTTGACGATATAGGCGAAAAATGCTTTTTTCAGCAATTGAGAACACATAATTTTAAAATTTTGTACCCATCGACTTCATATGTATTGTGTAGAGTTTAAGAACTTTTTTAATATCAATCAATAAAATCTCGTGCCACTTGGGCGGAAAGACATGTGAGTAATGTTTGAAAAGTGCATAATTTTACGATTTTTCACCTATGACAATATACGCCAAATAGGCTTTTTTCAGCAATGGATTACGCATAATTTTAAAACTTTGTACCCATCGACTTCAATTGTATTGTGTAGAGTGTATGAATCTTTTTATATCAATCAATAAAATCCTCTTTTGTCATGTGTCCTTATTTCTGTTTTATTTCAAGGGTAGAGGTTCTTATTCCGGGCGCTCGGGTTGGGCAATTGAAATGATTGATTTGACAGAAATTATATTAGAATCTTATTGATTGCTAGGCGAATTAGTGACAACAACAACAGCAAATTATTGCCACAATAGCCAAGATCAGTTCGTTTATCTAGAAGCAAAATACAACTTAGAAGTGAGATGGAACTAATAGTTTTTAGGACTAAAGAACTTATGTAGAAAATCTTTGCTAATGAAAAGTATGATTGGACCCTGGTCGCTCTGGCATGAATACATTTTGGTTCATTACATTTCGTTCTTTGTTATCTTATGATTATGTTTCCCTGTTGTCCTCATTGTGGAGTTAATATCGATGGCAGCCCTGGCTATAGGACTTAGGCCTGTAATTGTCCTGGTTTTAAAACCTTTTCAAAGTCGTATATGGATACGTGGTTCTCACGTTATAGTAGCACTGGCATTAATAATGGTATATTCTCTGAGAGTAAACTCCTTTGATTACGAATCTTATTAACTGACTTGCTCAGATCCTATTTTGTTAGTCGGGTGAATACTTTTTTGATAAGGTATTTAGAAAATACGGTATATTCCTTGAAATTCTTATCCCTAAGTTACCGTAAAATGTACTTGAATTTACCGCTTATCGGGATGTATTTAGTTCATATCCCAAATTCGAGAGAATTTTCTCCGTGTTGAATTTAGGACTCGCCCATGTTTCACACCACCACTCTTCACTGAACACAGACGAGAGATTCATCGCACCACTACACAGGAATAGAAGAAGGCATGTGAGTCACTTCACAGTGGTCCAATACCTATACTATATTCAGGTTGTGCGCCATCTTGGTGCACATACTTCTGGAGGCCCAAAAAACACCTAATACATCAAAAAGGACAACACTAAAAGGCTGAAGGAAGAAACCAACAAAGTGGTTAGGAATGACGTGAAGTAAACGCCGCCACCGCTTGAGTAATCTCATACCGGTGACACGCAGCACTATGAAGTATGAATGTTCGCGAAACATGTGTGACACCATGTCACTCAAATCCAAATGCCTTGAGAAGATTACCGGTATGGCTAATGATTTTGCAAGGAAAATGTGAAGGACAAATTCCAGGTGAACTCTTGAGACTTGAAAAACACTAACAAGCTACCGTATCAATCACAGAACTAAAACTAATCCCATACCCGACATGGACTGGTAACCGGACGAGAGGCCGTGGTTCCCCATATGGTACTGCATTGAGTCTTTAGGGTCAGTCAATAGTCACATACGGTACAGACATAGCCTAGTCATTAAATAGTTGCATACCGTACCTTACCTGACAGGAAAACAACGGGAGATGACTTGCTACCGCCTATCGGTGTGCCTCTATACTTGACACAGGCAAACGCTACAGCTACAGGGATGGTGACTCCACTACGACCCATGGGCCAGGGCCACGGCCCATCTAATTGGGCCACACGGGCCGTGGCCCATCAAGCTATGGGCCGCGGCCCCGTCAGGAAAAATTCAATTACGGTATCTTACCAAAATTTTCAATTTTTACAAAATTGTCAATATTCGAACCAAAAAAAAAACTCCTGTAGTATGTAATTTTGAATGTTTAAGCTATAAAATAGCTCGAGGAATATAGTTTTTGCAAGAGGCCTAGGTATTGTTTTCTACTTTTGCTTGTGTAACACTGTAATGTAAATAGGTTTATAAAATGTACCAACTTTTCACGTCACACTTAGGTACAGTACAGACTTACGGTACATCTTACATGAATCGCCAGTTCAGGGGGCAAAATTTTTGGCTCCTGGTCCTAAAACCTTGCCCACCCATGCCATATACCAGAAGTGGGCTAGGTTTCTGGACCAGAGGCCAAATCTTTTGTCCATCTAGTCGGGCCATGTGTGACATGAAAAGTTGCATTTTATGAATAATATTTAGTCTACAGTGTTACAAAAGCAAAAGTGGACAACAATAAGCCTTGTGCCAAAACTAAATTCAATCGCAACCTCAACAAATTCTTTGAGCTATTTTTCAGCTGAAATATTGAAATTTGGTTTCAGTTTGCAGGTTTAGTCAGTTGGTTGCGACAGCATCAGGCGGGCCAGATCGAATAACTGTGAGTCTGTGTTACAGTTATTTCTGTCGTTTGCAGTTCAGTGATATATTCAAATATTAAAATTAAGAAATTGAACATCATTGAAATAGCAATGGCACTCGTTGAAAATCTTCAGAAGTTGATCAGATCATTTGCCAAGTCAAAAGGCTTTGACAGATTGTTGCAAGGTGCTCAAGTTTTGTCTGCAAATGATGGGAAAGTTCGGGTAGAAATGATGGTAAAACCTGAACACTTGAATGTACCTGGAACCATGCATGGTGGATTAATTTGCACATTGGTCGATACTATATCTACTTTAGCAATTGCTTCCACAAAAGATAATAAATTTGGTGTTAGTGTTGATTTAAATGTTTCATTTATATCGGCTGCCTCGCCAGGTGAAAAAATTGTGATAGAATCCGAAGTTTTACGAACAGGAAAGAATCTTGCTTTTGCAAATGTCAATATACTAAAAGAGGATGGAAAACTAGTCGCTACTGGTAGACATACAAAGTATTTGGGATTGGGAAACGTGCCTGATGCGAGAACTTTTAAATAAAATTTGAACATAGATAGTACCATTTTGTATACCTGAATAACATAATTTATATATATTCTGAAGAAGTGCCAATTATAATTTTTTATTATTTGACTATGAAAATATCACAGTTCATTATGTTCTATTAGTACTTAAGCTGTTTTGATGAATTAATTAATGTATCAAGAATAGCTGGATAGAGTTATACAATATTACACAAATGATATAAAGTGAACTCTGCTGAAACATTCGTCATTATTTGCTGCCCTTATCACTACATTGTTGCTGTAGAAATAAAAACCCTTTTCCTCCAATTATTAAACTAAATAAATTTTTAGTGGTCCAAGCAGTTGTTTTTTGTAGATTACTAGTACTTTTTGTTTCATATTTCCTCTTGGCTACCTCGTGCATATTTTTTCCTGGTTTTGAAAAATAATCCACAATTATGTGGCTTTTCTGCTAATTGAATAATGTGAGCGTGTGGCCGATAAACATGGTGAACGTAACACTTGACTTCCATGTCAATATACTTGCATGTTTCAAAACAATAATTTGGAAAATAGTAATTTATTATTGTAATACTGTGTATCAATTTCATCGCCATCTGCAAACGTCTTCGACCTTCTGAATTATGAAGGCAAATTATACCTATATTTCCTAATTTTTCAATGTATAGCTGTTGTATGCAATAATTCATTCTATTATTTGCCAACTGGATAACTAGACGTCATATAGAGCAATGTATTTTGGGACAAGAAGCAGAAATTAATGCAAATTTATCTCTAATTTGCTATATTTAGTATCTTCTATTCCAAAATGTGCTAAGCTGCTGCTATGTAAATATGTTTATGAGATTGAACATCTTATTTTTCAATGCGAATAAGAACTATTTTTTCTTATAATTCACTGTCCATGTTACAGAGAATAATATTGAGGATTATTTTTATTACTATTCCATCAACTGCTCACTCAACACTGAAAATGGCAGAAGGGGATCCTGGCAAAATAAAACATACTATTGAAAGTCTGCTTAGCGAAAATCCTAATTTAATTCGTACAGAAGAAAGGGTAATTCTTTCATAGATTTTATATTACACACCCTTGTCATGCCTTTCAATAAACTTCTTTATGACCTACCAGTACATCAGCCTACTACTTTTTCTAAATGTCTTAATTAAGTATTTTTTGTATTTTTAACATTTTATACTACTACTATTGAAAACCAAACAACAATAATGAAACCTCCAAGATATGAATCCATTCACAATTAACTGTGTCCGATATTTTAATTTCTTGATATGATAGTTTCATTTGAACATATATCATTTTGAGTTAGTAAAGTCTTACAATTAAACACAAAAACAGTTGATTCAAATTTTAAAACTTGAAAAAAAAGATCTATTTATATATTTCAACTTTCCTGTGTTACCAAATCTGTTCAGTCTCTCTTGTCCATGCTGGAATCATTGAGCAGCTGTAGGCTGGCTCATCTAGTTTTGCTCCAATGACTGTATGTTGTTATTTTCTAGGTGAGGTGCATCCTCACTGGACATGAGGTTCCATGTAAACTGCCTGCGATACAACAATATTTAAATGGAAAGAAATATAAACGAATGACAAAGGATTTACATGAAACATTTAAATACAGTGATTATGAACCAATGATTGCGACAAATGTGAAGAAAGGCCATGAGTAAGTTTATATTAATATATACTTTTGTACTCAGATTTGTAGAATATTCATAAAGTTCCCATTTCAATCATTTCGTAATTTAGTAGTCATCAAATTTTTTGATACTTTTTGTTCACCCTCTTCAAGCTTTCAAAGTTTTTGTGAACATTTATTGCTGATGTTTTTGTTTTCCAGGAAGCATTTATTCTGTACTCTTACATTACGACATATAAATAAAACACCATTACATGTTCTACGTCATGTACAAGGAAAGAAATATATTCGAGCTAAGAAAAGATGTGAGTGTCTCTTTTAAATGTTGGAAGTTTTAAATTTATAGTATAGAAATTGAAATAACATACATAGAATTTGGTCATTGATATCTGATTAACGTCATGTAGATGTAGCATAACAGATTTGTTCTTATGATAGTGTGCAATACCGATCTTGAAAGATTTACAAAATTCTTTCAAAAGATTTACAAAAGCAATTTTTGTTTGTGCCTGGAAATGATACAACTTTATTTATACCAAATTTATTTGCTTGTTAAGGGGATGAGTGTCAGAAGGAGGGTACAAAGTTTGTACCCACACCATACTTAAACAGACAACATGAAGGTAAGTTGATTATTAATTATAGAAACTTGGATACCAAAACTGTGCGATCGTTTTAGATGCCAAGTGTATTCTAGAGAAAATTATCTGGAAATCTTAAGATCTTGCCTTACGCTATATATCAAAATCCAATTTAATGTTGTGTTTCATACTCTCATGTTAACAACGTTCTACATAGGAATAAATAAAGGTGTCTGACAAATAAACATGATTTAGGTGCTGTACAATGATTTTTAATAAATGCTTCATTCGGTTCCATTACATTTGAACCCACGTACATTTGAACCCATGACAATTGCACCTGTATGCTATTGCACCTATGGAATTTTTTTTGTTTCACGGATAGTTAAACCCATACTAACCCTAACCCATGGGTTTTAGCACCCGCATATAGATTGAACCCGTGGATATACGCATGGGTTCAAATGTACGGTCACCGCTTCATTCATGACTGAATGAAACTTATAACGTTGGTTAAAATGGATGTTTCATATGTTCTTTTTTCTCTCAGATGCCAATGAATCTACTTCGGATGTCACGGATGAGATGCTTGGTGGTGGTGTTGATGATGATTCAGATAAAGATAGTTTGTCAGATTTGTATCCAGGTAACTTGAAGATGTGGTTAGTTTTGAAAATTTAACAACCAATTTGAATCGTCTCAAAAATGGCATGTGCAACATTTGTCGTCTGATTTCTGGGTTTTCGTGAAAGATAATTTTATGAGGGGGCGTGAAGCTAATTGAAAATAAAATTATTTGTTGGATTTGATCTTGCCCGCCTTATTTTTTGATATTTGGATCTCTTTATTTGAGATTGCGATTCCATCCACATGTTTTTTGGATAAAAACATACTTTTCCTTTACTCTCTGTTATATGTAGCTTATTGTTAGTTAATTATTTTTGAGGCAGGGCACGAGACTTGGCAAATTCTAAAAAGGAAGCTTGTCTTGAAAAGTTTGAGAAACACTGTGGTAGATCTTCATAAGATTTCGTTTTCTGGAATGACTTTTAAAAATGAATACATGCTTCAATAGTTCAATGTAACTGCTTTCGTGCACTTACTATTCGTTTGGTTCTAATTGAAATTCTTTTGCAGTGAAATATTTAAAAGATCTTTCATTAGATGAGAATGAAAATCAGCCACCTGTTGCGGAAGTTAAACCAGCAGAAACATCTGGAAGAAAACGGACTAAACCCCCAACCAAAAAATCGAAGTTTTCTAAACCAAGCAGTAAAAAAAAGAAAGCTAGTTTAGTGGTTTTCGAATGATGTTCAATCGTGAAATATACAATGGTTATTATAAATACTGCATTCAAAATGGGGTCGAAATAAATATTGTATCGCAAATTTGGAGAAATAGTATGAGCATTGTAGTAGAGTCTAGTCACAGTGGAATGCCAACCAGAAAAGCTTACCATACGTCCCAGTTTAGTCGTGACGAGCTGTCCGGTAGACTTAATGTCCTGGTCATGCAGTATGGCAGTCCTATAAGATTGTTTTTTATTCTTGAAGTCAATTTATCACTTATTTGCAACTCACTTCACTGGTTTAGTAAGATAAAGAGAGAACAGCTATATTGTACGTCATAATTATTATACGTTTTGCTTACGATGCCAATTCAAACATTTTCTAACGTCAGTCGAACTACCATTAAATTATTCAAAATACCGAAAAAGTTAAATGAACCTAAATGAAGATGTGAGGGTATACCGGTTGTTACGCCATGAAATATAGATTAAATAAACATTATTTATGAAATCAACGATGACAAACCTTGAAAAGGTATTGGAAGTTATGATTCATGAAATGGTGCTTCTCGGAACTTTGCGCCCTGGATGTAACATTCAATTAAATTCTAAAAGTCAAAAACGGAGGCACAGTTCGGTAGCCAATGTTTTGAAATACATCTGCATATTTAATATCTTGTAGTACAATGTTGCCTGAAATACGTTTGTGTTCGTTCGTCGGAAGCTTTAAAACAGGATATGAAAAACGAATAACAGAATATTTTACAGTTAGTTGAATTTGTTTTAAGAAAATTTCCATGTCCTCAAATAGCGTCAAACAATTTTTTTTCCTATTTCTAACATTTCATGTTACTTAATTATGCATAGAAATGACATGAAAAAACATGTTTTATGTCATCGTGCAAAGTGATTGTGATTTAATTTAAATTTGACGTACGACTGGGATCACTCTGCTGCATGGAGAGACTAAAATTAACGAAATCTCTCTACGCAGAGTGATCGAGTCGCATGCCAAATTTAAATTAAATCAAAATCAGCTAATTAAATTTAACTAAACATTGTAAATAATTCTTAAAGTTTCTTTCAAATTTTTTCGATTATAAATTTAAATAAAATTTTTATATTGTGAGGTATGTTTGACATAATTACGTTTTGCTCTTCAAGTCTTGAACAGCTTGAGTAGAGAGTTTATTTGTTTTGTCAAACAGAAAACAATAACACGACAAAATATATTTGTAGCAGCAAATTCTCGTTATAGACTTTTGTGCTACCACCCCTGTATGATGAGACAGTGGCGTAGCATCAACCCCCGCGGGGGGACCCACAGCGCAAAGGGGCCCCAAGCGGTTAGAATTTAGAAATTTAAGCCGCAAAACTAAAAGCTGCATTGCAAAACCAGTAATGCACATCTTATAATGTTGATGTTAGTTCTGCTCAAATCGTTTTGTTATGTAACAATGCCAGGGAGTCGTCGATTTTCGGCTTCGTGTGGTTTGATCGTACAGGCACAATTGTGAAGACTGTCAGAATGATGTCGAAAGTAAAACCTTTCAGTAGCGAACAGAAACGCAGAAAAAAAGGCAGAAGAGGAAGAACGTATGAAAAAAATTAAAGTAACCAAGATAAACGAAATATTTAAACCAAAATTGAAACAAGTAGCCTGGGAATACCGAACGTAACTGAGGAGGAATTAGGCCTAGCGTCGGTGGTATCGGTAGAAAACTCCGGAAAATCAGATACGTGTGCAATCTCCAAACGTGATGGCGCCGGCGCGAATGAATTTCTTCCAAACTTACACGACAATTATCACAGGTAAGCTACTGATTTTTGAAGCAAAATGAAAAGATTGCATAATTTGGTTTTCGAAACTGAAATTAATAAAAAAGCACGATGTCGCGGGAAAGGCTCTCTGGACTGGCGCTGCTGAGTATTGAATCTGAACGCTTGACCCGACTTGATATGACGAAGATGGTGGATAATTTTAGGTTAGACTTAGGTTAGGGGGGGGGGGGGGTATCAGTGATTTTCCTATACGCTATAACCCTAAAATTTCAAACTCTTCCCTCATTTTCAGGTGTGATGCCATACTTTAATTCCTAACCTAAATAATATTTGAATATGCAGAAAGTGACTCATATGCCGTCGAAGATAGATGATCAGTCAAATACATAACACACGTATATATATAAGTTACAAATAGTTTTATCGTAAATATTTACTACTACGTTTTATCACTAATAGCAAAATATCTAGGACACCCTAAATTTGGAAACACCACACTAAAATAAAAAGTTTGGGAAGATACTGGTGTGTACCAACATGGAGGTAGCTAATTTTGTTCGCCCACTTCACATCAAGTTGTGTAAAGGGACTGAAACCTATGGGCAGGGGGTATATTCACTTGGCTAACACAGACAGTCCCCGAACTCGTAATAGAACTAAAATAAGGAAAATCGAAATAAAATTATGGCTTAACCTGGTACACACTAGAGGTAAGCCCGGAGCAAACCCGAAATTTCATATTTAATTATGGAGTTTTTTGAATTCCACACATAGTTTTAGACAGTATATATTTATTTAAACATATATTGCGGGTTTCAAATATTAGCTCTAGTACACACTCTGGGGGTACCGAAAATAACATGTAGGCCTACATGGGAATTTTAGGGGGGAAGATTATTTCCACCGCATATAAATGCCATTATTGCCGGCCGATTTATTTAATCAGTATTTTAACTCGAAGCAACACTGTTATTCACGGAATGACGAATGTGCGGAGTTTTCTTTACTCATCGATTTTAATCGGTAAGTATGTTTATAGGTATTTTTACTTATCGATTTTAATCGGTAAGTATGTTGATAGGTATTTGTCTGTCTGTTAGATGCACGCTATATCTCACGAAAGCGAGATTGAATCTGCTCCAGATTTTGCATGTACATTCATCATATGTCGTACCAGAAGCCTATTGATTTTGGATGAATTATGTCGTATAATTAGCGAGTTATTAATTAATTAGTGATGGGACACAAGGTGTCACTATGGAGTAAGAGCGCAGTTTTGGGGGATCCCCTAACTTCCGATCAATAAGTCTTCAGTCTCTGACCGATATTCTCGTTTATTAATTTGGTACTAAAATAACGCAGACTATAGAGAAGTAAAATAAAGAAAAAGTCAACTATCAGATTCGTAAATATCTGGATCCCGGAGTCAGTAACAACAATATTGTTCGCTTAAAATTAGGAACGTACTTTACTAACTGTGCATGATGAGGAAAATTAAAACCGACGCAACAGATAAAAATCGGAATAAAATTAATTCCTTGGACGCTGTCTTTAATATCTTCGCCGATGTGAACTCACGGTTTTGACTGAAATATAAAAACCAAACTTCGATATCTGCCAATTGCGCAAAAATTAATACCTGTGAATGAAATGGACCGTTAAACAAAGATTACCAAAAGTACGTAGTTGGCTGCCCAAATGACCGCGGTCAAAAAACGATCAGCGATTATGACAGAATTATGAAGTAAAAAATTCTGCGTTTTTACTGGGGATGGGCCGAAATTCAGATTAGAGTCGAGTCCACGCATATTTTGAGACTCTGTTTGGATTTCATGTCCACGCCATTTTTTGCCGAGGTCTTAATCAATAATGATTTTCTCAAAATGAATTTTAACGATTTTTATCGTTTTAATTCTAGGGATGGCGGAATTGACTCTTAGAGTTAAAACGTGAATTGCAAACAGAGTATAACGTTTTGTGACACATACATATACGTATAAACGCCGCAAACTTATTTCCACACTCTCCTCCCACTCGCTCGTTTGCGCGGGTCAAAGTCGCGTGCCACATTTCATCTGTATACATTTTCTCTTGCCTATTGCGTTCATACCTCCTGTTTACTTGAAGCGAGATGCAATAGGAAAAGTGAAACGCCTGTTGCAAATTTAAGTATAAAATGCTTACATCGCAGACCGAAATAGCAAAATAGCTCTTCAATAGAAAGAATGAAGCATATATTGAAAATCTCATCAATAATGATATTGACAGCTTTAAAACCTGCTTTTGTCCATGAGGTTTGAATGACAGGAATTTTTTACGAGACATCGCTTTCAATTTACTTCGGCTGTATCGAGCACTGATATGGGCGATTTGTTTATTTCAGCCTGTTGTATTCAACCTCCCTTTACAACGAGTCGTGAATTTTATATAGGACAAAATGTGTTTCGTGATTTTGTTTTGTTTGTTCCGGCCATCTACATCCCAATATCGGTTCTCCTTATCACGCAAGTACCAAATCATCAATGCTCGAGAAAAATTATAGGAATAAATTTGCAGCCTAAATTTAATTCAATATGATTATTATCTTTCGTGTAGGCTTTGATCAACGTTATCGCCACCGTAGAATAAAAAGCTTTGCTGGCGGTATACGTTGTTTTTTCTGTTTGTATTTTGCTATCGTGATATAAGGATATTTTCATGTTAACTGTGCTTTTAAGCAACAAAATTGGTATTGGACAACCAGATAAAAACACAGGTTCAACTGCAATGCTAATCAGTCTTAACATGATGAAGTGACTTCTGCAACTACCCACCTTTCATTATTCTGGTTCCGCATTCACCACTCTAATAGTATCTTCCCTCAAGGCTACCACTAGACACCACAAGGATTAGTACTTGCCATTAATTCTTCTAACTGATGAAATATGTATTGTCTTGGATTTTAAACACAAACAAATCAATGCTCGTCTCACAGGATTCATTTTTAGACTAAGCCCTCGACAATACAGTTTCGATTTAAAAAGTCACACAAATAATATGAAATTTGTGAATGTGTGTATTTTTGAATTCAACGAATATTAAGAAAAAAAACGTACATATGGAACAGTTCAGCATCTAAGTGAAGTGTTGCAAATATCATAAATATAATAAGGCTTAGCATCCTCTGTGTTTGATCTCTTCCTTGATTTTTTCTCAATTATACATTCTAGAAGAGTTGGCCCATTCACCATTTCGTTTATGCATTCATCAATACTATCAGCAACTTTATTTATGTTCAACAAATAGTCTTGTGGTGTGGTACAACAAAAGAATTCAGCCTGTTGCAAACACAAAATTAAAGTACCTATTTAATTTCTAAACTTTAATCTGTTTGCTTTGTAGAATATACCCTACCCGTTTAGGGCAACGAAAGACACTGAAAAAACCCACCTTCTCGATAAGGCAAGTAGAACCTCACCAGTACAAAGTAGTTAATATTTTATCATACTGAAAATACAATATGCATAGAGAATGTAAACAAAATTCAGACAAAGAAGTCACGAAAAACCAATTCTGGTTACCGGCATCAACACCCCCAATGTCTAACAGAAAATGGTAAAATAAAAAACTACATATATATTGTATTAGAAAAACATATGCTGAGGTGACCTAATCCTCCCACATAACTTGAAGTCATGTCCTCCATAGAGAAATGAGCCGGTTTCTGAATTAGCAATGAAGTTTGACATTTCCTGCACTATTAGAATCATAATTTATATGCCAGCGTATAGGATTTAAAATGATAAACATAGAATCAAAAACAACGCTCACGGAAAGAAAATTTTTTTTCCAGAGATATCATACAAAACTTTTTCTGAACTTCATCGTAGTCATTCTTATTTTACTTAATATAAATTCGTAGATGATAATGTATTGATGGAATTCCCTTACCGCTTTATTAGATGCCAGAGTCACATTCTCAAGCTTTACCTTTCCATCGGCCAGAGTTAGATTAAGACTAAATCGAGGTACAAGAGTGGGGCAATTCATTGTGCTTGATATTCGGCTTTCAATAAAAGATTCTGCTTCTTCTTTCAAAGTTGGTAGACATGGTGGGATGGCATAGGCAGGACAGCTGGTTAGAAAAACACAGTTTCAATGCATAAATATTAAAATGATAAGTAACTACGGTAGTTTATAAAATCCTATTAAAATGGCGGGTGTGCATGTATCATGCTATTATAGGTCAACAGCCGATAATTGAAAGTTTATAATTTTTGCGCAAATTATATTCTTAATTAGTCAATTATAAACAAGGCTATGAAATTGGCATCACAATCCAACATACAAGTAACCAAACACAAATTGTTCTGCTAATAGGAACAACAAACAAAATTAGTGAGAACGATCACAATGAAAGAAACGATTTTATTAAAATATTTGGCAAATGATTAGAACCTGGTTAAATTATTGTTTGAACTGTGCTAATGCATTGAAACTTAAGTCTTAAGGCTTCCTGAATAACATCAATGTGTTATGTTGTGGGAATCATACGGCAGCCTTATAAATGGACACTAGGTACACATATAGATTGTCCTGGTACTTAATAATGGCTAAGTCCGCTAGACGGCTATTACTTTCATTATGTTTTTTCGATTCTGACCTGGGACTCGCTAAATCTTGCTGTTTTTTGTATTCATATGGGTTTATTCCGCCATGCTTGACTGGCTCTGACACGCTTGCCCGTCAATCTTTCCAGAAAATTTGTACTCTGGTCTTGCCAAGCTCTTGTGCTGCCAGTACCAATGTTAGTCCCTCGGTCAATATATTTGAGCAACGTACTCTTGTTTTTTTAATTCTAACAATAATATTTTTCAGTGGAAATTCCTCAATATAAATATAGAACAGGCAATTTTGAAACAAGAAAATAATTTCTCGATCCTTGCAACGTAATACCGGTAGCTCAATGTACAGTGTCAATCATGAAAAATAAAAATGTTTTACAACCTGTAGTAAAATACTCCATGTTGTATTCCTACTGCTGGAGGTGATGTTGAAAGCATCAACGAAAGAGGTACAGTTTGTATCACACGATCATATTTAGAACTGTGCTGTATCAGACGATCTGTTCCATAATCTTCTACCTGTTCAGATGAAAATACCTCTATGCAAAAGGCAGCCAACCTCGATACAATTCAGATAAAATAAATAACATTTTGGAAGTGAAAAAATAAAAAAACATGCTGTATAAATTATGAACCTATTTTCATGTTTATTACTTATCGATCTCTATCAGTAAGTATGTTGATAGATATTTGTCTGTTTGTTACTTATCCATCTTGATCGGTAAGTATGTTGATAGGTATTAGTCTGTTTGTCTGGTAGACACTTTCGTATGTTACGCGATATCTCATGAAAGTGAGGTTAAATCTGCTCCCAAGTTTTGCATGTGCATTCATCATATCTCGGACCAGAAGCCTATTGATTTTGAATGAATTATGTCGTATAATTAGCGAGTTATTAATTAGTTGATTTATTTTTTTTCATATTTTTTATAATTAGCGAGTTATTAATTAACTAATTGATTTTTTTTGCGGGAGATCGATAAGTCGGCGGTCTCCAATCGCTATCTCACGAAAGCGATATTGAATCTGCTCCAAATTTTGCATGTGCATTCATCATATCTCGGACCAGAAGCCTTTTGATTTTGGATGAATTATGTCGTATAATTAGCGAGTTATTAATTAATTAGTGATGGGACATGCGGTGTCACTATTGAGTCTGAGCAAAGGAATCGAAACCGCGGATCGATAAGTCGGCGGTCTCCGATCGCTATCTAGTTTATATATTTTTTTAATTTGTAGAATCTAGTGAATTTAAAAAAAAGGAGAGATTCAGGAAAGTATTGTTGTTAATAAGCGTCATAAAAAAGAGATGAATTCCTCTATTAATTTCTAACCTTCAACAAATATAAAATCTTGAATGTTTTTCCATTAAGTTTTCTTTTTCTGACAACAAATTTCTCCGCTTCCACACTCTCCCATCTGCTTCCATCTTTTTGACAATCATATTCTCTTATTTTTACTGGGCTGAATGATAAGCAGAATCCAACTTTTTAATATGATCTCTAAGATAATTTTCACAACATTTCATGATGCTTTTCTCTTCGAACTAATCACTTTCAGATTATTGAAGTTAAGAAGACTTCGTAGAGTCGGAGTTAGGTTTGTTTTTATCGATATTAGAGACAGGGTCTTATTTTAATATTCCTCGTAGTCGGAGTAGAAGCTGTAGTAAAAATTTTCTTTCTTTCGATTCTTTTTAGTGAGGAATAGGTTGAATATGTGTCCCAGGTTACCGATTTTCCTTATTTTAGTTTCATTACGAGTTCGGGGACTGCTTGTGTTAGCCAAGTGAATATACCCCCTGCCCGTAGGCTTCCATCCCTTTACGCAACTTGATGTAAAGTAGGCGAACAAAATTAATTACCACCATATTGGTACACATACTTCTGGAGCGCAAGTTTTTCAAAGCCCGACAGCCCTGGGTAAAAGTGGAAGTATCTTCTATATTATGTCTTATGTATTCTCTCGATAACAGATAACAAATATTATTACTTGGTTCCTTGTGAAGTTGGTAGATCCCACTGCGATGCCGACTGTGAGTCCATACCAATTATGGAACATGAAGATTCAGTGTTTTGAGAATCAAGTCCTCGGACCTAAGATTAGATAAAAAAAGAAAGATTGATTAATGTGAAAAAATGTCTCTTTCCAATATTATTTTGCAATCAATTCTGAATTTGGTATGTTCTAATAAAATGTATTAATTTTGCTGTGAAACCATGATTTCCTGACATTTACGAAATATAAAGTAATTCCCATCATACAAAACCATAAAACGAATTTTCATTTATCATTAATTCCAAATTATATTCAAATGGAATCTTTGATACTCCCGTCGTGTGTGTACCAGGTTAAGGATAGGCTATAATTTTATTCCGATTTTTCTTATTTAAGTTCTATTACAAGTTCGGGAACTGCCTGTGTTAGCCAAGTGAATAATCCCCCTACCCATAGGTTTCATTCCCTTCAAACAACTTGATGAAAAATGGGCAAACAAAATTAGTTACCTCCTTATTGGTACATACACTTCTAGAGCGCGGAATCTTCTGACCTGCTATTTTACATGATGAACTATATTATAGTAAAGTGGGAATATTGAAAATCCTCGAAATTATACATTTGCAAACAGTCAGGTAACTGTTTAACTGGTACAGTTAATTCTATTTTCAATTAAATATTACCTTTCTCCAGATTTTTACAAATGCTTGCACATCCCCAGTGAAATTGAGAGGTTTTCCTGTATTGGTTGTTGGAAACCTAGAAAAAATAAGATTCAGATTTTATATGAAACCCATTTCCTGGAAATTCAAATCTAGTCAAGGGAATACCGGTAATTATTTTGAGCTGAAGGATTAGGTCCAGTTGATCTGAACTAGAAGTATTTAGTTAGATAAAATTGAAATTAATAAGTGTTCTATAAAAATAAAGTATATTTTCTAATTAATGTATTGTAAGTTTTATTGCTGACTATCATCAGATGATTGCCTAACAAGAAATGACTTATGAAAACATTATTTAATTTATCCACTTACATTTATGTGTATAGATAATAATATATTTTGTTCCTATATTTATTTTCCGAATATTATACAATTTACTCCTTTCTCATAGAACATGGCCCTGTACAAGCAGCCACTACTAGTTAAGAGCCTACAAAAGTTTTGGAGGAACAGGTATATTTCCTGTTCTGCATTACCTACCCAATTTATTACACCATGGGTGAGGTAGTGGGTATGGGATTTGAACCCCAGATTTTACCATGCGATGGGGCCATAGTTTATTCTTATGCTTTAACACCTAGGCCACCATGACCAGGAGACCCGAAAAGTTATTAATTCAAAATGAGAAATACAGTTCATCACATGCCCTTGACGATCCATCCTTTGAATCAATTGAAATTTTTCAAGGGAACAAAGTTATTTTAAATAATTATAAATGAATATTCTTACGCTATTCCTGTGATTGGGCAACAATGTACAACAGTTGTACCATTATTTGGTTTGCACGATTCAACATTTGCTCGAACTCTAAAATACTTTGATGTGTTGACAGGAACTTCATACTCGATCACATTCTGCAAGTCAGATATTTCAAGAGGCATTGCTTCACCAGAGACAACTGAAATGAATATAAAAGATATTGAACTACTGTATTTTAGTCATAAGTTATATTGATTGAAGATGTAACCAATCCTAACCAAATAAACAAATAAATTTACATGAATTGTGATTACTTCAGTTATATATATTTATATAATTTCCTTTTTCCACTTTCTACCCTGAGGAGTTCTATATCATTTCGCAGGATCAGAATCTGGTAAATTCCAATGTACTCCTAATAGACTTATGTTTCATTGAATTCCCCCTTTTCTACATATTTTACCACAGGCTTTATTAAACAAGGATGTGAGACTAGAAAAGTGGTTCTCAATCTTTTCAAGAAATTATGCATACCGGCCCCCTCATAATTTCTCTGATGACCCGCGATGCACTGAAGAATTCAGAATATCAAACATATATCTCCACTAGTTCATCTATTTTGGGTTCTGTTTGGGATAACTCGTATCATGTCTTATTTTCATTATGGTTCGGAACTTTGTTTTAATAGCGAGTAGGGAATCTGAGAATTTCCTGTGCACCTCATGTTTTACTCTTTGCAGAAATTCGTGAAAATGTACTGTATATACTAAAATGTTTTTCAGCACTTTTTCTTCCGAAAGCCATCTCACATGCGAGTGCAACAAGATAGTTTCAAATTGGAATTAATTTTTTTGCATAATTTAGCAAACAGACGCAAGTTCATTGCGTTCCTAAGTTATGCAAACTTCAAACCTTGAGACATAGCCCAAATGTCTAAAATCCACACAGCACTGTGAATTCTTGACAATTTAAGACCAGGTACACATGCCTTCGATAAACAATGATGGGCATTCATTTACGGTGCCTGTACTTGATGCACTCACCAACATTCGTTATGTAATAAAATCTTTAAAAAATGACATCATATTTCTAGGAAACATTGTACTAGCTAGCATGACATCAAATGTTTACTTAGCAGTGCTTCTGTGTCAAAGTTGCTTCGCGGTACCACTGAGCGGCCGAAGAGCCCACTTTGAGAACTCCTGAATTAGAGTAATGTTCCAAAGTCCAAGCTAATTAAAATAAGACTGCAGCTTCTACTTGACGATGCTTTTGACTTAGGCTCACAACTCAAAGTTGACAAAAGTTTCGGCTCCGACCACAGCTCCGAGAAAAATTAATTTGGCCTATGCAAGTTTTTTCAAATTATCTATTGAAAATTTGATTTGATTTTGATGCTTTTAAAGTTTCTTCCAAAAATTTTGACTTTGTTGAAAATTTTGACACTGTTCAAAATCGGAAATTCTTACTCCAACTTCGAAAATCCCCTTGTTGTAACACTACTTAGGTCGTTGGTTCTCAAATTGTGTGGCACGCCCCTACAAGGGAGGCGTAGACAATTTTTTGAGGGAGCCTGAAGCTAAATAAAATAAAAATATTTGATCTCGCCCGCCTTATTTTAGATTAATATACGTTTCATTCATGTATTTTCAACTTGCTTTCATAACAAAACATACTTTAACCTTACTGTCTGTTATTTGAAGCTAATTGTCAGCTAGCAATTTTTAGAGGGGGGCACGAGACTTGACAAATTCTGGAAAGGGGACGCGGCTTAAAAATTTTGAGAACCACTGATTTAGGTTTTAATCCATCATACTTTAAACAGACAACTATTGTTGTGAAATCTTACCAGTTAACGATTCCTGCAAACACCGAATCACTTGAGAATTGTTTGCACCAGAACTAGACTGTGATTCCTTTTCATTACTTCTACAACTAGATAAGATCCATGATTGTGAAACTTTATTTTCATTTGAATTATATTGTTTCGAGTTTTCTTTGGCAGATTCACTATCATCCTGGATGACAATTTCTTCTTCCAAATTACTAATTGTTATATTTTCTGTTTGTGACAAAGATCTGGCAGATGGTCCTGGACAACTATCTGAAGGTGCTTGTGAAAAATCATCGTTACAGTCGGAAAATAATTTTGCAGCATCCATGTCACTAAAAAAAAGAAAACTAAAATTAACAATATTAATTAAATCAAGGGGGGCCAAAATATTGATTTTAATGTTATTTCGTTCGCATTTTTTTCCAGTCATAAATTCTCCGATTTTTCTAGTTTCATTACCTGATAAGGCTTTCTTGTGCATTGTTTGATCATAATAAGATTGGCAATCTACCAATCAAAATACCACTTCAAATACCTCTGGTATATAATGAATGAACCTAGAAATGGGACAACAGGCAACCTTATTTTCCTTTACTTTACCTTGCCTTTCCCTTTATTAAGGTAAACCAAGATGGCCCAGAATATGTGCAATGCGTGCATGAACAGGGGGGCCATAAAGGCTGAAGGCCTTCGGAAGGGCCACAGGCCATATCAGGTCGGAAACCACTGATCCAGACCATTTGTAATTTCCTCTTCATTTTTTATTATATTGTCAAGGGAGCACAAGGACCTTGCTTTGAAGAACTATAATAAAAAATCTTCAGAGAGTTCCGTATCTAAGACTATATTCTCTATTTCGCTGAAAGTTGTAAGATCCCATGAATATACCAAAAAATCTCACCCTTTCACGTTCAAATATTCATCATGGTTAGTGATTTCTATACCTCGCCCACAAGATTTTCCTGGATGTACTGATAGTTCACTGCAAGTGATTTTTCGATAATTTGCTGCATTCTGACGATTGGCCCAAGCATGAAGGTTATGAAATTTCAAAAAATCACCTAGAAGTGATAATGAATACAATTTCACTTACCAATCTTACCATATGGAATCTACCGGGCTCAGCACTGTCTAGTGCAGGAGTGTGCAGCCTTTAGGACAGAAGGCGCCGTTAGAAACAACTGGGCGAAAGGGCGGGCCGCAACTTTGTTTAACATAGGCTATCTAGTAGTTGCAGAAATTGCAAAAATTTTGGTTATTGATCTTGTGACATAAATTGGACTCAGGTATAGGCTTCGCAATGCAATGAGATTAGAATTACTTGCACATACCAAATTAATTAAAAACTCAATATATTTTACAAACCTACAACCAGGGTTGGCAGACATTCATTAATTCACTGTTTTCGCGGATATTTGGAATAACATTATCAAATAAGGAATATATATATTGAATTGGGTTGTGCAAAACATCTAGAATATATAAATTATTTTATTTTTGGAGATTGGATGTAATAACGTAGAAACAATAACCATTCGTTATTTCTATTTTATACAGTTATTACCGAACAAATGAAACCTGTTTTTAGACTGATTATCAGATGATAAAAGCTTCGAATGACAATTTTCTAAAAATTATTCTCACATATTCCTAAAATCAAGGAAGTAGTAACTGATCATTATTCAAATTCAAATATATATTAAATATAGATTGACTGAATGAATCGAAAAAGCCTTCATCTATTACTAGTTTGGCATCGTCCACGCTCATGCTTTTTTCGTTGATAGTGATTTGAATATAAAAAGTCTTTTACCTTTGCTAATATTGATATCTCGCCAATGTTCTGCATGATCATCATAAATAGAAATATCGACAACGTAACCTTCTGGAATACCTTGAGAGGAGAAGTCCTAAAAACTGTTTCTTTATTTACCTTATATAAATGTTTCAGCGGGGTAGTACTTGGGATCTTGTTGTAATAAATGAATACAATTTCTTTAATTGATTTATTTCAGATAACAGTATATAATATTGATGAACAGTGACTTGATATAGTCATGCCTAACTACCGTACCGTTGTTTCTTTTCAATTTCTGGGCGCTCCAGAAGTGTGTGTACCAATATGGAGATTTTGTTCGCCTACTTTACCCCAAGTTGTGTAAAGGGACGAAACTCGTGGGCAGAGGGTATATTCACTTGGCTAACACAGACAGTCCCCAAACTCGTAATGGAACTAAAATAAGGGAAATCGAAATAAAATTACGGACTAACCAAACCTGGTAGACACACTACGGGAGTACCGAATCAACAATGTCTACAATGATATATGGATTGAATTTGAATGAACACCAACAAACTATTCTCCTACCTCGGCATCCGTGAAATGGTGAAAAAGAATATTAGGTTTAGTTCCATCCCAAACTTTAGCTACAATGTGTGTGCTGCTAACTTCTTCAAAATTAAGAACCTATGAATAACACAAAAATATCAACAAACAAATACATATACAACACAATATACAAATATCTGATATCTAATCTATATCTAATTTTATCATTCATTTCATTGCATGTAAAATCTTTGATTCAAATTTGTAAACCCATGATAGAACATTACAGAGCAATAACAGAGGAGCAGCTACTGGATTTTAACATGAAGGGTGTTCAAGTTGACAACTCAAGGTGGAATTAATATGTCTACTAAATATTCATAAAATAAACAAGAGAGCAATGCCTAAATATATGGACTCTACGCCCATCAATATAAATACAATAGAGCAGCGGTTCCCAAATTATGGGTCGCGACCCACTGGTGGGTCGCAAGAATCTCAGTGGGACGTGAAAATATGTAGAAAGCTTTGATTAATTATACTGGTTATTAGGATCGGTGGCAAAGCAATTTTAAAAGCAAATTTCGAAATAACTTTTCAATTTTTTACATCTAAAACTATCTGAAATTGAATTAAATGTCAAGTAGTAGTACTCAAGTAGTACTAAAAATTCAATTTGAGAAAATAAATTTGTTTCCTCCATCAATGTTTTATTAATTTATTAAAGTTAAATTGGTCACCATAAGCTGTGGTAAAAAATAGTGGATCACAACTCTAAAAAGTTTGGGAACCACTGCAATAGAGCCTAAAGCAACTAGTTTGCCAAAACGATCAGCGAACAAGCAAGAGAAAGAAAAAAAAATGTTTTAAGATAAAATTGAAAATTTTTGAGTTAAATATCAGGTCCCATAGGACTCAGAGGAGACTGATGAAGTAACAGCCTTCTATCAACTTCTTTTATGTTCAAGTACTAAAAATTGAAATAGATTAGTCCAGGGCTACCCAAATGTTCAAGCTCACGACCCCTTCCAATAAATTAAAATTGTCTGTGACCATTTGATGCAAGCGTGTGGGTTCTAGGGTCTTACAATCAAAGTCTGCATTGTTATGCAAGAGTGCCATTTCTCTGGTTCTACATATTCACTAGAAATCATGAAATTTATGTTTTGCAAACTTCATGTAAAATTGGTGTCCTCTTTGCGACTCCTGAATTCGTTGCACGCCTCCCTTTGGGGTCGCAAATCCCAAATTAGCCGATTAGTTGCGATAAAAGTGATGTTTCCCTAACAACAACGAAGCAATACAATCCATAGATTCATTTCAGGTTCAATAAGTTATAGTAAAAATATCAAAACAAGCCAGACCTGGCACACAAGTGTGAAATGATCATTGTGCTTTACTTCGTGGATTCTCATACATTTTTCTTCTGCACCTGAACAAGCCTCTGGATGTTCTGCATACCATTGTCGAAGTTTGTCAACGATTTCTCTATCAAAAGCAGTTATAGTATACGATTCTGAACTTGCCTTTTCAGATGTCAATATATCATCCTGAAAATTGATTAAAAAGTAATAAAACAATTTGATAGAACAGAATGCACGAAGATCTTGGGTTTTCAATCCCATGACTTCCACTTTACCAAGAGTCTAATAAATTTCGTAGAATACATTACAACGAAGATTCTGGTACTACCAATCGTTGTATCTCCCTATATATCGAGGTTTACTCAACAAAAGACTTGTTAATAAGAGACATGAGAGGCAAAACACCTTATAAAATGGCTGTGTATAAAAAGATTCATATCACCTTGAGTTCATATACAATATTGTTATTACATATTATGCATGATTGGGTCTAATACAGCAGATTCTTTTCATGTTTGATTTAAAATTTTTGTTCCAATTTAAAAATTCAATATATCATCGTTTGCCACAATACTGTTTCCATCTCACTTTTTATTAATTACTTATCGATTTTAATCGGTACACGATATCTCACGAAAGCGAAATTGAATCTGCTCCAGATTTTGCATGTTCATTTCCTCATATGTCGTACCAGAAGTCTATTGATTTTGGATGAATTATGTCGTATAATTAGCGAGTTATTAATTAATTAGTGATGGGACACAATTTGGCACTATAGAGTAAGAGCGCTGTTTTGGGAGATCCCCTAACTTTCGATCGATAAGTCTTCGGTCTCTGACCGATATTCTCGTCTAATGTTTAAGAAGATTACTGGACTCCTCAATGTCATAGGGTGGTTCTCATAAAAGCTGGTCGCTCGTGACTTCCTTCGCAATAAAATCCAGGCATAAGAAAGGAATATTTAGTTGACTATTGCTACACCTGGTAGAAGTTGATATTCAGACAAGCGGTCATGGTTCATCATTTGCATAGAACAAAAATCTTACCCTATAAATAACTACATAAAAGTTTGCAATTTCCAAATTAAAATAGGAAAGATACATTGTTCACCATCTTCATGAAAATAAAATCTAGAAAGTCCTGTTAAACAGCAGTCATAATGAGTAACCCTTTGTGTAAGTATTTCCCTTTGTTTGAGAGCTGTTACCGTATTTGGTTACCTTTTTACTCCATTGCACCCATGACCATCCTCTTGTTGAACATAATACTACTTCATCACCTCTATAGACTTTTAGCCGATGCAAACGTATAATGTCACCAACATCAACCTATAAATATATTTGATATTAGATAATAGATTCCACATCCAGAAACAACCATGGTACATGTCCTTTCTAGTTAATATCAATAGCCAAATAGAAGAAAGATAAATTTCAGCTGAGCCTCAAATTGAAACTAACTATCGCAATTAATGCTTATTCTATATAGGTAAATGGGATTCTCGCAAATAAAAAGCAACTTTGTACTTTTAATCAATCGGTTTGCGGAATAAGCTTTGAATTCTGTAGGGAGTGATTGGGTGCGAGAAAATTATTGGGATTCTCACTACCGCAGGATGATTGACTCAATCGCTATTAGAATACAGCTTTCTCCACCTTTGATGAAACATGGATGATTTACTGACTAATTCTATATATTCCATGAAATTGTTAGTGGATGAGATGCTATGGTCTACCGTATAACTGAGAGTTTTATTTTTTTTCTCTTCTTCGAGAGGATCATGAAATCTTCCTTTCTACTTTTTATCACCAAGAAAAGGGCTTTTTTAATATAAATATAAATACAAAATTCCTACGTGAATAAAATAATCATACCTTTGCAAAAAAGTTGATGTCTCTGTGAAATAATCTAATTTTTAGTGGAATCTGACTCGTGTCGTCTATGAGAAATACCAGAGCAAAGTAATCTGAAAAAAAGTTTATAATTTTTTTGTGTTAGATATTAATGAACTTATTTGATTCTAGAATCTTATTCATTATACTGTCATAACATCACTGTGTTGGAGAGAGAGAGATAATGATATATTCCGAATACCATTAAAGTACACATTGCAGCTGAAAAAACAATGATCAGGAAAATATAATCAAGAGGGGGTGGGCAAGACTGCAAGGTCGATCAACCCCTAAACAGGATTAAACGGCCCCTTATGACTGAATGAAAGTGAACTGGGGGATCATAAACTTGAACTTCCAATTTTTTTATATTCAATTTTTAAATATACCTGTTCCTCTAGATACTGTTGCCTCTGCGAAATCACATACAATCCCATAAACACAATAAGATGAAGATTGACAATTTGATTGATTGTCATAAATTTCTTTCAGGGTTGAGTATTTGTATTTTGGAACTTTGCCACGGCGTCCATCAGCCCAAGTCATTGGACGGTCATCACACTTAGATTTAGACATTTTAAACTTGAATGACAGTTGGTATAGTGAGGAGGGCCATAATACGTATTACGTTACTGTGACGTTAAATTTGAATAACGTCAGTAGTCAGATAGCAGGATATGGATGGTTGTGCCACACAGCCACGCCAACCAGAAGTAATTACGTCCAGTTGTGAACGTGGCCCCAATATTCAGCAATATTACGGAATACATCATAGATATCATATCATGCATCAGTTCATTCTCAAACTAGTATTTGAATGTGCCACGAGGCACCAACCAGGGATGTAAAAATCAAATATATTCAAATATCATGGCTCTAATTTGGTGACGAAGTGATCTAGTCTATCTTTTCATCCATCCAACTCGAGGAATCAATTATTGCATCGCTAATACAGTATTATGCAGATTTTAATGTCAAATAAACTTTTACTTCTGTACCGGTACTTAAAACAGTAAAATATATGTTTCTGGTTACTCATCAAACCACCAGTTTTTCTCTTTATCAGCCGTGGGTAAGCCAATACGCAATAGCTTTCAATTAAACTGTTTGAATTTTTTTAATATATTACTTTGCCAAAATTTTCAGTGTATCCGCTTTGTCAAAAACTAAACCTATACTCAGATATTTGCCACACACGTAAAATTATGTACATTTTGATTTTCGCGCAAGGGGAAGTACCTAAAACCAATAGATTTGAAGGTTATTTTTTTCCGAAACAAAACATGTGATTACGTACGAGCTCAGTACTAATTAGTGGTAGTTCGGCCGCGAAGAACTAAACAAAAAGGGGTTTGAAATTATTTTAATGAAAGCATACCGATATGGTATTAAATTCCAATAGTTTTAATATTCAGTTAACCATAGTTGTTGAACAGGTGAAGGGTTTAAAGGTCAAATGTAGAAGTTTTTAGGGCGAAATAACGAGTTAGAATTAGGCCAGTTCCGCAAGTACCGGTACGGTACAGTTCCGCGGTTTTGTAAGGGTACGGTAGTTTTTAGCTTTAACTCGAAACTGTAGTGGTAGTGAATAAAAAAATCTTAAAACACCCACTTTGGTACCGGTATTTTTTAATTTTTATTTCAATAATAAAATAATTTCTTCAACGGAAATGTATAGTTAACTATATAGCCTAGGGAAAATAAAGGAACCGGATAATATTTACGTACCATGGTACCGTAGTGAATAGAATCAGCCGTACCGTACCGGTACTGAACTATGGTACCGGTATTGGTATGGTGTTATACCGTATATTAATTGGTAATATTTGAAATTCTGGGGAAACAAAAGTTTCGGCAATCCAATATCTTTTCATTAAACATGTTTACAATTAATAAACCTCCCGACCTTATTAGCATAGGATTGGATTTTACATACCTATTTATCCTGGGGGAGAGGAAAGCCGATAACATATTTATCCCGGCCTAACCATATGGCGAACCACGGCCTCTCGTCGGGTTACCAGTAAAATTCCATTTGGTATTCTGCCTGTCTGGTATTGGAATTTATTTGGCAAAAAAAGTTATTTTTAAATAGTTGTCGGTTATACCTGTATCGATATATCAATATACTCCTATCCCATTGTTCACGCCACAGTCAGTCCGCTCAACAGACTTTTCTGGCCACAAACAGAAGCAGACAAGACTGCAAAACCAGAAGACGGGTTGAATTATGGGTAGGATTTACATATTTATATCAGAAGAAAAAATGTGATGAGATGGCTTATCACTTGCCACTGCCTCTCGTTCGGTTGTAGTACCATGTTGTGGATGGATTAGACGGCCACTTATTTTGCTTCAGATGCATGGACTTGATGGTGAAGAAGTCGTATCCGACCAGCGGTCACGTGAACCACCCTACAGCGGCGGGAAGTCCAGCAATCGTCACATCCAATTATTTTCCATTTAATGTGAACCCAGGCAGGGTAATCAGAAGTGCGGTAGCTGCCGATTTTAATTTGAATATCTACCGTATTTCCCGGCGACTAAGTCTACTCGGTAAATAAGACGAGGCCCTTTCTGAGCCTAAAAAATGAGTTTTGCATATAACCGGCCGATAAGACGGTAGTAAAATCCCATCAACATCTCAAATTACCATGCAAAGACTTTTAAGCGGTCGCCGCATTTGCGCATTGGTTAAAATAGCCTATAATGACTTTTTCTTTAGCGTAATTTTCAATCCATACCAACTACAGAAATTCAAACTGTCTTTCGCTTTCAATCTAATTGTGTTCAATGTAACTCGTGATTGTTTCCACCATATAAAAACATTACCGATCTAAAATAACATGACAATCTGATTATATTTAGTTTTTATAAATAAATATACATGTAAAGTGTATGTATGATAATCACAGCATTGAAATTACAGATTCACATCGCGAGAATGCCGATTTATTTAAACTAACCTGATGCGGACGTGTGAATGCCATCGCTGAGGGTTTTTCATGGTCCGAATTAAATAATAAGGCGCCACCAAAAAAACGAAAATTATCATACTCGCCTAATAAGGCGATTCCCCAAAATTCAGGCCAAAAATTTGGGTCTAGAAAAGCGACTTATTCGCCGGGAAATACGAAATGATAATAATTTGGCAACTTAAGATCTCCAATATTTATAGGGGGGAAAATAGTCCTGGTATGGTTATTCCGCCAGCAGACAATTTGCATGCTTAAATATTAAATAAAATAGCCCATTCAGCTATTATGCCCTGTTGCTACGTGTAAGAAATCTAGTGTAATATTTTAAAGTGATTTGTTGTCTCAATCTACAATTTTAAGTGAATAGTGTTTCTCAAGTAGTCGAAAATCAGCATTGCTAAAGCTATTTTCAAATTATTATGCTTTCATGCTGGGCTCTACCGTGTTTCCCCGAAAATAAGACCGGATCTTATTTCAATTTTCTTCCGAAAAATAACACTTATTTTCTGGGGATGTCTTTTATTTTCATTTACCAAAAGCAAAGTAGAGAATTACGAGATTTTCAAATATACAAAATATGAAAACTGATATCCATCTACCTATAAATAACCCCATTTTCTCTCTCTCATTTTCGGGGAAACACAGTATATGTTTTTATCTCGATAAAAACAGAGAAGCGAGAATATAATTTGTTTCCCAATGTTAAAAGAGTTTAAGGGATAGCAAATTATACAATCTGACCAAATTTGCTATTTTCTTATATATTGTTTATATTATACTATTTTTCTGAAATTTTTTACATTGTAATCACCATCAGAGAATGAAAACAATAATATGGACCTTTCGAAGTATCCTAAAAAGCTGGAATTGCATCTTTTATTAAATTATTCTTACTTTGCCATTTTCTTTTGCTTACTATTTTTAATTTTTTTTTCGTAGGCACTAACATCGAGATATGATTTTATTTTGGAAAGTGTAAATCACTCACTACTTGCCCATGAGGACAAGTTATATCAATATGTCACTGCGCTAGGAGTCCAGGACGGGCTAAGTGAGTAATTAGAACAGCAGTAGGCCTACCTTTAATAAAGTGTATCATGTGATTAGGAAGGACAGTGACATTTACACAGTGCTTTTTTGGTTCTAAAATTATGCAACATTCAGACATCAAGGAAGGAATGTGTGTAAATCAGCAATGGAAATTGCATATTTCTGTATGCTGAATAACTTATTTTATTGATGTACTATGCAATAGTTTAGTAGCCTATCTAGTTATATCATTAGCATTGAGCAATTTGTTCGCTCCTCAACTCAAACTCCCACTACTATCAATAACATGGGTACAATTAATCAAGCTAAATTCTGTCACATGTAATGTTGTTTTCGATCCACAAATTCACTATTTTTGATTCAGATAGATTTTGATTTAGCACAAGGCATGAATTTTCGTGTTCAATTCTAACCATAATTATTCCAGGGAGAGAAATCACTCGACAATTTCAAGGATAATTTGAATAAATTTAGATACTTTCAGTGTTATTTGTACAAGAGCAGCCTTGATGTTGTTTATTTCCTTCTAGTATAGCCTCTATGAATATGCAATCAGCTAGTTAATGCTTCAATCTGTGGAGTTGCGTTTCAATATTCCTGCGACATTTTAGGCAGGAGTTCTCAACCTTTACCCTAAAATATGACCGCTGTTGTGTAAACAAATTTTCCTAATGTGACATGAGCGCAATAACATCTACTATGTAGTTGATGACATATTTCGATAGAGTACTTCCTCGCTTGCAAACTCCATTGAATAATAGTCACAGTACAATTACAATAATTTTAATTATGTAGGACATTGGTTATAAGATACATTTCAAACATAATAGTACACATCTATGATTACAGAAGAAACTCTTGTTTTGTAATTGTATTATCAAAAGTTTGGGATATCATTTTCTGTGTTTAAAACTCTTGGCCAAGGTTATTTTACACTCACAAAGATGTAAATTTGGATAATGAAAGTTAATTAGACCTAGATTTGGTTTATGGCATTGATATAATATAGAATTGCATAGCATAATTCGCACACTTTAAAAATTCTGCATTCGACAGAAGAAGCTTTATAGATTATAAAAGGCAGCTGTGACATGACAAGATCAAACGTCGTTGATGTCAATTAATTTGAAAAATAACAAAACGAACGTGACTGCTTAATGCTACAGTGGGACGATACACTTGAATTACCGTACTTAAAATCATTGGACAATGGAAGATATATCAATTTGCATAACCCGAAACTCAAAAATTAACATAATATATATAAAGAGATAAGGTGTAAATGTGAAAAAATTGTGATAATTATATAATAATATGTGGTATAGCATACACACTACACATAGTATATGTAAATTTTCGATTAGGATCATTCACAACAGGAGGTTTTTTTACTATGGTTATACTCCCTCATCTTATTTACAACATTGATTACATAATGATTCCTAATACTGATGCAGAACGCTCATTGCTTCAGCTGATTTTGCACGTACACCTGGTGAAGAGTCTTTCAGTAGTTGAATTAGAGCTAAAACAATGAATTTTGTTAGTTATGTAAACAGTTTGTGGAATAAAGAAGCATATTTCATAGACACAGGTATCTAAAGTGATAGTGTAAGCAAAATAATATTACTATTAATATGTAATTCTGTTGGAATACTTTAGAACAGTGGTTCTTCAATTTTTTAAGCTGCGCCCCCATTTTAGAATTGTCAAGTCTTGCGCCTCAAAAATACCTACCGTAGCTAACAAAAAGCTACAAATACAAGATAATAAGGCAAAAGTTTTTTGTTTTATTCAAAAAAAGTTAAAACACATGGAAGGAACGTAAATATCCAAATAGTTTTATTTTTCATTAGTTTCACGTCCCCATCTAAAATTTGTCTACGAACCATTGCCCTCCCCCCATAATTGGGGCGTGCACCACCGTTTTAGAATATATTGTGCCAGTTAGCTATCTCTTATTTGGAATCTGGATAGTATGAAACATTATATAGTCAAATTTTAAAATGATATCACGCCAGTATGATTGATGAAAATAATAATTTCAAACCTGCACATATCTGTTCTCTTGTCACTGTATGTTGGACATCTTCCGGTGCATTGCTCATTAAGAATCCTATGTTTATAAAATGAACAGATAAAAAAGCTTAGTGCATTTAGTAGCATTGGTTTGAGTGCTATGACATGAATTATTCAGCAAGTTGACATGATTAATAATTCTTATGAGGTAGATTTATATATAATACAGTAGTATGTAGTTAGATTTTAGATAAATATGCTGGTATATTGAAATCATAACTTTGCTGTATAGTGGATTAGTGGTTAATATTTAGGTCAGGGTGTTGTTTCGTCTTAAAAATATTATAGTAAAATCTTTCGAAATATTGTTACATCATTAATGTCAATGAATTGACTAGTGTTATAGTTAGCTATGGCAACTGGCAAAGTTGAATGATATGCTCGGCAGTCTAAAGTGTTAACTGGCTTTCTATTTTTTGGTCGGGAATATATGCTAACAAAATTGACTTCATAATAAACTAAAAATCGAATGAGAAATCTATTAGCCTAGGTTGGCTATGTCTGATAACTAAATATTAATGCAATGACCGAACAATATAATTCCCAGGTGTTTTAAACAACCAGCCTAAACAGTGTTATAAAAACTGCTGCCTATATTTCAGAAAATTTAGTAATTACTCTCCTGGATCTCAAATTTGGTGAAACTCGGTAATCGATCAATCTGCAGTTATTTGCAAGTTAATTTTAACATGAGTTTGAAAAGAAAGCTGACCAACAGATTTTTGACTGGATATGGGAGGGAAAATATCAAAATGCTTGCTTAATGTATCTTAATGTATTGTCTTTGACAATCTAAAACGATATTTCCCTTATGACACTTTCTCCGTTATGAAGAGTTTGAAATCTGAAGAGTTAGATACAGTAAGATTTTTGCATGTTTTATTGAGTTTTTAGTGGGTTTTAGCTTGTCAAATGACAAATAATGATCAATGTGTTTGAACAATATAAAAGTGTTTGTTTTGTATTGCACTATTTACCAATTCTTGGCAGTATTGTGGCCTGCGAACAATACAAAAATAATAGTGTGGCCCGCGAGGCCGACATCCACGCTGATTTAGGTCATTAAAATTGAAATAATTTCATGACATCATTTTAGAATAGTTGAATTAGGTAAGGTATAATCACGGATGAACAAGCTTTATCTTACCTGTAAACATTGCAGCGTTTGAGCGAATCGAGGCCCAGTGACTTTTGAAGAAGGACACACATCCCATTAAATATACATTTGTTTTATCTGGTATGTCTCGCACCTGCACAGATAGTATTAGGACCAGTTAGGTATTATCAAACAGTATGTTATTTGCACAATATGGCATTTTTAGTCCAAGACACTTGAGAATCTCATGTGCTGTGTTACAAATTGCAAATCGAAGCGCACTCAACGTTATATTCTGTTACAAATAGGCATACATTATTAAATTGCCTGTTTTTTTTTAATTTCCATGACACTTGAAAATCTCATGTGTTACAAATTGCCATACACTGTTTTTTTATTTAAAGTCTCTGTATTGTTTTATTTGTTATCAAAATCTTTCAGATGTAAAGTATATATTCATACGTCAGGACATGCTACGAATATATGTTTGCACCCTGTTTTTTTTTGAGGTTTTACTGTTGTAACCAGTATTATTTGACGCCGTCTATCATAGTTTGCTTTCTACTTTGTTACATTTGTTATGTCAATCAAAATAACACTCTGGTATTGAATTCAAATCTGAGACACAAACATTCAGAGTACCATATTATATTATATTCCTTTACAATACCTGAATAGATTATCAATCACTCACCAAGATTTTTGACAAGTCGTTCATGAATTCACCGTAGTGAAGTTCAGCATCCTCATGTAAAAACTTATTGAACATTTCAGTCGCTGCTTTTGAGCCAAGAACGTGACTTACTTTCTGAAGTGTTACTTTACATGCCTAAATGATAGTGAAAAAATAGGTCTACATGAAATGACGCAGGAAGCAATTGATTAAGGAGACATTTTATATTAATAACAATTTTGTCAGAGGACAGAGTTTCAATAGCAGTTAAGTGTGCGCATAAATAATTTGATTGTTTCCATTAGACAAGCTTTGAAAAGTACTGAATAAGAATTTAGGTCATTCTATAGATATTATAATAATTCTTGTTAGTGTGAGCTTTTTTTCCTTTATTTTATTAGGATCGCCCTCTCACCTTTGGTTGAAGGCCAGTAACCATTTTTTGACGAACTTGTGTGTATTAGGCATAATGAAACATTGAAAAGCAATCTTGTTCAAAGCGAGTTCATGTGCACTTGCAGAGAAATATATAAGATTGATCTTTGAGGAAGTTATAGATGACAACGGATAACATACTATAAATCATTATGGTGTAGGATTGCGCAATTTGCACGCTGGTTTAGTAAGTACTGATTAACAAAAGATTTGAAGAGTTCATAGTAATATATCACTGACCTTTCGTACAGACTGATCATCATCATTCAAATGTAGTAGAATAGCTATCAGGTTGTTATGTACTTGCTCTACAAAAGCATTTTCCGAAGGTCCTGTCCCACATCTTGTGAGGCAACCAAATAACCTGATGGCAGTACTTCTGACATCAGGGTTATCCTGTTAAAATGATTTCAGACTAACAGTCACTTAGTCAGAACTCTAATATTTAATATCTAGGCCTACAGTTTAAATTGAGGCGATTGATTATATTGTAGGAATAAAACAATCTCACCTTTTCAAAGCATGGCCTGATACGTAGACATAGATTCACAAATATTGAATGTATATTCGTGTTTTTCACTTCAGTTAAAAACCTAGAAATAAATGTTTATAAATTGATGACTAAAGTAAGATATATGTTGCTTGCATGAAATTCGAAATGTCTCCGGGTTTCAGTAACCTCTGAACAAAATGACCTACTGTGAGATACATACCTATTCTCCAATAAGGATTAATTGAAAGTAAATCATTTTGGTAATGACGACTTACCTGGTTTTGATCTACTTATGCTATGCCATATAAATTCTATTTCGACACTGTGGGACATACATTTCAAATAATAATAAATAGCAAATTGAAAACATGTGACCACCTTTCCAGTCCAGTCATTGCCTCAAGGGCGATAGAGTCATCTAAATCATGTTTATCATCCATTCCCGACATCATTGCACTCAACACACTAGTCCCATACCTCTCCACCTGAAAAAATAATTAATTTGACATTCACTGGGTAATATTAGTAAGTTTTCAAGAACTGTGTATTACAATTATTGATATAATGTTAATATTTTTAGTGACGTATCCTATGAAACTTGATCCGAAGAAGTATATTGACTAAATTCTTTAGAAAATAAATGTATGACGGGAAGGCGAGACAAAAACAAAAACATTATTTGTAGAGACTACTTCGACTTACTATTCACAGGCATAACACATCGTGATGAACTACAAAGAATACATGGGCATGTTGACACAAGTTAAGCTGAAAGATTTATCGTTGAATAACTACATGAAATATGAGCGAGATGGCATATCGGAAACTGTATGGAAGGCACATTCATAAGTCATGTTACTTACATGGATAGCTTAAATGAGATCATTTTGGTTTTATATTCTCGCTGCGTACTTACGGCGTCATAGATAGCACTAAGTAAAGTAATCCCAACTATATTAGGTTTTATTTGTATGTATACAATACTATGGGTCACCACAAACAAGAAGTCTTTGCTAATCATTGACGAGAGGTTAGCCAAATATCAGATTACTGTGGCAGGATTTATACTATGTGAATGTGAGCTCTGTCTGGCGCAACAATGCTTTTGTTTTGTTCTGGTCAATTGATTACCGTTTGTGAGGCAAAGGTATCAGGCAGTAACAAGAATTTACTTCCCAAAAAATGTTTTGTGTGAATGTAATGAAATCTCGATATTATTTCTCATATAAATGATTATAAAAATGGAATATTTGAAATGTATTTGTATAAGACTATTTAGTGTCGTTAAAACAGGTAATAGTGTTAGTCTACATATCTGTACAGATTTGATGAAAAATTACTGAATTTTTGAATTATGCAACGGCTTGATTTTATTATCCAGATTGATTGATCTATATAATTTAGTGTTGTTAAAACAAGTGAGATTGTTAGTTCATATACCTGTTCAGGTGAGGATCCAACAACATTGGCAAGGCCACGTATACTAAGTCGTCTTACAACACCTGATGGATCAACCAGTCTTCCTCTGATACTATTAACAATCACTTCTAGTAGAATTTCATTGTTGCCGGCAGACTCTGCGATGAGCTGTAATAAATAATTCATCATTCCAAATGTGTAGCGAGCTACATTTTTATAACACTTTTAGTTATTCTACAAAATTTAAATATGAGAAAAAAATATTGAACTATCATTGCATCAACGTATATTAGCACATAAGAAGGATTAATTATCATTGGTTAGTTTTACAGACAACGGTTTACAAATCTCTATTTTAATTATTTCGATAGTATATACCTCCCTTTTTCCTCAAATTCAAACAGTATTTAAATTGTTTTCACTTTAAAATCAAAAGTCTCATGTCAGTCTATGTTTAATAGTGCTCAGCCTTAACAAATAATTGTGCAATTTCATGTTCATTACCAAATTTATACTATTTCATTTATTACTCAGGCTTTTATTGTAAGCTTGCTCAAAGTAAATATCTATGTAATAAAGTGAATTTTTATCTGACAGTGTACAAAACAAAGTTAAAATTCCACACTGATTGGGAAATACTGCTAAGTCACGAAGTTAAATTATCATTCTCAAAATACAATTTTTAGGCACTCTTTTTTTATTCTTAGACATTGTTATGGTTTTCAATTCTACTTTATTGATAAAAGGAACCGCATTTGAATATAAGTTTAAAATTCCACTGTCAGGTCTAATACAATGTAGAGTTAGTCATAATATGCGAAAAATTTGCATAATAAGAAATGCTTAACAAGCAGTGACCAGACAGACGTTAGTCAGAATTTAGATGAAACTTATCTGAAATATTATTTCTATTGCTAGTCAATGTTTATGTGATGTACAGCTAGCCTTTTATACTAATAATAAGGGGGGAATGGCCAATCCACTATTTACAGTCAAGGTAAATTTTTGGAGTAGTGTGGCAGTTATTAATAAAACTAAACCCATATAAATTTATTTTTCAGTCACTATCTGTTGATATGCATTACCTCAGCTCTCATCCAATAGGCTTATACATGTTTGAGTTGTAGTACATAGAAGAGTTAATGATATGAATATCAGAACATTGTTAGTGACTTTGATTGTGTCAGTAATTACGGTATCTGGGGATGAAACAGATACCAAGAAAGTGTGGTGTGTGGATGATACTGTGATGCAAAACACTGATCTTGTCAAAGGCATTGATAGAGATGATTTGTGCAAATCAAGTATAAGTAAGTGCTTCCCTTTTTATTGTATTGTTTCTTATGATGGAAGTGCATGTCATCTAAGGTAGCAGTTCCTTTACAGCGATTACAATCAATAGTACATTGTGATAATTTATAACTTGTTTAATCCATAAGCAAAATATGTTTTGTAATAATGCTTATTTTTTTCAAAATGTGCTACCAATCACTGATCTCGGCTAAATGAATATAAATTAAGGATAAGGCTAACCATGTATGTCATATATACTGTTAGTTTTACTCAACTTTTTTCATATGTTCAGTAAATGCCACACCATGGTCAGATGAGGAGGATAAAACACCAGCTAAACCAGAAAATCTCCAACTTCAAGCCCGCACTTATAAAACTGATGATGAAAACTCATCAAGGCAAATAGCTGTGTTTATATCATGGAGACAGAAAAGTAAGAAATTCTTTTCAGCCCTACTTTTATTTGTTTTCAAATTTACACTGGTCAGCCATTGTTTTGTCATTGAGTGGATGCTCTTTCAGTAAAGATAAGTTCATTGCACTGTGACAAATTATCACTGTTGAGTTCAAAAATATGAATTTCTACAGTGGGTGACCTGCCTTCCTCACAAAGTTACTATGTTGAATTGAATTTTATCAATCCTCCTGGTCAACACAAGCAATATACAATGACATGGGATAATGCTCTGTTGAGGGAACTGGAGAATAGTACAGCACATTATGTAAGTTTTTTTTGCATTTAAATATCAGGAATTAGTCTAGGGTTTCATATTTACCATGGGGAAAATAAAAGGCAGAGCAAACTGTAACTGATGATCAAAGAAAATTTTTGTATTTTAAAATTATAGGTGAAAAAAAATATTTTTATACAAACAGGTTGAATTCAATTTTATCTACTGCAGCAGAATTGAAGGAAGCTACCATATTGGGCCCGGTGATAAATACCGGTTCAAGATACAAGGTTTACCCATGTATCAAGAAGACTCAGATCCCCAACTTGTCGCTGGGAATATAGCAATACCAGGTACAAAAAAATACGAAACTACACTTCCACAAGAAGTCCGTCAAACTTTTGATATTTAATTATTATTTACACTTTCAGGTTGTAGAAAAAGCAAGGAAATTCGAAGATCTGCAGCTTGCCGCAGTCATACAAGAAGAAAGAAACGTCCAAAACCTAGTATTATTATTATTGTTTATTACTATTGATGAGAATGAAATCCTTTGAACCTAACTAAATGTACCGTACATAATAAATAGAATAATGGACGATGGAAACTGATGCGTATCTGCAATACAATGCAAATCCATTAATTCTGATGATTTGTTTACAGTAAAGCCTATCAATGAACCAGCTGAAACTATCGATAAAGAAGAACAACCGTCTACTGAATCTGCAAAGAATATGAATGAAGCACAAAATCGCTCAGGTATTCAAAGAGTAGTGCTGGAAATAAATTCCTGATAAAGAAATGAATGTTTAATCGAAAAATAATTTACTTGCAGGAGATGATCCAGAAATAGCTGGTTTTACCTCAACAAATATTGTTTTCATTATTGTTGGAGCGGTTATCATCGGCGTATTGATTATGGGATTATTATTCTGTTTATGTCGTAAGAGGTTGCATGGATGTAAGTTAGTTTGTAATACTTCTAAGCCTTTTCATGTTTTGTGCATGACTCGCAGGTCACAATCACAACTTACCATATTTCTTATCTATTGTTTAGATATTCTTCCGAAGAAAAGCGTCGCAAAACGACGTGTTCTAATAATCAGCAGTTTAGAAGAAAAATATTCGCAAGCTATTAACATGCTTTTAAAGATTTTTGACAAGATTGAAAGCATCAAACTAACATGTAATCTACGACAGAAAATTGACATAGGAGAGCATGGAATTGTAAAATGGGTGACAAAAAATGTTACTGATGCTGATATTGTAGTTTTTGTCATAGGCAATAAAAGTGAAGTTGCAAAGGATCACTGTTCTGAAAACTCCCCATTAGAAGTAGAAGAAATTGAGAAACATCAAGTTGGGCAATCACTCAATACAGCAGAAACCATCATCAATTCGAATAAGTGCGTAAATTCGCACAAAAAATTTATAGTACTCGACCTACATCATCATGTTAAGAGGGAAGATTTGCCGATTTTCAAGCACTATAGATTGCTATCGGATTTCAAAAAATTCACCCATCATGTTATTGGAGCATCACATATCATGAGCACTAGTGATAAGAAGATTTTCAGTAATCTACTCTCAAATGCACAGCTGGGATATGGAACAAAAATTACAACCCCGGAAATAGATGAAGATGACGTTATTGATCCAAAAAATGCTCCCATTTCTGGCCAAAATAATTTTGATTCTCTACCATTCCCACCTGCAAATATTGAAGAAGGACAATCCCTGGCATTGAATATTGATGATACTTCAGCATATGTTGATGGACCTCCATCGTGTGAAAGTAATCAGTCTCACGAGTATGTAACAACTGATTATAACAATCCAGGACAATCTTACAGATACCTCAAGGCAGGCGCTAGACCAAAAACAAAATGCTGACATTGATAATAATACAACCAAGTCTATATAAAATGTTGGGCACTAGAATCTGACAAGGGCATCCTTATATTTAAATGAGCTAGGAATGGAGTTGGATCTGAACGCTGGCAAAATGTCTCGCATATCATACCATTATGCAACAAACACACTTGAAAGCCATTGATTTTTAAAATCATTTATTCAGCTTCCTATTATTTGTTCTTCCTATTGCCTGATACTGAACATTCGGTTACTTTACTTATTACTTGGTTTATAATATTTTCATGTGATTCTATGTACACTCTGCCACACGAATAATAGCTGATGCAGTTTTTATTTGTCTTTCTATGTATATTACCCTTATCAAAATAAACACCATATTGTTTTTTTTTATTATGCTAAAGTGTGCAGAATATTTTCGTTAATGTCCATAGACAGCATCTTATTTTTGGGACATTTAAAACTACTGCTCACATTAAAAACTTTTGTGCAATTTTTTCTATGATATAGATCAGCTAAATGAATAAAGAGATCCTAAAACCGCATTTGTCTTGCGAGGCTGCGAGCGCGGAAAGTTTTTATTAATAGGCACAAATTTTATTTCACTGGGAATGACCATTACTATAGACCAGTGGTTCTCAAACTTTAAGCCGCGCCCCCTTTTTAACAGATAGGAAGGAAAAAGTATGTTTTATTCAAAAAGTACGTGGATGGAACGTAAATAATGAAAAAAATTTGTAATTATCCCAAATAAGGCGGGCAAAATCAAATCTGAAAAATATTTTTATTTTCAATAGCTTCACACCCCCTAAAGAAATTGTGTTTGAGAACCACTGCCATATAACATCTGAGGTTTTTAATATACGAATTTAACTCTGAAAAAAAAGGTGATTTTTATTCAAAAGTTTGCAGTTATACTCTGATCAATGTTATTTGCTATTCTTTTCTCCAGAATTGAAGTTATAAAAAATTTATGTTTTTTCTTATTATTGTATTCATATTCAGAAAAACTAGTTTGTGATTGTGATTAACTGAACTATAGTACCTATTGTGAAATGTTTGTTCCGTTTTGAGGTGTTATTTTGTTGTATTTGTGAGCCAAAAGTTTCAGAAACCTGATAATGATTTTTTTGTGTTTATATAGATTATATAGGATGTAATGATAGCAAGTCTTATAAAATGCATCCTGCTTTTACTGATGTTGCTGCTACCTTCTTCATTCTCTATGAATTGCATGTCGGGAAAGGGAAATATATGCACATGCAAACAAAGTATGTTGTTTTTACATTCAAGTATGACAATTTGTTCACTGTTTCGAATGTATATATCCAGAGACAACATTTAAGTCCATTCATAAAAGTATTAGCCATGAATATCTTAATGGACAGAATTCATTCAGCTGGGCGGCCTCGGAATTGACTTAAAAAACCAAGTTTGTTTTACTCAATATGGTTTGAGAAATGTGATACATGCTTAAAACTCAAGAATTTGCTGTTCATGTAACTTATTTTAAAGAGGGTGTGTCAAGATAAAAGGGTGATTGTTTTGAAAAAATCAAAAATAGTTTATGACATAAAAATTTACAGAACTCTTATATATTTAATTAAACCTCGCCAAAATTCATGGTTGATTTGATATTGAAAAAGATGGTCGATAAATGAAGGTGTGTTATAGAAAAACGCAGAAATAACAATGATTTATTTACAACAATATTTTGACTGATATTGGTAATTTATTATTACATTTTACAGGACGAGGAATACCGTGGTCAATACCGACAGATAGAACCGCTCCTGCTGTGCATAATGTCAACGCCCGATTTTTTGTTGAATCCGAGAGGATTGGCATTAAAGTAAAATGGAGCTATCGAGGTGAGGCCGTGTATACGCTAATTTGTTTACTAAGGCCAAACAACGAATTCTATTTGATTTTCGGTAATGAAGTCATAATGTTATTAAATAAAAACCAAGCCTTTTCAGAAAGCCTCATAAATTATAAAATATTTATATCATGGTAGTGGCCAAGATTTCAAATTAGCTCTCTGTCCTGGTTAAATAAAAGCTTGTTAATTTCCATATACAGTTACGTATTTGCCAGACATTTCTGGAGGATTTTTGATTGAAGTACTATATTCTAAAGGTGACCCAAAATATTATCACTGCAATGTGACAGTTCAAAGAACTAGATCAAAGAAACCCTCTGTAAGTATGCTATTAGAATTTGGTTAAGTAATCAATTATTCTACCCAGCTATAGAAATTCGTATAATAAGATTATAATACATTTCAGATTACATTCCAATTCATATATGGAACTGGTACTGTACGACCAAAGGATGAATTTCTGTTTAAAATATCATCACTTCCGCTCTATACTTTTGATAGCAAGCCATCTAGCGAATCAGTTACATTACTTGTTAAAGGTTAGTATTCAGAAAAACATTACGAACTGAAATTCTATAGCATACTCGGTTCTAAAGCCCGGTCTCATTGTATTTGATTTCCACAAACAATAGTTCTTCCAAGTATTGTGGAAATGACCATGTTTTTGATTCTATTCTGAAATGAACTGATTCAAAAATTGAGATCAGTTCGTTTATGATCAATGACAAGTACAAACTTACACTAGCATTCCTAGTTTACTCAACACTGTAGGTTCTACATGCTACAGACAATGATTTTTTTTCCGCATACGGCCAGAAAACTAATAGACGGCATCTCATTCGGTGTAATACTAACTAACACATTATTACGCATATATATATCTAACAGGTTGCAAACACAAAGATATATCACGAACTATATACTGTAAAAGAGACAGAAAAAAAGTTTCTATCAGGATAGATGAGAACCCAGTACATGGTGAGCTGGCATTGAATTGTCTTTTGATATGGAGGGTATAGGCTCAATGCACTGAGGCCGACTAGAAATGAAATTTTGAAATACCAATAATATATTTATATTCAATATAGGCTATACTGTATTTCTGTTAGCAATTTGAGCATTGACTTTTTTCAGATCAAACAATCTTTGATCAAAGAATCTTTGTTACCCTTTTTGTGTTGTGTGCGATCCTCATCACTCTACTGATATTTTATTTTCTGGCCATCATATGCATATGCAACAAACCAGGTGGGTTCGGTTAATTGACACTAACTTTAGAGATGGCAAGCCTCTTGATTTTGCTGCTTTTTGGTACTAAAAACAAATTTACCAATGACTTTGTAAGTGTCATCTGAAAAGCTATTTGACAAATTACATAGTTTCTGTGTCATATTTGTGTTCTGGTCAAAAATATAATTAAGAAGATTCAATATAGCTGACAGTAAAATTTGCATTATTTTTCTTCAGGATTTCCTACTCTGACTCGTGTTAATCCTAGAACAATATTAATTGTTGGCAATGTTGACAATGAAAGAAAAATATTATTGACTAACGGACTTTATAACGTTTTACGTTCAAATGGAGGAAATAATGTATACACCATCTCCAATGTTCAAAATATGAATGCAATTGGACAAGAAGGAATAACTGTTTGGTTGTCTAAAAAAATGTCGACATCAGATGTTTGTATCTTCCTGACTGACAATGATCTGACAAATGACAATAGTCATGTCAATATCGCAATTGGTTTAGCAAAGAGCATGATATTAAAAAAACACCATATCAGAGCCACGCGCAAAAAGATCATTCTTGCTCACTGGAACAACACTATCCACCATGACAATATTGAAAATCTAGTATTTTGCCAACATTACCATCTTATAACAGACATCAAAAAACTATTGAAACATGCTCTCGGAGAGCATTTTTATTGCACGCCTCAAAATTGTGACGATTCAAAGGAATTATTATGCAGATTATTATCTACTTTACCCCAATCAGAGTCTATAATCAGTAATGTCGCTAATATTAACGACCTCAGTAATACAGATGTCATTGAAATCTGTGAAGAAGAAGAAACAATGAATATACTAAACCTAGATGAATTACCATCTATTGAATGCAACACATGAATTTCCGTCATCCGGTGTCTAATTACTGATCCCTATCTATCCAATCTTGGATATTATATAGTACATAACATAGAAGGATCTAAAGAAAAAAAATTTGTACATTTTTTTTAAATTAAAGACCTCAATATATCTAAGCCAACTTCTTACCTTAATGAAATGTACATACACAATTATGCAACTTGCCCTATCTAACTAAGCACATTTATTACATTACTAAATTTCCACTGTAATACATGAATTTTTTGTATCATATATTTTTCTATTTTGTATTAAAATGAACCTTGTCATTTTTCAATGATTTGTCATCATTGATGTTGACAAACATTCCCATAATTATCATGTCTGAGTGATTCAAAATTAAAGTTATTTATGTAGAATTTAGGTAGGCCCCATCAATGCTATACATTTATTTATACTACAATTTTCAGGTTTTTGTATTTTCAATACATTATCACTTGTGTTGTTATGCTTAACAAAATATGTGTGTTTATTTTTAGATGGTAGGCTGTAATGCAGAACTATGGGTTAGCTTTATGTTTGTTTCTGATATTACTTGTTTGCTGGAGTAAAGTGGTTGATGGTAAACATATTGAATGCAGGCGAAAGAAGTCAGAAAATTCAAAGTATTTAAATAAAAGAAAATGTTACTGTTATAATGGTAAGAATTTTGTACGAATCTAATACTACTTGATATCAGGGCTGTGGAGTTGAAGAAAATTTGCGCTAATCTCGATTCCAACTACAATAACTGCAAAAGTTGTTTATTGGAAATGCTTGGTCAATTCAAATTCTGAATCATGACTACAATATCAATAAAAATATGCAAAACTAAGACACCAATTTCACAGCCTTAGGTAATGTTCTTCAGATTATATCTGCACGTTCACGATCAAGATATTCTCTTTAAAGATAGAACAATGGCTTTTTGAAATTAATATGTTGGAACTAGGTGGGTACGAACTTGGATTCTCAACCAAGAAACAACATGCCCTGTTGATACATTGTTGCGTCACAATAACCTTTCAATTTTGTCATTCTCTTGAAATTTTAGAATGTCCACTACTGAAGGGCTTTTACTTGTAAACAGTACTCGCCCCTCACTTGAATTCCGGGAGAATTCTTGCTAACATACAGAACCAGCAAATCCCATAGCGCGCTGATGCTGCTTGATTTGAAAATGTCAAGCAAGATAATAAGATAATCGTTCGCTGAGGGAAATATTATTTTGACCAGTAGAATTGCCATTATTGCCGATTATTCAAGCTCTAAATATCATGCACAATCCATTAATAGTTTTTTTTTTACATAGTTACAGGTCCTGGGTGGAGTAAGAAAGAAGTTAAACCAGCCCCAGCAGTTTACAATCTTTCATTAGTTCAGTCTGCCTATAATATCTCAAAGGGTGAAACTCGAATTGGTGTTGATATTACTTGGACACAAAAGAGTAAGTTTATGTCAACACCCATAGCCAAGCCAAATACTTATGTATTTTGAAATAAATTACGAACAACCTACTAAATTGATGTATTTTGCATCAAATAAAGCAAAATCTAGAACAAAATGCTTTTCTTTGAGGGTCACTGATCCATTCGTTTGACTTTTATAATCATTATGTTAAATTTTTCCTCTCTGCAATTGAATGCAAAATGTTTTTGTATTGTTAGCTTTTAATTTTTTGATATTACAGGTTCTGATATTGAATATATAGACCCAGGGTACTTCATTGAAGTTGTAGACAGAAGCAGCAATGAGGATTGGCAATATAAATGTCTTATAAAAGTTAACAATTCAAAAACCGAAATGGTAAGAAATGTGCCTTATTATTAGTGATACAGGTAACCCTCAAAAAACACAACCGATAATTAATTCCTTCTATGAAAATGAAAAAAAATATATTCGGAACTTCTGCTTGTGTATGATTGTACCCCAAAAAAATATGTGGATGGAACTTAAATATTCGAAATAAAGAAATGTAAATATCCCCAAACTAAGGCGGGCAGAATCAAATCTAACAAATATTTTTATTGTTAATTAGTTTCACGCCCCCTCAAAATATTGTCTACGCCTCCACCGTTTGAGAACCACTATACTAGAATATGACCAAATAACCTGGGTTCTGTTTTGGTTGGTCATCCGGTATCTGTCACTATCTTACACATACCAAAGTTTACACTAAAACGCAATGATATCTAAAAGGAGCAGTCCTTTTTTGTGCGAAATTGTTTTATGAAACGGAATTGCTCATAGATAAATATACTAGCATAAAATGGTTAAACCTACCGGTATGTGGAAATCACACTATGACTTAATCTTCTGTCATTAACAAGCGTTTAATATCTCAGCTATGACCCTAATTCTTGAAAATTTCTTATATTTTTTAGGTGACGTTTCGCTACACTTTTAAAACTATTCAACACCGTGATGAAATAGTACCAGGAAAAACTTTCTACATAAAAATATTTGGACTTCCAATGTACAATAAAGATGACACGCCATCATCTGTTAAAGGCGAAATAAAAATAAAAAGTACGCTAACGCTTGAAAGAGACTATGATTTCTAATTTTGGTATATATTTTGAAGCATGAAATACAAAAAGCATGGGTGTTTTTTTTTAATCTGCCTCCAGTATGCCAGAAACATATTACCCACAAATAACTTTTCCATTGTTTAAAATCTTCCAATGATTCTGTAGATTATATTTAAACTACGCAGCAGGTGCTTTCAGCAATAATAACCAGTGAGAGTTTCACCTTACCACATAGATGTATGATCATTTTGCTTATTATTTACTACAGAATGTGGAAATACTCAATCCTGTATTCATGATAAAAAGAAAAAAACAAACAAAAAAAACAAGCGAATAAAAGGTTAGCTTAATTTTCAATAAATAATATTTATATAGTCTCCCACTGCTTAAATGACCTAATATTATTTTTTAGGTTCAAATTTGCGCCCAAAGGAAGAAAATAATGTAAAGAATAAAAATAAAGGTATATAAAGAAAAATATTATATTAGCTGAAACCGATTGTTATCTGAATTTATTCTTCAGAGATATCGTACCATTCGAAAATACAATACTTGTTTTTTAGTAACTCAGCTTAAATTTCAGTTCAAAACAAATAGTCTGCTTCTGCCTAAAATAAAGGTATAGTGATGTCCTATTTACTAAAACAGAACGAAATTGATTGTTATCTGAATTAATTTTATTACAGATAACGTACCATTCGAACATACAATACTAGTTGCTGTATTCGCCACCGTAGCAGTGATCTCAGTTATTGCCATCATTGTTTATAAAACTTCACAAAGTAAGTGGGATCTATTTCTGAATAATACCATTATGCGTATCTAAATTGCTACTTAATATGGTAAAGTGTGTGAAAACAGAGGTTCAGGAGCACCATGAAAACTAGTGTCAATGCGTTATTGCTGCAAACAGATAAATATATATCAACCTGATATCGTGGGACTTAAGCTCTGAACAAGGCCATATATAAGCAACCACTGATATATCATGACACGTAAGAGGTTACTTTACTTTCCAGTTAAGAAATGTCTACCCAATTTATTACACTCTGGGTAAGATGAAGAGCAAGAAATTTTAATCAAGATTTGTAAACTGCAATACTAAATTTTTAACCGGTACTACGCTAGTGATTCTCATTTGGATGTTTATGTTCCATCCACTTATTTTCAACATGATTTTTGAATAAAACATACTTTCGCCTCACTATTAGCTTACTAGTTGGTGGGGCGCGAGAACCACTGTGCTAGGCCATCGCTCCACGCGATTTGTGTAAAAATGATAATATTCTGGTAATTCCTTACAGGGGAAAGAGAGAAACTACCAAAAGAAGTTCGACATATTTTAGTAATCGGAGATTACATTGAAAGATACACACCGGTGGTCAATCGATTAATTGAAATTTTCAGAGAAGATAACGTTGAAATTCATTCAAATATACGACAAGTTTCAGAAGTGGGACAAAATGGTATCATAACATGGACGACAGAAGCACTGGAAAAAGTGGATGTTGCAATATTTGTTGTAAACAGCTTGTCACAACTTAGAAACGAAGATGTAACAGTAATTAAACAAAACGGAAAAGATCAATACTCTCCTGTTAAAATAGCTATTAGAATCGCAGAAAACATTGCACTGAAAAAAGGTTTCAAAAACTCCAGAAAGAAATTCATAGTTGTAGATTTGAACCAATGCATCGTCGAAAATCCCTTAATAATGTGTGAAGTTTACAACCTGGAAAAAGACTTCAAAAGAATGCTGAAACATGCACTCGGACCTAATTATAAGGATGAAAATATAAAGCAAAAGAAAGAGACGTTAGCTAAGTTAATTTCCGCAAGTCGAAAACCAAGATCAACCAGACCAAAAGAAAGATCTCTTCAACCGGTGATTGATTTTGAAAAGTCAAACAATCTTGATGAATCCATTCCACACGAGTGTGAACAAATACCACTGAATTCTTTAAATATACAACAAGATCAGCCACAGTCTGTAGAATGTAACGTATGTAGGTAGCAGTTTATTTGTGTAAAAAAAAAAATCGATTTTATCATCATCTTTAGTAAGATTGTATGTATACCATAGCTCTGTAGTACACAAACTCTTTTTTTTCTTTCTTTATTTCATACTTACCAAAAGCAAGACAACGATAAGAGAGTGAATGATTTATTAAAATTTTCGGCGAAACTAGCCTTGTATATTTTTCCACTTTAAACGTGATTTTATTTGAGCAATTAAATTCTTCACTTTCATTGATGCAATTGTATAATCTTCATATTGTTTTTTTCTTTCTATGTATTATTATACTGTGTCTTATCAGTACCTTCACTATGTCATTTTCTAACATGTGTCTGATTTATCAATCACCAAGCTCACTGTCATCAACTGTGTCTGCATATCCGTACAACTTATTTGTTACTAATGAATATTTTGGATTTTAATACAACTAACCAACGAGTACATTTCTTTGATATTATAATTTTTCAAAAATTTTTACTAATTTCTGCAAAAACAAAGCACATCTCTGGTTCATATCTCGCCCATTATTGAATATTTGTAAAGGACCTTTTTCAGATTGAAATTCGTTGATAAGAATTTTATAAAAAAGAGCAACTCAATCAGCGACGATTGTCTCCCGGGGAAGTCAAAACATTTATAAGGCACCATAATTGAAGCCAATTTTTATAATTGTTTTTTCAAATTTCTATCGATTTGTTGGATGACTATTTTTATTTATTCTTGTCTGTTTGAAACTGTATAATATGAGACTTGAGATATCTAGAATTAAGATTTTGACTTACAGTGGCAAAACAAAACAAATTTGCTGGATGACTTTTCATTTATTCATGCATGATCATTTCATTCCTATCCGTTGTGTGTAATAAAATTACTCACGTAAAATGTTTGATACTTTATTGATGGGACTGTAGAAATAGATCTCTAGAATGGAGAATATGACTGCTGACAGTGGTAAAACTAATTTGTTGGATTACTTTTCATTTATTTATGCATGATCATTTCATTCTTCTCCGTCGGTGTGTAATAAAATTACTTATGAAAAATGTTTGATTCATCTTTAGTTGAGATATCTAGAATGGAGAATATGACTGCTGACAGAGGTAATTTGTTGGATTACTTTTATTTATGCATGATCATTTTATTCTTTATCATCTGTTCATGTGTAATAAAATTACTTACGAAAAAATGCGACTCTATAATATTATTCAAATCAGATGGGGAAAGAAAATATATAACTTTTAGTTTCATATTACTTTATTATGACTGGTTGGTTACCGTACAAGTTATTTTTTCTTATGTACAGATATATGTGAAACTGAACACCTTATATGTAACAAATTTGAGGGAATTGCCATAAGGAAAAAGAATGATAATTTTTTGACCAAGTTTCGATTCCACGTCTGAGCTATCACATCAGGAAGCTAAATTATTTGCATATACAAACAGAGCGTCATCAACAATCTCTCATATTCCATTAAGCAACCAATTGAGTAGATAATTAATCAAGGTTTGAATATTTCGGAAAAGCTGTATTGCACAAATCAGTGGTTCCCAACCTTTTTCGATAAATTTTGGAACCATTATTCCTTTCTTACTAGGCATGTCATACAATCTTCAATAAGGGATCATTGCCTAATAATAGGTGCAACCTACAGTTTGAATAGTTCACGCTTCCATAAATATGTATCACAATAATACTTTATCACAATAATACTTTATAACTAAACATAATTTGTGGAACCACCCTACATACAGAATGACATTTCCTCCCTAGGAAGGAAAACGTTGCATAAAGTATAAACAGATATAGTTTCAATACTAACATTAGATGAAACAACAATAAATTCAGGAGGGAAGTTAGCATATATATCAAATTGATGTACAATGCACATCTGTTGAGATAAAAGCATAAATGTATGAAATTAACGAATGACTAGAAAATATATAATACAAATAAAAATCCAATTACTCAAATGTCTGTATGAAAACCAAACAATAATACATGGTACTTTACTTCCTATATGTGTCTGAATTTGCATACGAGTTGAGCAAACTTTTGTCTATTCTAGTAAACAGTTTCGGAAGATTTTATGAAATGAAAAACGAGAGAAAAATGAAAATTGATCCCATAAATTAAAATAGCAAAATTATGACCTCCGTAAGACTCCATAATGGTTTGAAAAACGCAAATGCTAATTTATCACAACAAAGATTTAGTAAAGTGATCCATAGATCCACTTTGCGTCGAAAAGTGAAATGTTATATTTTCAAAACAAACAGTTTTATACATAAGGTTTCAATACTCGTCATTGTCTGGTCAGTTGAATATAAACCAATTGTGACACTGAATTTTAAATAAGGTAGTAAGTCATTTTGAAATCAAGACTAGTCAATCATCGAAAACAGTATAGGTGTATAATGGTGGTATTCTTAAAATTTATTCAAACATCATAAAACGAAAAATTTATATTTGAAAAACATTATAAAGCTTGATATTTTATTTACAAAATGGTTATCTGAAGCAAAGCAAAATTCGTTTTCCTGCAAAACATCTCTATACGAAAATACATATAATATGAAGATAATTATTTTCGATAGATAAAACAATAGATCCTCATGAATGATGAATCGTATGGCACATGAATGGCACTTTCGACAAAGGCTAAGAAAAATATTATCATAATCAGAGGTGGAGAAGGGTGGGTGGAAGAGTGGGAGGAAACAGGACGCAATCAATATCGACAAACACAAACAGCTCAATTGTTTTCTCCTCGAGACTGACAGCTCAGTAGAGATTCATCGACTAATTATTATACGGGTATAAGTAGATTAAGGAGTGTAGAAAATTAGGAAACAGGAAATCTCAATTCACTTGATTCTAGTATATCCATTATGTGTTTGGGCATATATATGCGAGACGTTCAAAACATGGTTTATGATGGATGAGAAGTAATCAAGTAGCAAGTCTCAATTCTTGAAATCAATGCATGCGCTTGATAGAAACCATTCTCTAGATCACATATCAGAATACCTAATAATTTCAAGTTTCGGTTAGCTTTTCTGGTATCAAATTGTATCTAAAACGTTGCAAGTTACATTGGTTCAAGTAGATTCCCTGCCATGTTCCATCAAGTGAATGCATACGTGCAGAGGCTCGGTTTCTCAGAGAGCATGTGATTAGATAGATATATTTCATATCAGAGACTAGTTTTTATTTTGGATATGAGCAATGAAGTTGTTGAAAAAGAAAAGATTGATATATATAGTATTTATAAGCCTAATCGCAAGTTTTTGTGATGCGTACATAACCTGTAGCGAAGAGATTGGTAAACTGTGCAAGAAGAAAGATGTACATAACGGTAAGTCTGTGTTGTAGCTGAAAAATGCTCATTAATATAGAAAACCCTGTCATTGTAGTTGGTCATCTCAGCATTCCGTCTTTTATATCATGGTGGTAAAATGTTTGTTAGAAAAGGTCTGACCATGATTGGGAAAAAACGTCATGTGAATGACTTTTATATATGATGCAAGACTTTGTTTTTCTTCAAACAGTATCTAACGAAAGCTTAACACATACTCAATACGCTTAATTGTAATGTTTTTATGTCACTTTAAAAAATAATTTATCCATCTGGGTAACGTATTTTATATAGTGGGTCACCAACTTTTGGCGGTTACAATAAATGCATATTGAACCATGATAATGAATTCTGTCATCTGTCATTTTCAAATTTCAATCATGCAGCTACAGCTTCCGCAACCTGTCTCCTCTGCAGGTTATTAATGGCAAAACAACAAGCATGTTCTTGAAGCATACCAATTACGGTACATCACCAATCTTCTGGTTTATATTGATTATGTTGTTTCTATACTTTCAACAGATGAAATACCATACAGTAAAGTTGGAGAAATGACAGCACCAACTCCAGAATGCATGACTGTAACCTTACTTGATCAAAATGGTTCAGAACATTTGACAAAAATAACTTGGATGCAAAAGTGTATGTATCTAACTTTTATATGTATGTGTAAACTATTGTCATTCAATGAACCACGTCCTTAACGGTTTTTATGAAGTCTGCTAATTTCAGAAAAGTCGAAATTTTAGAAAATTTTCAGAAGACCGCTAAGAACCCTTTAATTAATACAAAGTTAAAATTCAAGATTGCGATGGTTGCGATTTCAATGGTACACTTTCACATAATTCGGAAATTAAAATATTTTTGATATTTCATTTGTAATGTTTGACTTTGACTATAATCAAAATATATGTACAGGGAATGACTTGCAGTATGTTGATGGATACTATATGTCGATACTTAACAGTGCTTTTATGGATTTTACAACCGCTCAATACCTTTTTCAAATCAATAAAACCGAACTAGAAAAATATAAAGATGAGAGTGGATACGTGAGTGAAATTTTGAGACATTGCTACGATATAAAGGAGAATACTATGAGAAAAAAAAAACAAAGCAAAATAAAAATATACAATAATGAGCAGGTTATTGTTATTTTTTATAGAAGTTGCTCATAAAAAATATCAAAGCACCACATTTATTTTTGTATAGACAATTTAATGATGCTATCGTTATGACAGATGCAAAGGCACTTGTTTCCTCTATCTTTAAACCTCAGTAAAATATAAATTGTTTTTAATAATTATAATCTTTGTTCACTATTAAATGGTACGTCTGAAAATTTCAGCATTTTGTTTGAACCATCTATTCCAGATATTTTTGCAAATATTCTGTCCAACTTATGTCACAGGGTTCCCCATTATTAGATAGTTTCAATCAAAATCTGTAATATATATTATTGTGTAATTTACTTTTTGGTTACCCCTTTCTTCTAATTGATATACATTAGGTTACATTCAGTTTCAATGACCACAAAGAACTGTCAGGAAAAATTGCCATCATTATCTCATCAATGCCAATGTATCAAACTGATGATAATGACCATTTTCTTAAAGTCAATATTGATGGTTAGTTTATTTATTTAATTCACTTTATTGTATATAAAGATGAATAAACATTTTCTAAGTAATTTATAATTATACAATTAGCCATTTATAAGCAACTCATAACAGAGTTGTATTCACTCATATTAAACAATAAGCTCAATCTATCATTAAATTATAAAGATAACTTATATATAAGAATTGCTATTTATATTTCTCTTTGAACAACTTGACGAGCGCAAATTATGCATGAAAAGAAATATAAACATTTTACATCATTGTTTTATTTCTCACTAATCCTTGCAAATTAAACACAAAATACCAATGAACATTTTGGAATTTGCATCACCATACATGCCGCCATTATCAATTATAGTTTTACTGATAAACCTTTATGTTTTGATCGTTTTTCAGCCATTTATTCAGATCCATATATCACAAAGACAGAAACTATTTGTTTAAACAACCAAACAGGTAAAGAATTAATTCTAAAAATATTGATGCCAATTCATGAATATCTCACATTTTCATTTTCAAAAGTAACTTGATAAATGTTTAAATATTATTACAACTTTTATATCAGATAACAGTGAAGCCATAAACACTCATATGAAACATAGATATGAAATTGCCCAGAGTGCCCTGATGCGATAGTTAAAGCCCATTGTTGCTACAGATAATGAAGGATCCGAATATGGAAGTGAAATGCTCGGTATAGATTCTCAAGAATATGATATTGGTAGCAGCGAAAATTTCCCAACTGATCCTGATGACGTAGAAGTGTCAAGAGATTCACCACTTTGTGACACTACTGGAAGTGAGTGATATTTAAAACAAGGTTGTAACAATTTAACGAGTCAGTTATTGACTTATTCCCAACTCAAATCACTTGGTAGAATGACTTGGAAGGAATTTTTCTCCACTCATATTGTTTTTTCGAATAACCTCTGACATCAAGTTAATAACTTGAGATAATGATAACACCTAACACTAAGATCGCAACAGTACAAATAGTGAAACGGCCGAAGATTGTAAAATTGTAAAGATGTTAAGTTTCACTACATTGGGTATTGTAATAATCAAAAGTGAATAATGCAAAAAAACATGTATCGAATTTCAAATATGAACAGTAGTGTAGAAACATGATTTATTGCCATATATCATTTCAAGCCTAATAATTTTTACTGCTTTTTTACAGCATTAATTAAGATTATTGAATCTCTCTGTTTTGCAGTGGTACCTGTAAGTGTTACAATAATAGCATGTGTTATATCTGCACTGATGACTGTGTTTACCATAATCGCAGCTATAGCATTGTACTACGTCATCTGCAGAGCCATAGGTAAGAATATAAAGCTAATTAGATTATAAGAATAGATATAAAATCTATTCTTCTTCAAACTAAATTTTTAGCAGTAAATTTCCTGAAATATTCATCGCACTTTCAATTTTGTTTCAAAACAAGAAAATATGAATATTTACTGAAAAAAAAAGACAAAAATGTTTCCTATCAAAACATAATGTTAACATTGCAGAGAAAGAACACAAAAGAAGAAAGAAAGAAATGTCAAATAGAGGGCGTATAAAGAAGCAAGGTCAGTGGCTAATGTTAGAATCATAACATGTATCGGGCTTGTTCGAAGCAAAAGGGGTGAAAAAAGAGTAATATGAAAAATGCATAATATAAACTAATATCCAGGCTTCAATATCACTATCAATTTCTAAGACAATACTTTACTTTCTATTGCGACAGAATCAAAAATAAAGTCCAAAGTGATGATTATCGCCAACATGATGGATGCTGAGGAACAAGTAAAGGATGAAATATACAAAAAAGCTGCATTGTGTCTTGCAAATATATTATACGAAAGTGGAGAATTTGAAGTTGGTTGCAATCTATGGGTAATGAAAGACATTGCACAAATGGGAATAGCAATGTGGACACACAATATAATCACATCTCAAGACAAAATAGTCTTGGTGTGCAATCCCTACACAGTTGCTGCATTGAAGAAATATTGCCCTAATGAAGGTGTCAGCCAGAATAAAAGTCTCGTTCACAACCCCAATTCCTCCGCTCAGATCATTTATAGGATACTAATGAGCACCCACACTCTTGAGAAAAAACTAGTCATTGTTTGTCTAAATGATGAGGAGCATGACTGCTTAGCAAACCTGACACTACCTACTTTGAATCACTGCGAAAGATATGACCTCATTCATCAATTTGCAGATTTAATACAAGCATTATATAAGAATCCCAATGATGCAAAGCGTATGAAAGCAGAAATAATGGCAACTATGCAGAAAAGTTTAACCCACATATTCCTTGCAAATAAAAATCAAGATGAAATTGATAAAAAGGTTGGAAATGACTTTGATAGACTGAAATCTTCAATACAAGAGCAAATGTGGCTGATGAATGAGAACAAACCGGCACAGAAACTACCAGATAAAAAATTCCCTCATAAAAACAATAATCCTGCGGCAACAACAGAAAAAATCATTCCTGATACCGGTATGCAATTTGATTCAATGTTTTCTTCACGATGCAACAGTCACAGCACAGAAACTATTTCAAGCTGTGGGGATACGGGATTCCAAGAGAACAATCACATGCATTACCAATCACATTACCATCCCGCTGGAGCCAGACCCAGGACTTATTCAAATAAACTCTAGTCATAAAGGTGAAACTGATGCAAATAGAAGCAATGCTTGCAAACAGAATATCATAATAATATTAACAATTATGTTGATGTGTAGCAGTATTGCATTCATAGCACCACCCACATAGGAAACACCCACACAACTTCTCTATAGAGAATTTTATTGACTATTGTGTCCTAAAAATAACCACTTGTCCTGCACACCATTTTTTTTAATTTTGTATATTTTTTTCTCTTCAAAGATATCCAGACTATCATGTATTTTGTATAACATCAGATATTTTTTATGAGTTAATGCATTTAATAAAATCAACTAAAACCGAGGAATATAAATATTTCAAACGACAGTGAGTTTTCAAGGTAGATCACCGTTGTGCGTGGGCTACAATAGCCCTTCAGTATAATTTTATGAGGCCCACAGGAAGAAAACAGTATCAACTTAACAGTAATAGGGAGAATTACATTCTATGTACCATTGCTGACTTAATTTGACAACATAATCAGACTCATTCTTGACTGTTTTTGCATATAACAATAGACACAACATAATAATATAAGTAAACATCAATTTAGATTGTAAAATCAAAATCATTTTTTAATAGTATGAATCTTTAGTAATTTATTTCCTAAAGAAGCTACCGCAGATTATATATTTACTATACTACATACAATTTTGGTATATTATTTGAGGGAAGTAAAACTGAAGTATCTTGAGTCACATTTATCAGAAATGAACTTGTTTGATCTGTCGTTATGTACTCGTTACTTATCGATTTTAAGTATGTTGATAGGTATTTGTCTGTCTGTGTGTCTGTCTGTTAGATGAACGCGATATCTCACGAAAGCGAGATTGGATCTGCTGCAGTTGCATGTGCATTCATCATATCTCGTATCAGGAGCCTATTGATTTTGGGCGAATTATGTCGTATAATTAGCGAGTTATCAATTAATTAGTGATGGGACACAAGGTGTCAATATGGAGTAAGAGCGCTGTTTTGGGGGATCCCCTAACTTTTGATGAAAGAGTCTTATATCTGACCTATATCTTGTTTAAGTTTTGATTTGGCCATTAGATCTTAAATTGTTTAGAAATCTTGAGATAAACTGATTTGCTTCTACTGTGCCGATTATGAAAGGTAAACCACTAGGATTTTCAAATTTATTCGAAAAGAGCTAAAGATAATAAGATTGCATAATCCTATTGCAAACCAAATTCTGTTATGAACAAACACGGGAAAAACATAGAATGAAGTAAACATACAAAACAAACTCAAAGACAAGAGATGATAACAGAATTATTAAGTGTCTCAGTAACGACTAGTTTAGTTTGATAAGTATGTATGATCGTATGATTCATTTCTTATAAAAAGATAAATGGGTCTGTTATGTTGCTAAATGTTGGGAATGACAAATCAGTTTCATTTACTCTGTAAACAGTGTTCTGTTAATAAACAACATATAATAAATGGTACCACAAGAAGTTATCTCGCCACTCAGGCGAGTCTGTCGTATTGAAAGGCACTGAAGCGTAATGTATAGCGTGGGTGGACACGCATTCCCTTAAGGGTTTGGAATTTCCCACTTTTAGGAACAATGTGTCTAAGCGTGTGATTGTGTAAATGCTTGAATTAAAAATACAAAAATTGTAAACTTCTTTACTTTTAAACTTTAGATAATGCTATCAATATGGTTAGCGTATAGCATCATTTTATACTCAGGAATAACAAGAGCTCAAAATTGTAAGAATCAGCAAAGCTGTTTGTGTAGAAAGCAGCAAAACTGTTTGTGCGATGATTATCAGGAAGTAGCTTGCAGTTCTGAATGTTTGAAAGAAGGTACAGTGGGTTATCTTCAAGATGGCCGTGCTTTTACTTGTTCTGTCCATGGTGCAAATAGAGGTAAGAATAATTTTAACTTTTTAGAAACTTTAGAGTAAGATAATTTTTATGATTTAAAAAGACAAAAATGTTTGATTCATTACTGGTACTTTATTTTGAGAAATTTTCTACCAAAATACTATGCCATATGTATCAAAAGGGGTGCGTGCATACCACACATTTGTGTTTAGGCCAGTATGCTCTTATGCATGCATCAAGTCTTTAACATTATTGTCAGCTTATTTATCTATTTTGCTAGCAATAAGGGACGGATAAATGTATATACATTACCATGAAAATTAGGTAATAATCAACAATATTACATAATAATATATTTGTAGACTCTTGCAATAAGTTATAACTTGCCAAAGGATCCAATTATATGAAAACGGATGATTTTTTTTGTAATATTTGTATTAACTAATCATATACAAAAGTGTATGGTTACCAATACATAAAAAACTACCAACTATGGGCTTGTAGTTTTACAAAAAAAATTATGCATTTCTGAAAGAATAAATTATTCACTCGGGATCTAAAGCTATTTATTTAGGATAGCGTTAAAAATGAAACTTTGTATGACATAAAAATTATTTGAAATCACAGACATACCTCGACCAACAAAAAATGACACAACAGCTTGTATGCCAGTTTCATTCAGAATCAGTTGCCACAAAACTTTCATAAGAAGTATTTACGTACCAACACTGAATATGTCATGGGACCAAGAAGGTATGTACCATAGTAATAAATAGTTCCGTATTTCAATAAGTTTTACATTTTATTAGTGAAAAAGTAAACATCAGTTCAATTGATGCAGACTCTGAAATGAAAATTTTATTCAAAAGTAGGTCGTGATTGATGACTGATATACCAAGAGCAAAAATGACATCATAGAATACATTGATGGTGAAAAAAACAGAACCCAGGTCATTTGGAACATATTCTAGATAAAAACATAATTTTTGTGCAGAAAATCATAGATTACTGAAACTTTTGCATACAATCATACACAAACATAAATTCAACTGTTGAAGTGGTAAATTTGATAATTATTTCATAATAAAATTTCAAGTAATTAAGATTAAGAAATTCATGAGTTCTTTTTGGGTTATCGTGTATCGGTAGAGGCTGTCATCGAATAGAGATTGATGCTAGACTAGAAGCAATTAATGTTAACAGTATGTATATACCAAATTGATATCCATCTGCATACTTTACTTATGAGAGGAACATAACATTGTAAATATCATTGAAATGATAGATAGATGTTTTGCAATTTAGAAAGTTTAGATAATTTGAACAGTGTATTCTTGAATAAATGTAATTACTGATGAAAAATTTGCATCCTTCGTTTTAACTTTTCAATTGGATTAGCTCAATACCATTAACTATTTTTTGCAAGTTTGAAGCCTAAAGATAAGCTAATTAAGATTTCCCATGTCCATTCTATCAGCATATCTTATTAGCCTTTACTACATTTACAAAAAATACTATTATATCTTAAATTATAAGAATACAAAAAAAGAATTTGAAATTTTTTGATATTATAAACAGAAAGATTCATTCGAGACGGTGATATCACTGGATTTTACCTTGTTGAAGGAAACCTGCGTTATAAAGTATCTATTGATATCAAAAATGACAAAAGAAATCATTCTATGCATGTGGTGAGAAATTACAATTCAGATTAAACAGCTTTAACTTCACTATAAAAAATACTGTTATTATTTGGGTAACTTTAATCAAGGACAAGCTAATAGAACAAGCCTCATCATGAGATAAATGTTATTAAGCCTAATGCAGAAAATTCGCGCATAATATTTGGCTTCGAAGCAAGATAAGATTTTCATATTTATCCCGGAAAAGAAGAAGACCAACGGTGAAGCATACCCCAGCCTCACACCCAGTTGCCAGTCCATGTTGGGTATGGAATTAGTTAGCCAGTTATTTGTTTTAGATGTATGTACTTGATGATGAAGGAAGCCATAACTGCCAAGTTGTCACATGAACCTACCTACAGTGGCCAGGAGCCCATCAACCCTCACACACATAATTATCCCACATAGAATTTGAACTTGCGAACCCACGTAGAAGAATCAGAGGTGCAAAGGAAGGCGTATTCCTAGCACTTAGCATGATGCGCCAACTGACAAGGTCAGGATAAGATTTTTAAAATGATCTTAGAGGAGAGAAAAGGTCTGGTAAGGAACAGGCCAGCCTAATGGTAGTCAATTCTACATTACTAAATAATCTCAAATTGGTTTCGAGCCTATGAGGATACATCACACAGTAATTCTTATTTTTTCACTATACTATAAATAAATCTCTGAAACATCTGTAATCTCATAGCATATCCACAATTTTTCAGCCAAATAATAGCTGCATACGATTTCGATATGATTGTTTTGGAGCACATAACGATCTACTTGAACCAGAAGAAAAAATGCAATTTTGGGTTGCATCATTACCAATGTCACAACCAGACGACCCAAGAAATGGTCTTTGTGCCGAGTTTACTATTCCTAACCAGGATGAATGTATGTTATTATATTTTTAATAATAAGATATTCTGTGGGCATAATGGTCATGTGATTATTTAGCACTATTTATGTATAGTGCGTGTATAGCTTTTCAAAAATCTCTGGTCCAAGCACGATGCCAATAAGCCCAGGGTGGAGTAGATCCAGTCTGCTATAGAAAATTAGAAAGAATGCGGTTTTTCCTAACAGAGCAGTCTCCTAAGTATCACTTTGTTTATTGCAAAAAAAATGAGCATTTCAATGATTATCAACAATTACAAAAGTGAACCTGAATCTGATACCTGGGTAATATTCGAAGACAGTAATTAGCAATAACATGACTATTGCCAATACTATTCTGCAACCAGCTTTTTAACAATAAATTTTATTCCTCAACAGGTGGGAAGACATATTTGAGTACCACAACAACTACAACAACCGAAGAACATACAGAGCAACAAAGTACACCTTCATATACTGGTAATGATCACAGTATAAGCAATTTATAATTTTCAGTCACTGGAGTTCTTTAACAAAAAGAAAAACTTTCTCAGCCATTACACTAATTCTTGCAAGCCTTACTAATCAAATTTCCCCCATTCACCTTTTTTGTTAAACTAGTCTGTAAGTCAGTTTGAGCTTAAAAAACCGAAATTTATTTCAATGTTCAATGCAAGTGGTAGGCACATTCGATTTCAGACACACGACTAATTCTTTTACCATGGACTGAGTTGCTCTTTTCACACTTTTAGTAAGTTCTAAGACATTTAGAGAGTAGCTATTGACAAGTGCAGTTTATAAAACAACAAATGAAGACGGTATGTAATATATTGAAAAACACGTTTATCCTTTTTGCTGTCCTTACACACTGTGTTACACAGACCCTTAATAATTATTTTACAAACTCATAATTATGATATTAATCATTTCAGAAACAATATATTTTATTTAACAAATATTAGAATAGGATTTCATATTTATTAGGGGGAGAGAAAAAACGCAGCCTCCTGTCCACGTTGGATTTAAGACTAGTTAACAGGGTATATGTTTCAGATGCATGGACTTAGAGGTGGTGGAAGCCATAACCATATGCCATCCCATGATACCAAGAAGTCCAGCAGATCTTGCGAACACAATTATTCCCCAGATTTGATTATCCCTAAGATTCGAATCTGCGCGCACCTAATCAGAGGAGGAATGGCAGAGGAGGAATGGCTAAAGATTAGCACAATAAGCCAAACGCCAAGTCTTAAATGTACTATACTTGAATACATATTAATATACTCTTCAATCTCTTCAGAAAATTGGATAACATTCTTCATTGTGATTTTGGGGATATGTTTGGTCATTGTGGCTGCTGTGGTAATATATGTGAAGAAAAAGAAAAAGCAAGGTATTATGCCTATTCACTTAATATGCCAGTAAAGCAGTTGTGATATTTTATTTTTTTTATGTGACACTCACTCATGCCTTTTACTCCAAACAAACCCCTGTACAAGAAGTCACTCATATCTAACAATAGGTAAGGAGCTTACATATATGAAAAAGCAAATCTTTTCAGTTAGGCTTTACACTCTGGGTGAGGTGGGGACACTTCATCTGCTGCTCATAAATATGGATAGGGAGTAGCAGCAGATACATGCAATTACAGAAACTTTTATACAAATTGTCATTAAATGACCCTAAATGTTATTAAATGCTAATGTAAATACCCACAAAAAAGGCAAAATTACTTTTCTGGTCTCCCCAGAAAAATATTACTAGCTGCTACCATTTAGTATATACAGATAATATTTTGTTATAGGCCAAAACTTTGAGAAAGAGGAAAATACTGACTTCAAAATAAGAAATATTCTGATGGTAGCTGATAAAAAAAAGAATTGTGATGAAGTGCATGGAATAGCAACAAAAATGAGGGAATATTTCTCAGAAGTACAAGTGATCTGTAACTGGGAAAATCGTAATGAAAAATCAATTAGCAACTGGTATTCAAAAAGAATGGAGGAAGCAAATGTTGTAATATTTGTTGAAGGAGTGGAAATTTTGAAAATGCTGGAAATAAACAATAAGGAAATACAACAACAAACTGATTTTACAATGGCAATCAATCATTTTTTATTTCAAAGTAGAAAAAACATTTTTAAACCAGCAATGTTTTTAGTTAGAAATGAAAGGGACAGTTTTTACATTTTGACTATGCATAAAGCAAAAAACTGTCATGCCTTTCTCATAAAGAATTCAACAGATGAAGAGTTTTATAGGTACTTGGAATCCATTGCAGTCGCTACGCCTGCAAAAAATAGTAAAATTAAAAAACAACATCCAAAAAATCAAGCTCAACAAAAACAAAAAATAGGTCTAGAAGAGCAAGAAAAATTCATTGAGCAAGACAATGAACACTACAAAGCAAATAGAGCCAAGTCAAACGTTGTTCATATAGAAATGGAAACAATAGCTGAAGTACATGCTATTGATAAAGATGAAAATGGTAATACACAGATCGGTGAACGTGACCCAAACAACTGCGTACAAAAAGGAGCAAGACCAAAAGAAAGAACAACTGGCCTATAGAAAACCATTAGCAATTTTTCCATAGTGTTTTAAGATTGGCGACAAAATAATGCGTACATTTGAAATCATTGACAATTATAAATTAATAATGTTTTTTTACGATAAAGAGTTTCTCACATTTTATATTAGAATAAGACTATAATATAATAATATAATTATGAGAATTCATTCCCACTTGCAATACCCAAGAGAAAATGCACTAGTGAAATTCTCTTATTTACATGGTTCTGTCAGCAGTATTTTATAAAATTTAGGGCAAATCAGAAAGTGTTGAAAAAGCTCAAAGACGAAATTTTAATTTTTGTACAAACCTTTGCTAGTACAACATTTTCATTATCATTTCTTATCCTGATGCAGTATTTTAGCAGAAGTCATTGAGAACATGTACTCAGTATCTAAAATTACTTGCAATTTGGTACATTTTGTTCTTATTTCGACCCCAAATAGACAAGGGGTAAAATTTAATATTCTAATTGAAGTTGTATGACATGAGAGTACAAATTAAACAAACATAAAATATTGAGCATTTGCATTTTTATTTCGCAATATTCATCATTGTTTACCTCATTTAAGTGCTCAAATCTGCAAGTAAGTCAAGAGTTTGATGACATGGCAACTGGCATTATTATAATCATTTCTCTTTCTATTCCTAGTAGGCCTATAGTTTAGTGTGATGGGTATTGTCAATATATTTTTAATTAAGCACCATGTGACAACATTTGACTTTTTTTTATTAACTTTGTGCTTTTATTCGATTATATTTACCAGAAAAAAAGTTTGACTGATTCAAAACATGTTTAAAGAGTTCAGTCAGCCATGGATGGGTTACAAACAATGCTTTAGGTTGGTACTGAAAACAAGACTATCCCACAGAAAACAGAAGAACAAGCCATACAAAGCCAACTATTTGCTTAACAAGAAAATAAAATTCATGGAACCTAAGAGTCAATAGTACAAATTTTTACAATTTCATTCATGTCTGTTCAGGCTTTTGATGTGCTAAGCGGAAAGCACATTATGATGTACCAGTATGTTTACGATGTATTATAAAAATGATCTTAAAAACAGGCGTCTCTATTGAAAGTAAGGTCAGGGCAATAACCATTCGAGAAATGGTTATCGACAAGATAGCTTGAGTAAAAATATGAGATTAATATAAAAAGTTGAATTGGTTTGAAATCTTTATAAAATGACTATATGTAGGGTTGTTGGTATATTTGTAATAGTATTCATTATAGCCAGACATGCAGATGGTAATACACTGCAATGTACGTCATCATGTTCTAAAAATGGATCTATTGCTGTGCTTAGTAACAGTCAACAATTGACTTGCTCCATACGAGGTAAGACATGATGAACAATGATTTCAATGTCTGATATGTCTTTACCAAAAATAATTCTGGGCTGAAATGAAAAATGATGAAAACTAGATCCAAATTTCAAATAGCATTGGACCAAAACTAAATTTTGTAAAAATTGCAAATATATTATGAAAAATCTTCTCAATATTTCCAATACTAATTATATATTACATTTATTTGTATTCAAGAACAAAACCAGCATTATTTTTAACTAAGTATAAATTTCATGAGATTATATTGAGCAATCATAAATACAAAAACTTGTTTTGATCGGTTAATTCAACTCGAAAATATAGTGTCATACATTTGCTATCTCTCTGCTATCTGTAATGTCACCAATTTTAAATGTATTAAAAAATCATTTGTAATTTGTAGGACAATACTTAACTCCATGGCCAAAAGATGAAGACAAAACAGCACATAAAGCACGCAAGCTTAAGATTCGGTGGTACATATATCAAGAAGCAAGAATTGCACTGGATATAACATGGTCACAGAAAGGTAATCAACAGGCATGGTAATCAGTGTGGTAACTATTAGAAAGCGAAACAAATACTTTTATAAACAAGGCTTATTTATATATATACATATATTCATGTTACTATGACACAAAACTCATGGAATTTTCAAAACTTAACGAGTAGAAAAGCATAAATAAAGACAGCGTTTCTCAACGGGGAAGGGATTCAGTTGTTTTTAGGAAAGAAATACAGAACTATTACTTTGCATTCGATGTAATTTTACCAATATTGTTTAGTACCTAATTTAGTATTATTGTGATACATATTTAGGACACATTATCAACTATTCAAACTGTGCAAAAGCCAGAGTGGCTGAAGCTAAGGATCCTTGCAAAAAAAAAATTTGAATGAATAGTGGAAATATGTGAAGTGAAGGGGGAATAAACAGACCCAGAATAGGCAAATGAAGTAATATATCAAGAAAGGTTAAGAGCCATTGTTTCAAAAAAATATGATTGATTGAGCAATTACAAGATAGAACAATTTGCTTAATCATGATGGCCAATATCAATTTAAAAATTAATTCCTATAGCTGTTGCATAATAAAAAACACAATATAGCGATTAAGCTTGATTCTTTATTCTACGTTCAAATAACATACAAAATCCTTTTCTTTGATAATGTATAACGAAAGAGTGTTTGGTAATATTTGACAATGATCGCATCGCCAAATTTAATACAACAGACGCCTGTCTTTTGATAAGATGATAAGATATACAAGCAACTTGTGTACATTGTGCACTTATGTCAATGTGCATGTTTTACTCGATTATGTATTTCGAGGCAAGTACTCGTAAATAAAAAACTACTTTTCACCGATGTCCCTTAATCAGTCCATTCAAAGATTAACATTACATCACATGGATACTGTAAATCACTAAATCCCATTAAAGTTGTTGAAAAAATACACCATATATTCTCATATATAAGCCGATCTCACATACAAGCAGACTCCATAAAAACAGCCCTTAAAAAGTGACTTTGTAAGAAATATGCATATAAGCCGACTCTACAAATCGCTGTATGCACATATCACAGCCAGAGATGTTTAATATGAATTTACCGGTAATATTCGAATATCGTTTTTAGTGTTTATAAGCATATTGGGATGTGTATCATAGAGCCGCCGTCCAAGCTTTGATAAAAAACATTTTACAATTATTATATTTTATGTTTTGTCATAATCGAAGACAGCCCATTGCGGCATGGCAATTAATTGCTGTCGACATGAAAGGATTTAAATCAGCACCGATTTGAATGACTTATAACACATCCAGGATGTTTTTGATTGAAAATATTTTACAATTATTATCGTATATTTGTAACATAGTCGAGATATCATGTGCAACCACGGCAAAAAATATAAATGCAAATTGTGTGTTAATTATTGTTTCCATCCTCAGTTTCGAAAGTGACTGAGCATAATGGGAAATTATTGCACTTCTTGCAATGATAATATCGTTCGGTTTGTGGTTTTAATTTATAAAATGTCATTTTGGTTGAGTGCGATCATAGTTATGTGCGTACAAGTCGACCCCTTAGTTTGGCAACTTTTTTTGGAGTTTCAAACTCAGATTATATGCAAGAATATACGGTATTTCTGGATAGTTTTTTTTTAATAATAGGCATCAAAGTGCAGTGATTGAACAATAAGGCCGAACCCTAAAGCTTTTGCAAGTCACCGAAGTTGGACTTTTCCTTGAAGCCCACAACAATATTCTGATGCATTCTCAGATTACTTTATTAAATCCTCCAGTAACGCCACACCAAAATAATTTGTGTCTAATTCATCAAGAATTCATCATTTAAATACCTTATGATATATGTTTAAATTATGAATATTATTTCCAGTGTCTGATCTACGAACACAAAATATAGAAGGATATTATCTGACAGTTGGAATGTCCAACTACAAAGTACTCCTGAGCTATGAAAATAAAACCCATGGTGAATTTTATAATCATACGAAGGTAGGAAAAATAAAAGTTTTTTTTTACTTATGTATATATTTTTTCTATTATACCTTGCTCAAAGCAAGGCCACAAGCTCATTAAAACATAAAAAAAAACTCATCTCTGAGCAAAAGTACTGGTAACCAAATAAATGAGTTACTGAAATCATATAGATTTACAATGGTTCTGCATGTGCCAGATATGCATATGGAGGATATGGAACTTGATGCAGTACAATCAGAAAATATGATACAGAATTGTTATAATTATGTGTACCTAGGTTAGTAATAGAGCTTCGTGTGAGATTTTTTTTTTCTTATTTGTTTACAGACTTTATTATTCATTGTCAGGCTCAAAATATATATTGCCTCTTATTGTATTAAGTAAATCATTTCAAAGTTAATTTTCTTACAGAAATATGTTAATTTTGGCTATCAATGCATTGGTATGAGATACTGGTTCATAAGACCTGGAGATTATATAGAAGTAAAGCTTCATTCACTACCCATGTATCACACAACAACAAATATGCAAGCACTGAAGAGAAATATCACAATTCCAAGTAAGAGGGGAACATAGGTTTTCAAATAAATAAATTTTTTACAGAATCAATCTTAAAGTATTACTGATAGTCCCCTAGAATAAAGCTTTTGCATTGCAACAGAGTTGAAAGTTCGATGAACGCATAATCCTGCATTTTGTTCATTCATTCATGCAAGGCTAAGTACTCATTTTATTTGTATTTGAAAATAGCAAATAAATTGTTGAAATTTATTACAGAATGTATAGAAGATGAAAGACTCGTTAGTGTTAAAAACAAGGAAATTTCAGACAAAGCTTGCAAAGATTTCTGGCGAAGTTTGTGAATTAACTATTTTATTACACATGACATGAGAGTAATGCTCCCATATATGGACATGAAGAGTGTTTATCGGTACCGGTACAGTGAGAGTGTTCTCTTTAATCATAATAAAAATTTTAGTGATATATTGGTTTCCCATAGGACCTGGCGGAAATTAAAAATAATCTACCTAATAATCTTCTTTAAACTTCTTCCATCTGACTGAAAATTTGATATCGATTGGACCATTGGAAAAAAGTCATTTATTTCAAACAAAAATTCAGAAAAACTATCCATATACTATCCATACATTTTTAGACATGTCCCTACTACATAATTCCAAATGCCAACTGATATTAGATTATTGATTTTCAGGTATATGGAACATAAGAAGATCAACAATACCAATGCATTCTACCTTTAGTGTAAATGGTAATGAAGCATATTGCAATAGAATAATAATCAAAAATTACAATTATTAACTTTTTTATTCATAAATGATCATTATATATTAATAATGTTACATTACTGACATATCATATTTAGAATATTTCAGATCATTCTACATAGGTGACACCCCAGCCTCGCCCCCCCCCCCCCCCCCCCCCCCCCCTCCAAAAAAATAGATTACTGTAACTTTTGTGTAAAATCCGACACAAAATTTAAGTGTTCCAAAATTTTCTTCATTTTCTCATAGAAGTAATTTAGAACTAAGGTCACCCTGTATGTAGATATCACTATGTTGAATGGATTTCATATTTCGATTGTATGTTTTAATGATAGTTAGATTATTTAGACATCTATAATTTGTTTTTGTTTTTCATTCACAGCTTCCACCCATAAGCCGGTCATTGTACACATGAGAAAACCAGGTAAATTTTCATTGTTTGCTGAATTTGTTCTATCAAAAGGGATCACTTTAATATTGTGTTAAAACTTAAAAGATAGCAACAAACTGAGGCACATTAAACCTGATTTTGGTACTGTAATAAGAAAGTAAGAATCCTTATTATTTCCATGTTAATAGCAGGAACCAATAACTTGCAACTTTATAGCGATTTACAATTACTATAGAATTTTAGAGATGACTAAATGATAAGAAGGTATAGTATCCGGAGTTAAAACCCTTGTTAGTGCAGCAATCAATCCAAAGTCTCCACTCTCAACCCTATTTCTGGTGTGTGTGGGTAAGCTCAAAATAAATGGCTAATATTTGAGAATTATATAAAAATGTTCTCTGAGATTTCAAGATTCATTTATTATATAACATCGACTTATTAAAGACAGCAATATATATAGGATGTTTTATGTGAAACATATGGGTGCATATGTACAAATAAATAAATCATTCATTTCAGTTAATATTTTATGTTTCGATCTATATTTCTGTTTACAGATCAAACAATTTACTTCGTGTTAGCATCTGTCATTGGAGCATTTCTCTTCCTGATAATTCTTGCAAGGATGGTTATACAAGAAAAGAGAAATAAAAATAGAAAACATTCAGGTGGGTTAAGCAAACTGATATTATTCTTAGTAAGAGAGCGATAGTGATGATCAAGAAAGTCAAACCCCAAGAAGCGTTCCCATTGAATTAAGATAAAGAAAGAACAGCAACATTTTTGGTGACATATCAAGACACATCGGACTGACTTCCGGAGGCTTCTTCCATCTTTCAGTACTAAAATTTGAAACTGATTGGTCCAGTAGTTGTGATGAAAAGCGATTTTAGCACAACAACAACCCCAAACATCCCAACAAGACTAACAACAACAATATTTGATTGTAAACCAATTACGCCCTCTTCCTGTCTGATAATGTTCAATGAACCTTTAACTGTCTATCATATATGATAGAAGACAAATATATTATGAACAATGTTGTAACATTGATGTTTCTTGCTAATGGACCATTGATTGAACTGTGGGTGTTCACGAACAAGAATCTCACAGGAGAATATTAAATGAAGAGAAAAATTGCTGGATTTATCAAAGTCACATGATGCTCTTAATTGTTAAACTAATTAGTCATTCTCATATAAAAAAACTAGTACTGGTACCCTGGCATAAGGCTGGAGTGAATCATATCATTGATTATTTCATACCCTTTCCCATCCGTTAAAATGTACGGTAAAATGAAAAATTATCCCCTGAGCTTAACATTAAAATACAAATAGTATTACAGAAGTAAATATAATAGAATATTACAGTAAATGTTTGCATTACATCCCTACTTATTATTCTACTTTGTTTTCTAATGCTAAAAGTTCACCTTCCATTACTATTTGGACTAATTTACAAGAATTCGAAGTGGACCAACAGAAATATTCTTCTTTCATGTTATTTGCCCAAAATTTTGAGGATTTCTCATTAATACTAATTATTCTTTTTGGAACGAAAAGTAGTTTTCTAATTCTCAAAAACCACAGTCTCCTTACCAATAAATCTCAAAAATTGTTAATACAGGTGAAAGAAGAATTCTTGTTATAGCAGATAACAGCGACAACAGTAGATTGGATGAAATACATTCAATGATTGCGCGACTGAGGCATGAGTTCAATTTACAAATAGCAAGTAACTGGGAAAACAGAGTAATAATTGGTAAAGATTGGATGGATTGGTATCAACAAGCCATGAGCAATTCCAATACTATTCTGTTTATAGTAAGCTATAAAATTTTTTGCGATAGTCTTACTTTGACTAAAACATTGCATTCCGGGCAAGAAATCAAACAGGCATTCAAATCAAGCACATTCTTGCAAGATACAAGGAAGAGCAGAAGTTATCATTCTTCTTACTGGTAAAGTGAACAGAATTCGGATGTTGTTAGCGAGACAAAAAACACATTATGTAGTATACAGCATGCAGAACCACTACAAAGATTTTTTGCTGCATATGACGGGCAAAACAGCATCAAAAGACAAAATAAAATATTTGATGAGTGCTATTAAAAACTGTGATCAAAGGAATGAAGAAGCAGACACATTAGTATAAATATGAGAGCATATTCAATATGTAAAATGTTGAAATCAGCTCGTCAAAATCACAAGTTAAGAGGATCAAAAAAGTCAACCAATAATATAGTGAAATATGGAGTAAGATCAAAAAATTTAAATGGTCCTTCTGTCTATTCACACACCATGCAGCTAGTTTTTACGAGCAAATACCAAACGAGAATGACTAGAAAAGCATGTCTGTCAGTTTTATATTGTCTATATTTTTCTTTCTTTGTTTACACATTCATATCCTTATAGGACTTTCATTTTTGTGGAATGCGAATGTGATTTTTCCAGTCTCATTAATGTAAGATACACAATTGCACTGCCAAGCTTATTATTGACTCAATTTTTATTTATTAATGCAAATGACGTAAACACCATTTTTTATAATTTGTTTCATATCTTTGCATCTTACAAACCACCAAGTATTTTTGTATATGAAGAAAGCTACAAAAATTTGAAAAAATTCATTCAATTCGGATCAGCCCCAACTTATTACACTCTGGGTTGATGGGTATTGGAGGACTTCTTAAAAAAGCAAGGACTAAACCTGAAATCTTTCTTGATGTAAACATAAATAAAATGGAAATTAGAAATGATATATCTTCATTGTCAATTGATTTGCTTAATATTATGAAGCATTATCTGTAATATGAAACTGCATTAAATATAAATCTAGACATGTCAGCATTGTTGTATAGTGTTTTTTTAAAATGGGGAAAAAAGATCCTTGCTGATATTGAATACTACACTGAAAATGGAAAAAAATTTTACTTTCCGATTTAATCCAGACACTAGATTTTATACACCACTAACGAATTATAACCCAATTGTCGCCACTCAACAATGAAGGTTTATATGGCCAGGAAGCACTTTTAAGGTGGAACGATTAGTCCAGAACATAACAATCTACCATATGCAATAATAGCAGTCCAACTGATATATAGTTAGTGTAATTTTCCCCTAATGAGATTCAAATGTCATACACATAAAGGTATACGTTGAATAATATTATAAGGTGTTAAAGAATGCAGGAGTGGATGAAGAAATTCTTCAGGCAATGTCCAACAAAAATGTGTCTCCATTCTGCGCATATGAAGAACAATAACAGCATTGATACTTGACCTCTGATAGTGGGGTAGCCGAACAAGTAAGTATAAGTGAAAATCATCAATGCAAATACTGTAACACTATGGATATCACTCCTAGTTGTTAAATTCATTGTAAAATATAACTTTCAAATTGTAAATTTAGTAATCGATCAAGCAGTATTACTTAATTGATATATTATAAATACAATTACAAATGAAGGGAAAATTAATCTATTGTTTCGTGAAAAAACAAGTCATATTGAAAAAATCAGTTTCCAAAGACAAAAATAGTATGAAAATGATGTAACAGAATGATAGATATGATTAACCAGGATGTTTATATGAACACTGGCAAGTGTTAGGATAAGCAAGTTTCGGAAACCATCATAAATAATATGATGACCTATTTTGAAGTAGTGTCAATGATGATACCTTCTCAGATTACACCACCGAATCGAAAAATGTAATAAGTTTGTTTATTGTATGCATATAATTAATGTGAAATAAATCTGTAACCTGTTTCTACTGGTTACAAATACAGCAGTCATGGGGTTGTTATGAAAACGGATTTTGAAGTAGTGAAACCATACAGCAATACACACATAAACAAAGAGAATGTATATTTGAAATTTCGGTCGAGAGGAACATCACACATATATATACAGCATGCACAATAGGATCGTTATCGTTCTTTAGTGGATTCAGACGACGCAAGAAAATGAAGGAAATCTCATTATGTGTCTTCCTTGCTATATCTGCACTGACAGAGAATGTCCATGCCAGGAAACACTCAGTCAGATGTTTGGATGAGATTGATTCTGAAGACATGCAACCAAACATAACGGATGGAGGTTTGCCTTGCACCGCAGAACTATGTGAGTACAAGTTATTATTTACTGCAGAAAAATACTGTACAAGATCCAAACTAAGTTTAGAATCATCCCACAAAATATACCTACTCAAAATATAATTAAATCAAGTCTCCGGTATTTTAAATCCAGTTTCGTTCTAATTGTCATTTGATATAAAATAGGTGCAAGAAAAATTTGTAATAACAGAATGAAATTTTTGATGTGTGACAGAGGAATATCTGAAAAATTAAATTAAATATTTATTGAAACAACGATACGAGTATAAAATAATAAAGATTATTGATAATAAAGATGAAAGTAACAACAATTATGTATCAGTAACAGTTCGTTTGAACAAATTACTGTGGGTTCTATGAGTTTCTTTTTTGCGTACGATGATGTCATCAAAAACTGCACACCTTGTGGCGGTTCCGCTTTCGCTTTAGTCGTGAAAATTGCTGTACTGGTAGTCTACTGTGACAGATTGCATACTACTACTTTGTTCTGGCCTTCTGCCTAGGGTGTTCGAGCACTGAATTTTTGTTCGAGTACCGCAGCATTTTTGACTAGAATTTTTTTGTCAACTACCAACTTTCAAGAGTAACGAGTCGTTCGACTACTGAGGTATCACAGTATATTCTTTGGATGTTTTTATACGAGAATTGGGTCATGGTAACAATAAGTACATTTAACATTGTGCATTGCAAGCTATTGAAAATGTAACAAAATTGTTCATGTAAGCCTGATGTCAATGTTGCATTACATTTTATGTGGGCTACAAAGAACTGTTTTTAAACATTGAAAAATGTTAATACTTTTTACCTAATGTAGTCACAAAAATGGCTTATAAATCTCAAAGTATGCTATATATCTAAGTAGTGTGGTTTCTGTATGGCGAAAAATAAATCACGGATTCCTGAATCATTTTTTTATTTTTTCGTACACATTTTATTCTTCTTTTACTCGAATAACATATGTAAAGATTTTGTGAGCTTGACAGTTGTCTAATATGACCTTCAATATGTTGTATAAATCTTTTTTTTTATCGCTAGCTGAGGATTTGTTTGAGGGTTATTACAAATTCAATCTATTTTTAAGTGACCAATTTTAAAAGAATAGAATTATAAGTTTCATCTTACCGATTTAAAGTGAAACAGATGTTTTGTTTTACCAATGCCAAATTTGTTGCGCAAAATGACTATTTCCAATCAAAATTTGTCCTTTTCTGTAAATGTCCTCTTCCCCCTATTGTTTCTTTCAAAAAGGTTTTCATAAAATTCACTTGTTTCACTATCAAGTGATTGTTTCACTACAGCATGAACATATTTTTGACTTCATCCTATCATCTCCATATTTTGAGGGGAAGACATTACCACTGTGATTACGCAATCCAATAGACAAATTCCAATGCACAGTATATACGTCACATTTGAGAATTTACGTAACCTTTCCACAGACGAAATATATTCTCTCACGTACCAAATTTCACTTTCGTCTAAAAACAAGCAATCTCTTCCTATTTATCCCAAAATATTTGTTTGAATGTATTATTGTCGGATCCAATCTCGAAATTCATATTTTCACACATTTCGGTTTCACAAAAATTGAGGAAATCTGATATTTTCTGTTTAGGGTGTCCACCTCAGTGGAATAGAACACAGAAAATTCCACCGAAGCCACGATTACATAAGCTTCGTTATTACACCTATAAAATTAATGGTAAAAATCAGCGCAATATTGGCCTGAGAATCAAATGGTCAAATACAGGTAAGAAACAAATTCCTCACTATCAACTATTCTAATAATTACTAGAGTTCGACTGTTGATAATAATGCATTTACAAAACTATTTTGAAAAGCAGAATTCCTCTATTACCCATGGTAAATAGAGACCCATTTCCTATATTGCTTAATTTTTCTTATATTACATTTTGTACTCTTTCCACTGGAAGCAAGGCTTTGTTCAAGAATCCACTGCTAGGTAGGAAAATACTTTAGTTTGAAAGGACTGCAGGCGCTCCGGAAGTATTTGTACCAAGATGACGTACAACCTGAACAACTCTAACATGGTAAGCATACTATGTTCAGGTTGTGCACCATCCTGGTACAAATACTTTTGAGAGCACCAGGACTGCATCTGCCAGTTTCCGCATTGCCTACACAATTTATTGCACCACGGACAAGGTGGTGGGCGTGAGCATCAAACCCACTCTCTATAAAATGGCAAAAAACTTATTTTTTTCATTTTCGGTAGCTGCCCCTTACTGTCCCAAAATGAATTTAATTCTAATATAGTTTAACTGATTGCATACATATGATTGGTGTGGTAGGAACTTACAGTCCTTCTAATCTGGTATTTATAAATATCCATCTTGTGAAGGTTTGCTTAGAACCAGGGGCATCGTGGTATATGGTCACTCACTCAAAAGGAGCCATAAATTTCTAATTATTCCTACAAAAATGAAGAAAATTTATTCAGCACTTGTGTCTGTGTATGGCTGTACCCAAATGTTTCAGTAATCTAGGACGCTTTGCAAAAAGTCAGGCCCTCTCCTTTTTGTTAGATCATTGTGAACAGCTATTTTATTTACAAGAGAGAGGGAGAGAAAAAAACATGTTTTAACATTTTGCAGCATCGCATTATCAAAATTACATCAAAGGATATTCTTTGGCAATGTTTAGCATTAATATGATGTATGACTTTCGAATATGCTTCAAGACTACAAATGTGAAAAGCCAAATGGAAAGTAATGAGGTATGGTAAAGGATAGTGCATTTTGATAGATTATTTTATTTGATAGAAATAGGTTTGTTATATAAATGGCTTAGCAGTGTTTAATCACTTTCATTATTTTTTTTAACTCTGGTCAATAGAAGTGAGACCTTACTATCTCTAAAAAGATGTAAACTTGATATTTTCATCATCATAGTTTATTGTTGTTAAAATATTCAAGAAACAATGAAAGCCACAACACAATACTATAAAAAGACTTCACAAATCACGAGAAAAATTTATTATGCATTTTTGAATGTTGATCTGCTAATTACAAGAATTAACGCTAGCAGAGACTTAATGTCAAACTCATGAAATTGTTACATACATGGTAATGTATGAGATACATCTCACACTAACAATATCATGTTTTCAAGAAAGATTAAATCAACATCTCTATTTTATTACAATATTCTAATACATTATGAAGAGTAGTAATATGACATTCCAAGATTCTTGACATTACAATTAAGATAGAGTAATTTGCAACGTAATTTCAAATTTTCAAAGCACTCCTGTGTGCAGAAATCAGTGCAATGTTAAGTAAGTTTTTAATTCAATGTATCATAAAAGTAATAAAATTTGAGATAGGATAGGAATTCCATATCCATCCGAGGGGAGAGGAAAGTCGATTATTTGGCTTAATCATATGAAAAACCATGGCTTTTCGTTTGGTTACCAGTCTAAGTCAAGTGTGGGAATAGCAAACAAATTATTTATTCGAGATTGATGTTACGTAAACCGCCTACGATGGTGAGAAATCCAACAATGCTCTGTAATTATTCTCCACAGGATTCTAACTTGCGAACCCATGTAGGGCGATCAGAGATGCGATGGCAATCTTATTGCCTCTCGCTTAGCACGATGTGTCAATTGCTCTTAATGTAGCTTCGCATCAACTGTTACATATCTTCACCTGCTAAGTTTTACCTCATTTCTATAACTATAAGATTGGAAATTGTTGATCATTTTGATATCTTGAATCTTGAAATTCCCAACAACCAAATGAAACCAACATCTGAATGAAACTTGTTGCTTTTTTATGTTTTAGATTGAATTTTTATACTGGTACAAATGTAAGGATGAAGGGTGTGTTCAAATTCTACCAGGAAAGACATATTTTCTTGAGTTAGCTCCAAATCCTATGAGTGTATATAAAGAAAATGAGGACGGGATGCATGGCAGACGAAAAATCACCATACCAGGTATGTTAATTATATTATCAAACAACCTTCAAACATGCCTTTCACTCTGAACAAGGAGCAAGCGGCCAATGATATCCAAAGTTATGTTTGGAGCTACTATCATTTAGGATCGGAATCTTTCATATTTGGGGTTAGGTGGAGGGACCAGAGGGATTTGTGCCAGAGATGTGTAACCTGCAATGTCAACACAGTTACGATAAGTCTAATGCTTTAACTACTAGGCCATCGAGCCTTTCTTATAAATATATCTTGAAAGAACCCCATACGTTTTGACCAAATAAAGGTTTGATTTTTTTAACCAAAGCATATCCCATTGAAATATTACACAAAGATTTATTATTTATCAATTTAGGCTGTGATAATGAAAGAATAAGAAAATATCAAGGATGTCCTGGCAATGGTGAGTATTGTATTTCACAATTTTAAATTTCCGACGACATCAAGCACAAGATAAGATAAATTGCATTCTTTATCAAGGTGCTTTTGAACGGTAGAAAAAACATTAGAAACTCGAAACATTTCTCAAACACATAAGTGCATATTATTGATCTATTATTGGATATAGACATCAGTTAAGATAGGATGGCAATAGACAAGGCGTGTAAAGCTATATATTCCAACTATTCAAAGTTGTTCATCAAACAGAGGCAGTGAGAATTGAGTACTAAACGATAACACCCAAACCATTTTTTTACGAAAGTCTAATGATAGGAATAATTTTAAATAATCCTTGACTTTTATTTATATCCTACGATCCCACAGAAAAAACCAGAAGGAAAAAGGCTAGACAGAACAATATTGAAATGGCCTCTGATGAAAGCACAATTTTGACAGCTGTGCTAGATCCAGGTACAAATGATCTTGTTATGTTTCGAAACCATGCTACCATGCAAATTTCAGTTTTATCGCTAGACCTGGCCTCTAATCTGCTTTTCGATTCATCTTACATATGAGAAGAGTTGAATGAGAAGTTCTTTAAATCTCTCTGCGACAGGGAGGAGTACAGCAATTATTTTACATACAACCCACCCATTTGAAAATGTGAATCTTATTCATTTGTCCAGCCAATTGTACAATTCGTACAGCTTTAATGCCCTATGAAGTGTCGATTACCTTGGTACAATGATTCATTTTTTCTACCAATTAATAAATTATATATAAATTCTAGAGACAATATATTCAGGAGATGGCGAAGAAGATACTTTCAGTTATACAACCACAAAAAAAAAGCACAAAGGTGACCTAAACATAAAAATTTTATATTTCTGAAGCAGTTTCATACCCCATACAACCTCCGGAGGAGGAATGAGGTCAAGTGTAAACCGAATTTTCATTAAGTACTATATGGTATTAGGAAAAAAACTCAATTTCAAATTGGTCATAATATTTTATTCACAATATTGCACATTAATAACAAAATATTGTACATATTATGCATAAGTATATTGTATAGGAAAAATTGGTGTAGTGTTGGGCTTATGAAAAAAAGTACACGATATGATAATCTCTGATTAATGAGAACTGACCTAAGAAACCATTGCAGATTTGGCAAAATGTCAGATAATGAGGAAGTTTACAGTACTTTTGTAAGTATTGTCAAGTGTAAAGAAATTTCAGTAACCATGCTTCAGAAAGCCTTTTTTTGCTTCAAGTATCTCCTAAATAGAAATCTGCCAAACAGAAACTTTTTTCAGTAATTATTATTGCTAAAAATTTTAGCTGCATAACTAAAGAATGAAAATCACTAATGATAAGTATACAATAATATAAATACGGTAATTAGATTTTCATTAATATAAAAAACAATATAATATAAATATGTTCCACACCACCAAGTGAGTTTGCTTTTTCCAGTATTCACTGGAATTTCTTCACAAAAAGTTCAGGGCTTGATGCCAGACTTTGAGCAAACTTAGTATAGAATAGGGTTTACATATTTGTCCTGGGAGAGAGGAAAACCGATAAAACACCTTAATCATATGGTGAAACGCAGCCTCTCGTCCGGTTACCAGTCCATGTCGGGTATGAGAATAGTTAGCCAGTTATATGTTTCGAATATGTGGACTTAATGGTGGAGAAAACGTAAACTACCCTCCGTAAACTTGCATTTAAAATATCAAAAACATTTTAGGATTAAGGTTCGAACATATTTATATTGTAGGGATATCGATGCAGTGATGCAACCAATGGGATCTAACAACTTTACAGGTACAGACATTAACAAAAGCTATCAAGTTGTCACATTGGTATTGACCTTGAGTGCACTAGCAATTTTCTTGATGTTTATATTGTGGATTGCAGTGAAGAGATGCAATTCAAAAACAGGTAATCACCACTAAAGGATCAGATATAGCAACAAATATATCTTCAGATTGTTCATACCAGGGTACTCCCGTAGTGTGCGTGTACCAGGTTAGAGTTAGGCCATAATTAGATTCCGATTTTGGCCCATGGGTTTCAGTCCCTTTACACAACTTGATGTAAAGTTGGCGAACAAAATTAGTTACCTCCATATTGGTACACACGCTACTGGAGTGCCCATACCAGTGTGGTAATGTTTTGTCTGTCTATTTACACAATGACAATTGTCACAGAACCAGACAATGACATGAAGAATAAAGTGTTTCCGTGTTTATTGAATAAGGGATTGATTATATGAAATAAAAGCTGGAAAAGTATGGAACTTGAACTAAAAATTTCCCAGTTTGACATGGTTTACTCGATTTTTACACCTTGATATGTTGGGCAAACCGAAGTATTAGAAAAACAATTCGCCAAATAACTTCTGATAATGATAATAATTTCTGACTAACTACTAACTACAAATTAGTACTTTAATAAGAATAATCACAATGTTTCATATGTCTAATACTTTTTACGTTTTTCTACTTTGTTTAAGTACAAACAAATCAGAAGGAAGTTCTTTTTCTTGAAAAGACAAACAACATGAATTCACTGCACTCACTGGCATCACAGTGGCTTGTCTCAGAAATCAAATCACAAGGTCATGTCAAAGTAACATACAGCAAATGGGAAATGCTACAACTTGTAGAAAGTCCTATGCTATGGATGAATGATAAAATAGGAAAAGCTGATATCATTGTTCTTCTTTTTGCTTCAACTGACACTCAGACATTGCCTAATCGTTCAGAGTCTTGAATGATAAACCAAGTTCAAGCAAGAATATGGATAATTGGCTAGAAAAAAAATTCTATGAAATATCCGCTGCAAAACATCAAAAAAGAAAGTTCTATCAGGCATCGTTTTCTGACAACAACAACATCTCTTACCAGACTGCAACAATGAAAACATATTATTTGATGGAAGATTTAAAAGAGTTCTATACTGCTATCTGTGGAGGTCAAGAATATTCCTTAATCCTGGACAAGACCCATAAATTGTACAAGTTGAGTGAAACAATAAAAAAATCTCAAAATCATGTCATCCACAATGAAGATAGCGGGATACCCAACTTTACAGATCTAAAAAATGAAAGTAGCCTGATACAAAATAATGGAAGTGGAGCAAGAAGAAAAACAATTACAATCAAATGAAGATGAATCTTCGTAATTTCATAAACGGTTTTTCGTTCAAATGATCATCTGATTTATTCATATAAGACTCTTGCTGCATAAAATAACCTGCTTAGTGTGTTGTTTAATCTGCTTTTTTTCAAGTGTTAACCCAAAAGGTGTGCTGTGCAATAAATGCTGTGTGAAAGTGAGACTTATGCTATGTTGTAAACATTGTGGGGTCAATTGAAAGGGAAAGATCGTGAAATCGTTGGTATTAAATACAACGGGAGATGATCGAAGATTAATTTATAGGTATAAAGGCAATAGGGCAAAACCCTTCGTCCAGCGGAATTCTTATTCCAGTTGGTGACATATTGGCAACAACAAAGAGAGATAATGTCAGAAATCACAGCCATGGAGCCAAATAAAATTTACAAGATACTTTGTCTTGAAATTCCAAAGCATATAAAAAGCAATGCTGATTACTGGCTCCCAGATTGAAGGAATTTCTGATTCAAGCCAATAACTCTGTGAATTCCAGATTTGACCGCAAAGGCTTTTGAGTATGCAAGCCATGTTTACTTGTATGCCGACAATTGCTTATTTTTTGAGTTACGAGATACGTCAAAAATGCTGCAGAGGTCTGAAAGTCAAATTCATTTTATATTTTACATAATTTTAAAACATATTATTGGTGTTGGTTTTCAAATAGCTATATACAGGTTGCAAGCCACATCATACCCAAATTGTAATTGCAGTGAATGGGAAATTCCTGAAGCGATATATATTGCACACGCAATAATGCAAAAAATAACCATACTACATCAAATATTCAATGGCTCTAATTTATTAAAAATAAATGCCATAAACAAAACCCATGGGGATGATTAATAAGATATAGGAAATCCAATAATAGATTTCAGGAAGCCAATATTGCTGGTATCCCCACCTCTTCATAAAACATTAGTTACATTACTTAAAGAATAAACATTTTAGCACAAGACATGATGATATTATGTTTCCGTAATTCCAATGGATGTTTAGACAATGGATATGTATTAAGTTACACTTTTTATTCTAAAACAAAAAAAGTTTAGATGATTGAATGTGGATGAAACTGGCAGGAGCTTGGTAAGGTTATGTTAAAAATTTGAGTTCAATTTTAGAAAAAAAAATTCAGTAATAGCAAGTTTATGACAATGATTTCCTCATATATGACATAATTTCTTAGATGAGGAGATACTCAATCGATATAATCTTCAGCTACAATGAGATGTGTTTATTTAGCAAGAATATAAACAGATTACAAACACAGTCAGCTTAAGTTACAGGCTTTACAATGACATACCATTATGTCACCAATGGAAAAGGCCGTTACATTTAGCTTTCTTGATGATATTCATCAAAAGTACAAGTGGGAATTTATTTTTGAAAGATTTTTTAAATTCAGCATTATCTAGTTCATGTATAGAAGCAGTTTTCTACCTTTTTGGTGAAGCGGAACCCCAAACTAGCATTCCAGAAGCTCGAGAAACCCAAGTGCAATAGTTTAATTGCAAAATATTGTCTGAATTATGTGAGCTACAAATATATGTAAAAGCAAACTTTCTACATGTAAAACAAATGATCTCCTCAAGCATCTCGATTACATTTAAACGGTATACATATAAATGTATTATTATAAACTCTCAAATTTGGAAGAAAACTGAGCCCCTGGACTGTATTGGCGGAACTCTAAGGCGCAATAGATTGTTATTTAACTTCTATTGAAAACAACTTATGTAGAGTATAATACTAATAGGTCATTCATCAACTGATGTAGAGGATAGTACTAATAAGTTGTATGTAAATATAAAATAAAATTTTTGCAGCTGATGATAATTTAATTTGTGTTTACTCAAATAGGTTTAGGATAAAAATGGAGCAATATTTCAATACAAGATTATTAGGTTGCATTTGCATTTGCATATTGCTTCATTTCATACTGTCTACCGTCAAAGCTGACAATATACATCATGAGCATTGTCTTCAATGGTGCATGACAAAGTATAATGTTAAGTGCTCTGAAATAGTGGAATGTGGAGCTCATTATAGTAAGTATTCTTTTAACTGAAACTAGTTTGTAGTTTCCCAAAGAACTGTTTCATTGATATTTGAATGAAAGCTAATAAGTTTGTCTGCTTTCAGCTACCAAAATGTGGTTTCTAATAATGTAACATGAAATCAGTCTATGTAATGAATAGTAAATCAGGTCCTGGTATAGTGACTAAATAGTTTTTTGATATTCATTTCAATAAATATTTATTAAAAGTGAAGATCCCAACATCAGTAGACAGATGGCAAGTGCATTAAAAATATACATGGTGTTAATGAAGTTCTAATTTTTTTTTAAATTGCGAAATGAATTTATTGACGGAATATGACGTTTGTTTGTCTTTATAGGCTTATGAAATTAAGTAAAATAATTAAATAAACACTGACTGAAATTAAACACACATGGTTAAGATATATTGAGAAATGGCCTTCATAACAAAATTATAATTGCAACGGGACATCATCAAAAACCTGTTTATGGATGCCCACTGTATATGATAAAATAATTCAAAAGTTTTTGTGATGCAAATGTATACTTGTGACCAGAGCAGAATATTGAAAAGGAGTACAAACAGGGATGCAAAAACAAACTGAATTGTATTTGATATATCGTAAATAATCTTTTGTTATGTGAATAATAAAGATATCTCTTCATTGAAAAAAATGAGACTTATAGCCATGGAATCAGTATCTGGTAGGCCCATAAAATCATATCTTGAATAAACTTTTAATATCTATAATTTTTTTATATCAATCTTAATATGCATATATTACCGGTAAGTATCATTATATTGTCTTTGAATAGAGCTGAATTAAAAATATAATAGAATTGTATATTTACTAACAATAATTAATAATAAATTATTTTGTTTAATCCATTTCTGATATCAATGTTTATAATTGGTGTCCTATTTTACAGATGAAATAATATTAAAAGAAATAGGGGAGCCTCGTCCCATCGCAAATTACCTTAAGGTCACACCACATTGCTATGAGCATGACAACAGCAATTACAGCCATATTGGTTTGAAAATTTCATGGGAGATTAATGGTAGGTGCAGTAAAAGTATAAGTAATGCAATTCTGATTAGTCATATATGTATATGTAACAGGCTTAGTGTTAGGCTTTATTAATACTATTCCGATTTTCCTCAATCTTTCCGCTTAAACTGAGAATATTTTAGTTCTATTACGAGTTCGGGGACTGTCTGTGTTAGCCAAGTGAATATACCCAAGTACTTCTGGAGCGCCAGCATATGAGTAAATCCATGATTTCAGTTTAAAATATATGAACCTTATAACAGACCTAACATTGATTATAAAAGAATCAGAAAATGTAATTGATGTTTTGATTCAATTATCAATTAAGACTTGATGGAATCGCTGTCCTAACCTAATTATAATTTTATACAAAATCAAGTTTTTCCTTCCACTATGCAGGTCAGTATATGAGAGATGAGTTGGTGACCGAATTTCATCTGGAAATCCAAGAGTTTGGTGGGCATAGCACAGTATCCAACTTCAATGTTCGCATCACTCCGAACATGTCAATACCCTTCAACAACTACGTGAGTTACAGTATATAATGGTATATAATCTATAACATTATGAATTTTGTTCAATAAGAATTGTTGAGAGTATTTTTAATATGGCGTAAATATACGTCATTTGCTCTGAACAAAGATCAGTAAAAGCAGCAACTGGTAGGTGATGGGATACTAAAGTTTGGAAGAACCAGAATTTTTCAGATTCTGCATTGCTTACTCAATTTACTACACTCCGAGTGAGGTGGTAGGCATGAGACATGAACCTGAGATTGTACCCTGCAATGTCAGCACATTGAAATAGAGATTTTTTTCTTTCAATCATGTGTCATGACATTGATTTAAAGCAATGAAGCTGCATAAAAAAAATAAAAAAGTGCTGGCTGGATTATCTACTATGAAATCCCTTTTATGAGACAACTTACATTTAACACTAAACAAAGCCTTAAGGGGGGCAAACATAATTGGCTTTTTTATATTCTCACTTATGGCAACTTTTTTGGATTTCTTCCTTACGTGTTGTCTCATGTACTTTAATTTTTTGTACCATGGCGGAGTTTTAAGTAAATGCAAACAGCAGTATTTATATTATTTTCAAGATTCATTTTGAGTATTTCTATCTTGGATGGGACAGTGATAATGTGCCAGAAATATCAGAGAACGTCAACTATACTGTGGAGCTTGATTCATTGCCACTTTTGGTAGAAAAGAAAAATTCGGAAATGAATATCACTCCTCAAACAATTACAAGGGAATTTAAAATACCAGGTAATACAACATTAATATTTTGATATTCGAACGAACTATAAGATTTTGTACAGCTTCACGATTGATGTAACAAATTTTCAGTCCGGGAAACAGATTTTTTTAAAATGGTATCAACCTGATGCTATCATCATTTGAGCGGGATATGGAAATAACATTAGATGAATCAAATTTGGGCTGAAAACTGCAAACGAAATCATGTTCAAGAGTCGAGACATTATTTTAAGTCATGAATTTTGTAAAACAGTCGTACTTTACTAAAGATGGTGAACTTCTTGATTAATATTTTTTAACTTTTATGCTCATTTCACGACTCCAACTAACAACATATACTGGTTCCAAAGTTCATCAAGTTTGAGTCAGGTTAAATCTTGTTAATTTCAAAAATATTGGTCATTTTATGACTCTTTCCAGAGAAATTTTATTTATTATATTTTCAATTCAACAAAACAGATTTTTATTTTATTTTTTTGATTTCTCATAGCAAATTTTCGTAAAATGAATAACTGCACAGCACCCGATGAATCAAGTAAGTCACATTCTTAATGTTTTAAATATTCACAAAAACTTAATCTGAATGAATATGTAAAATATGTTAAAAATGTTCACTACCTACTAGTAATACTTATTCAAAATAAAAATATCACGAGTGAACATTGTTGTTATTACAAACTATATCTTCCTCCAGCCCACTCAGGAATAAGAATTACTAATTTCCATGCCATATTTATCACATGAACACAGTAATAGCAACTTTAATGCTTGCAATGTAACTGCATTCTTTATGTAATATAAAACATGATGTTTGATCATATATGTATGATATAATTTTTCAGTTTGGAATTACATTACATAGATTTTTAGAATACAAGAAATATAGCAATCAAGTTGCAGAAGAAATTTTAGTTTCAAAAAGGAAATTTTATTCAAAGATCTCTATAAAATAACATAAAAAGATAAAAAAATAATGAAAAAAGTAATATTTATTATGATTATACTTTCTATTACGTAGTTGAACCAGGAAAAGAAGAAACAACAACAATCTCAACAACAACAACACAGCAAAATGCTGAGATGTTGACAATTGTTGTAACAGTTTCAGTCATCTTTGTGATATTGCTAATCGTCGTAATTGTTGGAATCGTTTCATTTTTGTTTCGAAAGGAGAAAGCAGTCCAAAGTAAGTAGCTATTAATCTCACGATTCTTCTTCTGTCATTCTTTGTCTGATAAGTTCGGTGGCATAGTGGCTTAAACATTAGGCTTAACTATTATAATATGACAGGTTGAAATGTATGGTTCAAATCCTATACCTACCACCTCACCCAGAATGTAATAAATTGTGTATGCATTGCTTAAACTAAAAGATTCTGGTCCTTTCAACTATCTGGACTACAGTGAAACTACAGTGGCTCCTTACTTAGCAGTGACTACTTGTACAGAGCTCTGTTAGGAGTTAAAGGCATATAAATATGTCATAAAAAATATTTCCATGTGCTATCTGCTAGGAGTATATGAATTACCTTGCTCAGGCGACAATCTTATTGGATGAAACTCATTGATTTAATAATAGGTCGTTTTAGGGTGGTTTACACCGCTGATCAATCTCCAATGAATGGAATTGGTTAACTAATTTCATACGAGGCATTAACTGGCAAGCGAACAAGCGGCAAGACTATGCAAATAAAGAAATATCCTTTCTTGCGGCATAAATATGAAATTTTAGATCACTTCAAGTCTTCTTCTAGTTTGGCATCAGAAAAACCTTGAAATCTTTCTACATGCTTAAAATAACAATATTCTTTTTCTTTCGCCACGTCATTGCCAGTGTCATCTCGGCATGAATTACTTCAGTCAAATGCTTATTTTTTTAAACTTTTTAAAAGATGTTTATTCACGCTTTGGCTCCAAAAAAAGCCCTCCCCCCCAAGCAGCCACTAATATCTGACAATTCAAACGAAGCAACTATTACCGAAAAGACTGGAATCTTTCACGTTCGCAATTGCCTACACAATTTGGTAAACACTGTCTTGAGGTAAGAGAATGGGATTTGACCCGAAGATGTGTAATCTACGAAGCCATTGTTAAGTCTAACGCCTCAACATTAGGCTATAACATTAAAATCAGAGGACTAACAAGAAATAATAATGTCTTTATTTTTAGATAACCATCGTGCACAGAACATTCTTGTTCTTTTGAATATGGGTGACAGAACAGAAATTGGAAAACAAACAAATTGGATGGCAACAGCTTTAAGCAGAGCTAAAAACCTTGGTCCATTGACCGTGAAATACAATAAGTGGGAAAGCAAATTAGTTGCAGAAAAAGGAATTGCTGAATGGATGAGAGAAAGTGTTGCTTGGGCTGACAAAGTGATCATCAGCAGCACACCTGACGAATTGAGAGTGGAGGAAAATGCACTGGCTTTCGAGCGAGCATTTGAGCACACCATGATGACGAGTATTATTGTGGATGATGAAGCATATAAGCCCGTATTTGTTGTGCACTTTGAAGACGAAATTTATCACAACAAATGTCCTTTTCTTAAAGACGAAAGATATAAGAAGTTTCACTTAGAAGAAGATTGGCAAGATCTGTGCCGTGATATCACAGACACACCAACAGGGGAAAAGGAACCATTACAAAATGGAAGTCGTCAAAACTCGTACACAATAAACAAAACAACAGGACAGCTTGAAGAAAAAGTATGACAATATAAAAAAATATAACTTAATCATGTTATTGCAAAATGATCAGCTCATATGAGACGAAAATTTTGTGAAAATAGTCAGAGTGTATTAATCGATGGTATTTATAGAACTTCCGATTGTGTTACAAACTATAAAATGGAGAGGACCACCAACAAGTTGAATCACAACAAAAAAAGGAACACGAAAACGTGCTAAAATGCATTAGTTACACTCTGATCTTCTAGGCAACTTCTAAGTGTTATTACTTATTCTATATTAAACAGAAATATTGAATACCTACCAACACAATCATGGTCCGTGTGTGTCAAAAAATTGAAATAACTGCATGTTTCAGTTCCTCTCTTCTCACATTTGTGTGAGCATACATTGAGCAAATCACAAAACTCAGTAAAAACTATCTACACTAATTATTGTTAGTAATTTTTGTATTTCTCTTCAAATGATTACATTTTGAAGAATAGTGATAATTAATCGTTAGAAAATTTTGAATCAAACCTGAGAGAAAAATGCTGTGACTGTCACTCTCTGTGGAACATAGACGCTTGATATGAATGGATTCAAGAAGGTGACGATATCTGCAACGTCTGTAGTTTTGTATCTTGCCAATCCACTGTTTAAAAAAATACTCATGATTTCATGTAACATTCAGTGGGCATTCTTGGTTAAAGCATTAAACTATGATGGATCACAGGTTAAAAATTTCGGGCTTAAATACAACCCAACACCTCACCCAGTATGTAATAAATTGGGTAGGCAATGCAGAAATGGAAAGATTCCGCCATTCCAACCTATAGTAGTTTCCCTGCAGGGGGTGTGCAACCTGCGCCCCACAATGAAAAATTGTGCGGCTGGCAGAGAATTCCAATCTCTCACAATGCCCTAACAGCTTCATAAGATCAATAACCAAAATTTTTGTGCCTGCAATTACCAGAAAGCCTATGTTAAATGAAAGTGCAGCCCGCAGTGTCACCCAGTTATTTGTATCTGGCCATTCTGTATTGAAGGTTGCACACCCCTGGTGTAAATGCCTTGTGAAAAATTTTTGAGTTAAGAATTTTGAGTTTGTTTGTGATGTATATGCAAATGTTTCATAAAACCTTAATCAGCATAATGAAATACAGGAGTTTGCATTTCAATGACTAAGAGCTACTTAGACCTAAATATGTTGATTGTCTATCTTTAGCTGATACTCAACGTTGATTGGGCAACCAGCTTAAACGCCAGAAATAAAAATACAAAATTTTGATTTTAAAAAGGTTGATTTTACATCCGATAACAAAAACTCACATACCTTGCAAATGTCGATATTGCCTCATAAAACTTTTCTTCATCTTCTGATTCAAAGTAGTTCCACATCATTTTTTCCACAAAAAATTGACTGATGTCTCTCCCACATGTAGCAGCTATCAGGCAATAAAGTGAATCTATTGCCTGCCTAAAAAACGAAAAAAGATATTTATTAACTATGAAAAAGGAATGCTAATAATTAGGTGGTAGATATACAGAGTCAAAGTTTCGTATGTTTTAATTAGAATTAAATTTTAAATTTGAACTTCTCAAAAATCGGGAGCAGGAGTCGAGATTTTGTTTTTCACAGTCTGGATTTCTCATTTTTGTTAGAGATATTTGGAGTTAAAATTTTCCATAGAAACTCAAAATTTAGCGTTCATCTATGAAGGTTGCATTTGAAGAAGTTTTTATTATCAAAACTTGATTTCCTTGAAATCTCTGAGCTGGAGTCGAGCCGAAATTTCTATCAGTCTTCAATCAGACTCCCCAGCATGCAAGTAACAGTACTCACTTTCTGGGAACAACTCAATAGAGCATGATTGCGGGGTACTCCTGTAGTATGTGAACCAAGATGGTGGATACCCGGAACATAGTATGTGTACCAGGTTAGGGTTAGGCTATAATTTCAGGTACAAATATTACGGGAGTCATTTGGCTAGTCCCCAAACTCGTAATACGACTAAAATAAGGAAAATTGGATAAAACTATGGCCTACTCTTAACCTGGTACCCATACTACGTTCCGGTGTCCGCCATTTTGGTACACATACTATGAGAGTGTCGATTGCATTGTTGGGATTAAGGCCGAGTACACACAAGTTCAGCCATTTTTGCAATGTTGGGCAATCAGCTACCCATTCTTGTTTTAAATGTTAGAGTTAGACAATAGCAGCTAATGACTAGCGTTATATATTAGACGTTTCTGAGGTATATGCATATTTTCTAAAATGAGTGAACCTGTTGTTAGTGTGTTCAATACATTAAAGAACCTGTTATTAAGATTTCAAATCCCGTCACCACATGTATGTGTATGTTGACTTACCGAAAAGGGTTTACTTCAACTTTTGGTGGAGGACCAACAGCTCTCATAGACCCAACTCTGATCAGACATACAGCAACTGTTCTTTGGAAAATATTTCCTGATTTTGAATTTTTTTTCACTTCTTTATCTTTACCATTATCATTGGATGATGCCTCTAACACTTCACGAAGGGCGCAAGATGCCTTAAAAAGGTAATAATAATTGTAATTTGAAAAATATATAGAAATTCAAGAGCACTCACTCAGAGGTGAAAGAGACTGAGTGAGTGTGTAAAATCATGAGCAACTGCTGAAACTATATATAACCATAACAGTGCATTACGTGTTAGTAAGTATCGATTGGCGAGAGAATGAAAATAGTTATGTTCATGAGTGGTGATGAGGTAGTGAATTTCACATGAATTTCTTGAATAAAAAGTTGTCCTGTAAAAGCTTTCCGTACTGATGGCACAGAAGCCGTTGATTCCACAGCCAAATTGAGGCAGTGGTCACCAGTAACCCATAACAATGGTTTACACAATCTTAGTATAACACAATTTTATCATTGTGACTTTTGTAGTTTTATATATTTTTTTCTTTCTGTGTATAGCAGATCTATACTGATAAAAGCATTCCCTCAACATAGGTACTCACAGCAATCAACTGAGTGGTTGCCGTTCTTGTGAATTCTTTTGATTTCTTCATGAATCCTTTATGTTTTTCATCATATGGAAGACCCTTGCTCAACAGATTCAACAAATATTCAGTGACAGGTTCACACAGATTATCATCAGATCCTAATGCTCTCCAACAAGCAACAATTTGCCTGAAACAGGAATAAAATGGTTAGCTTTTTATTTCCAGTTATTCAATAAAATCTTCATATACAAAAAGAATTGTTCAATGATAAAATGATTGTAAAATCAGTTTTGAAGTAAATAATCAAGTTTAAATCAACAGAAATAAATCAAATATAACAGTTCTTAAACAAATTACTGAATGAGATTAAAGACATCATAGTCTTGACATGGGCAAACTACAGCCCGCGGGCCAAATCTGGCCCTTGGGTAATTCAATCTTGCCCGCCTGATACTGCGACAACCAAACTAAAACCAAATTTTGATGTTTTAGCTAAAAATAATTTTTGTTGAAATTGCGATTAAGTTTAGTTTTGTCATAAGGCTCATTGTTTTCCACTTTTGCTTTTGTAACACTGTAAATATTGTTCATAAAATGTAACTGTTTACGTTATACTCACATGGCCCGCCAGTCTAGGTGGGCAAAATTTTTGGCCCCTGGTTCAAAAACCTTGCCCACCCCTGTCATAATCAATTGAAACAAGGCAGTTTGAGGTAAAAAAATATTCAAGTGCGCCTAATTCTCAATTCTAACATGGGATGCTAATTTTAGTATAGTTTGGTATTTTACATTTCAAAATAAATTTCAAATTTGGAAATTATAAATGTAAGTATTACCCAAAAAAACGTTTACAAATTATAAATCCTTGCAGTCTGTATTTTTGATTTTTATTACTTTCAAAGTTCGCCAAAGCTGAATTAAATGGCTTTTCCTGGTTCCAACAGAAAACTATATAATTTCAATTTTCAACAAAATAAAGGTTTGAGATAATGGTTTAGATCTAATATACCTAGATCGGATTTCATCTCATTTGATAAAAAAGCTGACATTTTTTTTGTAGTTACTACAGCCAAACAGATGGCAATTTGTCTCTCAATAACATTTTGTTGCCTCTGAATTTTTACTCCAATTTTAATTGACAGAGATACTTACTCAGTGTAAGGAAGTGGGTTCGACAAGAGTGAGTTCAATGTTGCTTGTAAATGATGAGCCGTAAGCAGGGACATGAGTTTTAAAATTCCAACTCTAGTTGTCCCATCTGTCACTGATTTTAATGTCGTCTGAATAGTTTCCACTATTTGATTTACCTAATTAAAAAAGTAAACCATAAAGATTTGAGTAATTAACATTACTTTAGCAAGCACAATTGGTTTTAAACAGTTGAGGTTGATTCTATTTTGAATCCTAACAAACCTGATGGCCACAAATGAATAATTTCAATCAGCGTTAGCTGTAGATGTAATGACAACAACAAAATAAAACTATAAAGTATTCAGAATACAACAATTCATTAATTCTTTACTTTGGATACATTTTAAAAAAATGATGTAGATTTTTTAAGGCTATATCAGATGATCTTAATTAGAATACTTGGTGAATAATTACGAGTTGACCCAAAAACAGAACACAGGTCATACAAAACATACTAGAGAGAACTTATGTGTAAGCTTCCCAAAATAGTGAAACTTCAGAACTTCACAACATACAGTCATACACAACCAGAAGTTAAAATTTTTTTGTTACGTAGACATAATTAGGAAATTTGTGGGTTTCGTTCCTAGTCACCCTGTAATATTAATATTTAACTATAGATATATTCTAAAACTACTTGCTGTAATATAACTAAATTCGGATTGATTAAACAAAATGTAAATTGAGCTATTAGAATATCATATACCAATCAAGATACCTGTTTTCCAAAACCTGTTCCTCTTGTTTTGAATATATGATGAAGAGTCAAGCAAGCTCCATTAGCACAGCTAGGATGAGGATCCAACAGACAATTCATCAGTGCAGTTGTTAGAGAACCATCAACAAAATATGTCAACTCATTGGGCATTTTGGTCATGATAACCTGAAAATAAAAAAACAATGAAAAACTTGGAAGTTTTGTGTCAACCACTATCTACTGGCATTTAAGTGGCATCGGTGGATTTGTATGTAATAAGTTCTTCCAACTTTTTTAATACTTCAATTTTTTCATAATCTTTTCGGAATATGACAAGATAATTTTAACAGGAACAAAAAGAATTGGTACTCCCGTAGTATGTGAACCAAGATGGCGGACGCTGGAACGTGGCATGTGTACCCGGTTAGAGTTAGACCATAATTTCAGATACAAAAACTACAGGAGTTACTTGGCTCGTCCCGAACTCGCAATAGAACTAAAATAAGAAAAATTGGAATAAAATTATGACCTAACCCTAACCTGGTACACATACCACGGAAGTATCAAAGAATCAACCATTAAAAATTTGTCTGGGTTATTCCAATTATGTTTGACACACCAGTTGCTTTAGTGTAAAAACTCAACTTTTTCCACAGGTCATACATATGCCATTGTGCAAATGATTACAAGTGATATGGGAGCCAAGATTTGAATATATGCTTTTATATAACTTCCTTCAATATAAACTTGACTGCCTAATGTGTCTATAAAGATGTTTTTGTAGGACTTTATTAATATACAGCCGCTTAATTGAAAAAACTTGATACTGAAATATTACTTTTGCTATATCTCTCATTGTTTGATACATTTCGTTTGGTTCAGTTGATTGTAATCTTTCAGCAAGATTTCCCAGAGTTTCAATTGCATCATCGTTGCTACCAGCTTTAGCTCCTGAGAAATATCAAAGACAGCATAATTTACTTGCATTTTATAGTCAGCTGAATTTATTATACAAACCATGGCTGTCAGAGTCAGTGTCGTTTTTTAAACTCCCTGAATCAATATTTTGAATTGTCCAGAATCAAAATTAAAAACTTTAAATGATGATCATTTAAGTTGAACTTTCTAACAAAGTCTCAAAAATCATCAGTGAACATGCCCAAAGTTTTTTACACCAAAATTTTTATCATCAAAACTTGAGTGATTCATGGTCAAATTTTCATAACCAGGAGTTGGGAGCCACAATCAAAATTTTTGTCAAACCAAGTGGGGTCATTTCTTAAATTGCTCAGAGTTTGGAGTCAAGTTCATGGGTGCAAATTTTTCTTGACTCCACCGCCTCAAAACAGACAATTGGAAATTCCTATAAGAGGCATCTTAACTCAATGATATTGTATAGCATGACAAAAATTCAGAAAATTCAATTAAGTCTGGTATTTTATTAATTCCATTGTTGCAATGATGTTAAAATTGATGTTGTTCACAGAATCACAGCATCATCTTTCACAGCAAAACGTCCAAGTCCATGTGTGCCTTAAACTCATCAATTGCTAGTCCAGAATAAAATTTGACTCCCATATTAGTAATGCTTATTTGCCTCAAATTTCATCATGACTTACCATTATATTTATTCTGAATCTTGAGCAATTGTTTGACACATTCAACAGCATCTTTTCTCAAATCAGGTACAGGATCGCAACATCTTGCAATCACTCTGGACATCAAAACGCCCATTGTATTCAGTGAAGTGTTAGTCTGAAATGCAATGACAGACCAACATTGAAAATATAATATATTGGTATTGAAATACATATGATTTATTCTAATGCAGTACCTATTTCAAGATTAACAGATAAACCGAAATTTTTTTTAGATTTTTCTGGCAAGTTTTTTTTAAAAAACAATCCAAGTGCTGGGTTCAATTATACGACAAATTTAAATAGTCACACAGAGCATTACTTTGTTAATCATTTTCACATCCAATTGTTTGGTATCCTAAAATTTACTACTGTATTTAATTTGGATTTAAAGTATTTCTAAAGAGACCAATTGTATAACAAATTCATCATACAACCCAAAATCAGGAATGCAATATGATTAAAACAATATTTCATGGAAAAAATGCTAGATTCTACAAAAAAACGCAAGTATCTGAATGTCTTTAATGGATCTTAAATGTATACATCAAATTTTGAACTTATTAAGACTGAGTTTTTTGGACATTTTGAACAGTTTTTGTCTTTGAAAAATATATCCTTACCATTGCAAAAATTTATAATTTACTAATTCTGAGATTAATATGAATATTCCTTAAACTTGAGTATGAACAAAATATAAGGTTTTAAAGATAGAACAAACTAGATATTGTGCAATGAACTGCAAGTCCTTCCTGATTCGGAACCATATGTAGCAATTGGCACAGTTTTAGAGTGATAAACAAGAAAACATAATCTTTTTCAGTCAAATATTAAGTGTATTTGTAAGTTCTAGTTTGATAGTCTAAATTCTTCAGAACAAAACGAGACATAACTTTTAAAAACAGCAAAACAACAACTATAATCTAACAAAAACTTACGAATACTTTTACTATCTTGACGAATGGGATTATGCTATTCTTTGAAATACACATCGAATCAACAACAAGCAAAATACATGGATAAATGTTACCTTAGTAACCACAAAGGCATCAAAATAAACATCAAAGACTTGAGATGCAACACGTAACCCTCTTTCTCTCTCGTGGGCATGCTCTGAAGTCAACCAGTTGTGAAGATGCTGAAGATAATCAAAAATCTAATGTATCTATGTATCATAACATGTAACACAAAAAGTACTCTACAAACTATAAAAAGATATGGCTATTATCCTTTTCGTTGGTTGAATTTATCATTGAATCATATTCAAGGGGAATTCTGTGGTGCAATCATTTTAAGCCAGGTTAATTAATTCAAAATATAGTTTAGCCAAATTGAGTTCTGTAATCAAATATCAGAATAAACAACTCAAAACTGGCAATCCAATGTACTATATAAAACACTCAATTGCTCAAAAAAGGAGCCAAGTTGTAAAATAAACCAAATTTTGCTCTGTAAATCAGAGTAATCAATGTAATTACCTGTATGCAAATACTGTAACATTGAAGCAAAGCAACAATCATCCAATTATTATCATCCAAGTACAAAATTACAACATAAAAATTTACCTTTGAAACGGGACAAATTAGCACCAAATTAAGAAAAAAGGCAATTACACCATTCAATTGCCACTGTTTAATGCCAGCAAGAACAATTATCATTTGAACCAAGAATTTTTGTAACATGTAGAGTAATTCATAATTTCACAGTGAATTTTAATCTCAAGTTACCTTGAAGACGGAATCCAATCCATTTGGTGTTGGGCATTTTACTATTATCTCTCTGAGCACAGAATGAAGTCCAACATTACATTGTTCCTGAAGAAGCTGTAATAAACATTTTGTATATCTCAATTGCTATGTAGTCAGTTGAAGTATTGTGCAACCAAAGACTTCGTCTATGCTCTTATATTTGTGTGTTCACTTATCCACTTGTGTGGTTTATAAAATCATAAGAATAAAATACAAGAATAAAACAGCTATTCTTAGTGGATCAGAAAACTCACAGAACAAATCAAAAATTTGATTCTGATCTTCAAAAATAGCAACAATTGCTGTAACTAGTACGGTACGGTACTTATTATTCAATTGCGGGTAAGCAGGTGAAAATGTTGGAAATCCTGATTTGGTACAAATTGATAGTATTTTGCTTGTAAGGTCTGAATAAACAGGCCTAATTAATAGGTTGATTTTTTTTTATCTGAGTTGAGTTTTTTTATTGTCTTTCATTCTTAAAAATGGTTCCACCCGAAACGCTATTGCCTCAAATAATGGTCTTTGACATAAAAAAATAACTTGGCCAAAACGCTTTGACTGTTAACCAGACAAAATTGACCAGCTAACTGCCATAATTGTAAATTAAAGTATCAGAGATTGATTTACAAATACATTAATATGCTTATATGCCAACAATAACAATTTCAATAACCTTTGTAATATATTTTTATAGATTAAAGGTTAGATGCTGCACAAGATATTTCATTGAAGTGTTCAGATTACCAGCATTGTCGTACTTTTTGGGTTTCATACATTTTTTCCCCAAGATAGATATACTGATAACTTTTAAATTGCAGGTGATAGAGATAAAATTACGATATTTAATTGAGACCATCAACTGTCCAATATCATTACCAGCCCTAATTGGAGTTTTCACTGAATATCTCAAAAAACAAGATCATGATTCCATTCTATCACTTGTTATTCACGACTAGTTATGCAAAAAAGTTTTCAAAAATGTATATTACTGTACTAAATTACATGATGTAGACAAAAACAAAATTTCAACAAATGATGAAGTAGTTCTATCATAATAAATGATTTCAAGTGACATTTAAATCAGCTTTTACCTTCTGTGGTACTGGCCATGCAGCATCCTCTCTATTTTGTGGAATATCTGGTAGTTTAATCACATATTCCGAGCATATTTTAATCAACTGAAACAAATCAGCATCATTCAACAATGGATCCAGCTTACTGTTATCAAGATGATTGAGTCAAGAAATTTAAAGAAAAATGAAGATAATTCTTTAGACTAAACATTTGCTAATATGAGGTGAAGCTCATTTAGTCATGTCTCGAGGACCTGCTTGATTGTGCAATAGCCAGTTCATATTCATTATATGAATATACTTAGGAATAATAGAAAATTCAATATGTCAAGATGCCTTAATTATTACGATGTGTTTATGTTGAATCCTTTTATCTGAGTTACTTCCACAACTGAACAAAAAGGATGGAATTAGGAACTAATTAATTTCGAATGAGTCATATGAAAAAGTGAAAAAGTAGTGAATCAAGCCAAGGAATATTTCTCCTCCGGCATTTTATGTTTCATTCTAAGAAGTGACTAACAAAAACAAAATGCATTTTTATGCTCAAAAAATCTAAAATTAAATCACATTTTTGGATCCAATTTGGGCCTCTATATTAATTTGCTAAAATGATGCTGTTGAGACAAAACCGCTGATTTTTTGGTGCTTGAAGGTGGAACTGTTTCTAAAAAAACTTCGTATTTTTCCTCAAATCATAAGTTTCCTTCGAATTTTGCAATGTAAAAAGTTGTGACATGTGGTCATTTGACCGTTGACTGCTTATATATTCTCATGAATAAAAGGATACACTAGTTCTGTTATAGCCGACAAAACAGCAGCTTTAACAGAGCTTGGTCTTTCCAATCCATCTTCTTTTAAATATGCTTGAAGATGACTTAGCAGTTCTCCTCTCGATGGTAGGGCTTGTTTCTTTTTGTCTTTGCTGGTCATTTGTCTTTCAGATGGTGGTGCAGCTTGATGAACGGGGTGATTTGTCATGTGATTTGGATGAACAGCACAAGCAACCAATTCCACAGCATACACTAGATTTTCTTTCACTCCTGCATCCTAAAACCAAGTACCATATATTGACAAACAGATTACTCAGCGGTGTGATGCATCGTGCTAAGCGGTAGGATTAGGCTCGCCACCGCACCTATGATTACCTCTTGTGGGTTTGCAGGTTTAAATCCCATGCAGAGAAGGTTATGTGCGAGAGGATTGCTGGGACTCCTCGCCGTAGTAGGGTGTGAATCCCATGCAGGGATGGTTATGTGCAAGAGGATTGCTGCGACTCCTCGCCGTAGTAGGGTGTGAATCCCATGCAGGGATGGTTATGTGCAAGAGGATTGCTGCGACTCCTCGCCGTAGTAGGGTGTGAATCCCATGCAGGGATGGTTATGTGCAAGAGGATTGCTGGGACTCCTCGCCGTAGTAGGGTGTGAATCCCATGCAAGGATGGTTATGTGCGAGAGGATTGCTGGAACTCCCCGCCGCCGTAGGGTGGTTCACGTAACCGCTGCTTGGTTACGGCTTCCTTCAAGTCCATGCTTCCGACGAGATGTCGTGGTTCGCCATTTGATTGAGTCATCTTATCAGCTTTCCTCGCCCCTGGAATAAATATGTAAATCCTATCCTATCCTACTAGATTAGATTAGGTAGATTAGGTTTGTATGAGAGTTATATAGAAAAATTTTCATCAAACAGTGTGATTTTAATTGCTAAGATTAAAAACTGTCTGAGAGTTTTTCCTTCTGGATAAAAATATCACAAATTTAGGATAAAATTTTTTGCTCAAAAATTTGCATACTCAATATTCATACTTCATAATGTTTGAAATAACCAATTTTACAAAATAATCTTTGTAAAAATGTACCTTTATTCCTTTGAACATAGGTAGTAACAATTTCACAATGACTGCATCGACACGAGATGGAACAAGTTCAGGTGGAGCATAGTAAGCAGCATATCCACAACATAATCCTGCAGTTCCTTTCAACCATTCAGACTCTTGTATTGCTTTGTCACTCTAAATGTGAAAAAATTGACACTGATTAGTAGAAATCAGGGGTGTGCAAACTACGACCCGCGGTCCAAATGAGGAATACACGGAAAAATTGTGCGACCTGCAGAGAAGTGCCAATTTTGAACGATGTGCGGTCCGTAAAATAAGTTTTCAATTTAGTTCAATCTGATACGTGCAAGTAATTCCAATCCATTGCATTGCAAACCCTATACCCAAGTCCAATTGATTGTCTGTGGCTATGATGTTGCAATGCCCTAACAGCATTGCAAAGCCCTAACTTGTGCGAAGTGAACAACGCATTTCATAAGATCAATAACCAAAATTTTTGTGTGTGCAACTACTAGAAAGCCTATGTTGTTTAAAGGTGCGGCCCGTTCACTCAACTATTTGTATCTGACCCTCCTGTATTAAAGGTTGCAGATTCCTGGTATGAATCTTTGAGAGGATGTGGACATTTACTCAAAAAAAATAATACCTTGAAAAATCCACTCAAAAATGAGCTATCCTTCTTCATTACTTGATTTTTGACATATGAACTCAGTTTTGACAATGTCAGGTCTAGATGTGATGATGCAGCATATCCAAGACAAATTCCTGTACCCTGAATTTAAAAGTTATTTCAATTAACAAGATTTGTATCTCTATTTAAAAATATTTTTTTGCATGATAAGTCGCAAAAATAAGCTTTTTAAGATATTTTCCCCCTTTTAATTTTTGTTCATTTTCAATAGTTTATCACTTTTATGTGTCCATGTGACAAGAACAGTATGTTATTGTACTAAAATTTTGATGAAAATTTTATGGAAACAAGTAATAAATAAGCAATCTTAAATAAAAAAGTTGCTAAAAAATACATAAGTCTGCTTTTATATTTAATTCCAATTTTGAACAATCCAAATATATCGTCGCTGTTGAACCAAATTAGCTTATGTCACATTTTAAGGTTTTGACAAAATCGCAATTCTTCAATTTTCAGATCTGTACAGCCAAACCTATAAATGGACATAAAGCTCAATCTAAAATCAAAACTAAAAAAAGGTGAGGACCTAAAGAAGGCCCCTGGTTCATAATGACAGAAGATCAGATAAAGTCCAATTCTGAAAAATGTGACATAAGCTACGTAGGTTTTACAGCAGCAATATATGTATATATATGATTTGTGAAAAAATCATGATATATTCAAAACTTTGAAAACAAAAAATTACTTGAATTCTCAACAAGTCCCCTATTTGAATTCATTCATTTTTTAAAATTTGACTAAATTTGTACATAAGATAAGAAACAATGTATTGAATGATAAAAAATTATACCTCTCTTTCAGCTAATTCAGATTGCTTTATAGATTGAAACAATGAAGTCAAAGACACTTCAACAAATTCTTTGTTTGTAGACAGACGTAGCAACACACCCATGCATTTGAATGAGAAATTCTAAAATCAATAATATAAAGTTTAGTAAATATAATAAAGTCTTCAATAATATTGTGGGCATGGTCAGGGGCGCGCGGTCAGGAATTTTCAAAGGAGGGGATTCTGAAAATTTCTAATTGCCAAGTTAGACAGTAACAGCTAGCGAGTCTTGAGATTCGGAAAAGCGAGTCGATCTACGAAAAATTATTATGTATGATACAGAAAAATGCCCTCATTTTACATTTTAAAAGTGGAGTTCAAACCAAGTAAAGTCGACAAAAAACAAATCCCAATTTTCTTTTTTTGTCATACAAGAAAAATTCAACAATTTAAAAAACAGTTAAATCAATAATTGAAGTGCAAGTGACGAGGGTCAGTTGGGCTTATGTTATTATCCTTGAAGTTCGTTAAAAAGTGACGCATCACATGAGGATATGAGGTGTTAATTGTATCCCATAGAACATTTGACACTTTTCTTATTTTTTTAACTAATTCATCCAACACAACGATATAATAGAACAATCAACTCAAACTGACCTTATGTTGTGGCATTTGATTATACAATGACCACTGGTTTGCAAGCTCAACTCCCAATAAGCAAGTCCATTCTTCATCAGCTACTGCTTCAATACTGCTTGATAACAGCTGAGAACAAAATAAAAAAATTGAAGAAGTAAACCTGTGAGAGACACTTCAAAAATGCTTTTCTCAATGATTAATCTATTCAAGATAATTTGAGCAACAGCGAAATTCAGCTTAGTCCTAGTATTTCAATTATTGAACTAAATGATAAGGTTGAAAACTCAACAAATGACGCTTGATCAAATGATTTTAGTATAATATACACTACATAGAGACAAAACATAATAATTTTAGAAGTATACCTGGAATATTTGCTCCTCCCAGCCTCTTTGCGACCACATTCCACTGGCAACGGCATCTTAAGAGAAAATGAAAACATTAGTTACAATTACTTTTATGGTGACCACAAATCATCTTTCTACATGTCATTTTTCATGCAATATATGCTCCGAATCAACACCCTAACCCTATAATTTAAAATTGTCTGTCATTGAGAATTCTGCTGCTGCTTAGCGCCAAAACAAGAATTGCTTATTTATTGCAAGGAAAAGAATGCAGATAAATTAGGAAAACTATATGGAAAAACATTGAACCACAAGTCCAACTTCAATAGGAACAGTTTGTGAAGGACCTCAGTAGGACTGGGTTTGTGAAAAAGACTGCAACTGCATTGTCCAGCAATCTTATCTTAAATAGCTATCCCGCACAGTATTGATCATCTGTGCAGAGTGCTCAAGAGGCTTCTATCAATTCAAGCAAGCAAAAAAGTCTTTTTTGAAATATTTAATTGATAATTGTCAATAGAAAATTTCTTGTTTCGAACATTATGGAATCATCCCTAATCTTGTTCATTGAGTATGATTGATATGATCAGCTATAAACACATAACGCATACATCTTGATTCTGAGCACAACCAGATATCCAAATTAGTATTAAGAGTATTTGAAACAAAATTAGCATATTTGCAAATATATGATTTTGAAAATAATTTAGATTTCTAGAATAATTATTTCCATTTGAAAACTCACCATCATGAGCATTTGAAATTTGATGGCCTGACATAAAATAAACTACATATAAACACGTAAAGATGGAATATCAATCAAGTACATTGTTCCTTTAACTATTCTGCATAACCCAATTCAATTTTCAAACTGCCTTGTGTAAATATTACCCAACTTGGAATATACTCAATACTCTGTACTCCCCTAGTGTGTGTACCAGGTTAGGGTTAGGCCATAATTTTATTACAATTTTCCATATTTCATTTAGTTCCATTATAAGTTTGGGACTCTCTGTGTTAGTCTGAATATCCCCCTGCCCATAGGTTTCAGTCCCTTTACACAATTTGAGGTAAAATAGGCGAACAAAACTAGGTAGTTACCTCCATATATATGTACACATACTTCTGGAGCGCCCAATACTCAGTTTCAATAATTTATTTTAGAATGTTTTTAAACAGGATGACCCAAAAAACAGAACCTAAGCCATTTGAAACATTACTTTTGTGCTAACCTTCCCAGATTACTAAAACTTTTGGTACAATATTACGCAAACAAAAGTGTTACAAAGTGATACATAAATTTAATTTCGTGAAGGGAAATACGAAATTTATGGGTCACCCTGCATCAAATTATTCTGCAACCCGTGATCACAACCACGCATTATGCCTATGTAAATCACTGACCCTCAAGAAATTTCTTAATTTCAGGTATCATGGAATCCCATAATTCCGTCAATTTGTGATGAATAATCGGTCCAAGGTTGACAAGAAGATCAAGAAGATAATCGGCAAGACATCGAGATTGTCTTGGTTGAGACAGCAGGACAAGAAGACGAACAAATATTGCAAATGAAGACGGAACATTTACTGTGAAAAAGGGGTGGATCCATGTAAGTATTTTCAAAAAAAGAATTTAATAAAAAAAATAAAATCTAACGATACCTTTTAATACAGTTTAAGTCATGAAAGCCAGACCAAACTATTTTGGTTAATCCTACTTAGATACTAGTACACCTTTCACCACAAATTAAAAGCGAAATGTATTGTTTATTTCCTATTTTAATTTAAAATAATACCTTTCATTTTTACTTGGGGAATTAAATGATGAGAATTGTTCGATTTTCATAAAAATTGAATTGCCGGCGTGCCAAATAATTTCATTTTTTAGATAAAATATCGCTCATTAGGTTAATGAAGAATCAATGCGCCAAAAGTAAAAAATACTGGGTATTACGTTCTACATAAACTCCAAATCTGTGTGATATTGCAACTAGAAAAGCATTAAAAATGATTTTAAAACAATTTATGTAGCCTAAAAGAAAATACCAACCTGTTTCATTGAAATTGATAAGATAATCTTTGGCATGATTTTCTCTTTTCGTTTTTGCAATGTGAGATAAGCAACGACTTATGACACCAACTGCTGACGTCATTTCTTCAGTTTTTAGAAATTCAAACAAAAACGGCCACAAAACCTGAAATTCAAAAATTGTATCAAAGATAAATTAGTGATAAATTGCATTTTCAATACAGGGAATTTAATTCTAATAAAAAACCTTTTGAGCTTCAAATTTAAAGAGAATTATGACTCTGGCCAGATCTCTGATGATAGCGTAAAATGCCAAACAAAATTTTGTCAATCTGTTTCTTAATATGAGATAACTCTGGACTCAGAATTGAGTTAGCAATAAATGTAATGATTTCTATTACTGCGATCCCACAAGAGATAACACAGATTACCACCAAGCGTTCAAAATAAGAATAAGAATAGGGCCGTTTGTTGTTATACAATATTGCAATGTCAGGGGCTATGAATTACATACTAACAAACATTACTTTAATACAGGCTGGCTTAGTGGTTATAATGTAGACCTAGGCAACATGACGTATCACATTGAATATTGCCTACAAACAGAAGTTTGCGACATGGACATGCATTTATGTTTGAATGTAAACAAGTTGTACACACAGTATCCATTCCATCAATAGTTGTTGTCATCAAGTACAAAACATTGTCACACATCGCTTGAAGAGTAACATCATTGACCGTTTCTTTTTCTACAATCTGACCATTACCACCTAGGTGGAAATAAAACAAAGTTTATAGATATTCAAGTTATCCTTATCCTAATGGGTTAAAAATCATTTGTATCCTAATGGGTTAAAAATCATTTGTAAAAAAACAAAGTCTTCGAATTTTTTTTATAACTATTATTCTATAACAAAAATCATCAAGAAGTCTTTTGGAATAAGAATGACCAAAACCGTATATTCTACTATAATATTTCTGAATATTAAATAACAAATATATTTTCTAAATTAAACCGCGTTCAACAGGGAAGTCGATATTTAACAAGTTTGAATTTGGAAATTTGAAGAAAAGTTAAGATCAACACTAATTCGACAGGTTCTTTATTATTACTTTTTAAAATTTCTATGAAAGCCTTTTTGATCTTACTGTTGAGATTTCAATTTTTTAAAATGACAATGGCAACAACGAAAAATTAGTAACTCAGAAAGTCATGTGCACTATGCCTCTAATCAGTCTCAACATTGAAAAAAATTTTGTTCAAATTAAATATTGTCATAAATTCATTCTGACCTGTTGCACTTTCAGAAGCTTGATAAGCACACTGCTTAGCTATGAATTCAACAAATTTATCTCCTCCTTCTTGAAGCAAAAATCCATGGCTTGCCATCGCAGATATCAGCTAATAAATAAAAGAGTTGACTTATTTAAGAAAATTGATTTCAATTGAATTATGGCTAAAAAACAGTGTGTATATAATGATTAATGTAATATGTGAAGACTGTTGATGATAAAATACAGCAAAATACATTTCAAAATTGCTGTCCGATTTGTGTATAGAATGACATTGTACAACATCCATTAAAAAAGAAATTTTGTATGCATCCATATATAAAATATATGACATCCAGAAATACAAACATTCATTGATAATCATCTCCTCTAGTCCAAAAAATGTCCAGTTTTAGATAGTTGCTGAAAAGAAACTATTTTTTACAGGTTTGAACTGTTTGAATATCAAAAGAGACAAATTCTCCATATGCTGGCAGGGCTTCCAAAATAATAATTCTTTTTTATCCCCAGTTTAATCAATCATTAACATTGATGTGTTATTTTTCCAAATTTATCATGTCTGATTTATCCTTTCCATAATGAAACTAAAAAATGTTATCAAATTATGTCATTTTGCTCAAACATGACATGAAAATCTATTCCTCATGTAAACACTTATTCTGATATGTTACATAAATATCTTTATGTAATGGGATTTGGTAATTGCTAAAGAAAGAAAACTAGGACTGGATAGTTGGGAGTCGTGGCGTTTTGTTGGTCCATTGTAGATGAAGCTGGAGCCAAAGCTACCAGAAAGTTTAGTGGCATCAGCTCGACTGAACCTACCCTTTCCCTGTGATTTTCAAAACAAATTCACTGATCTTGTCATAGGTCTTGTTAATAGCAAGGATACAAAACACCAAATAAAAATTAACTCCAATTAATATCAAGCAATTCAATGAGAGATTATCACTCACTCTGGTTAAGTTCTGCTTTACTTTGTTACTTGTTTCAATCAATATTTTGGTCAAACCGATCACAATCACATCTTTTCTTTCTTCAATATGTATTGCTGAAATTGAAAAACAAAATATATCATCTATACCAATACAATACATTAATAGGATTGTGCCTTCCACTTTGAATAAGGCACTGTACAAGCAGTCACTACCAGGCAAAAAAACTGTTTTATTTTAAAAGGAAGGGAATCTATTTGGTTCAGAATTGCCAACCCAATCAAATACACCCTAGGCGAGCTGATGGGAACCTCCTAATGCAAACATAGCCACTAGTAAAGCCTCAACACCTAGGCCAAAGATTCTCAAAGTGCTCCATACGAAGCCTCAGGGCTCCCTGAGAGAAACATAGGGGCTTCTCACAAGCTATTCATTTACTTATTAAAATACTGACTTGGCCAAATTTTGTAATTGTCCAAAGAAGTAATACCAGCATTAATGAAATTTGACAACAGCAATTACATCCGATTCATTGAATGAAGCAATTTTAATTTCCTCAAAACATTGAATTGGTAAGTAACAATGCTTTATTTTTTTTTTATTTTGATAAATTAATTGTGGAGCTTTGTAAATAACAGTCAATCTTTTCACGGGCTCCATAACATCAAAAGTTATGAGTCAGTTAATATAACAGTCAACCCCAGCACTAGGCCATCAAACACAATGTACAATTCAATTGTTATTTTTATTAGTACCTGGAACTGGAATACCCAAAGAATTCATATTAAATAAAATTGCCTCAATATAAGAGTTCAAACTCAAATCACCAACCGTTAATCAAACAAAACAAAAACTTACATGAAGAATTAATCAAGTGTCTCAATATAACAAGACATCCAATTCTGATTCTTTCATCTTTCGAGTCAACTCTTGTCAACATGAAATTTACCAAGACCTCACTGTATTGTGATGCTGGAGAAAAATATATCGGACTAAGAAATATCTATTTTCATACTCACATCTTAAGAGTATTGTTAACCTAGAACAGTGGTTCTTAAACTTTTTCGAGCGCGACCCAAATCTGAGTTTTATGAATACTCGCGACCCAATCCTAAATAACGCAAAATGTGATTTTAATGTTAGTTCAGTTTGACTCAAATACAGACAACTATTCATTAGAAACAGTCCACTTAACGCAATACGCAAGTTGTCACGGGTATCGAGGCGATTGCGAGCTTAGTTTTGATAACCGTCAGTGCCAAATATCCTCGCTCGCACAAGTGCCTTGTCGCGAATTGTAGCAGAAAAGGCGTCCGCTGTCCATCGCAAACACGTCAACCTAGCTGGCCTTCGGTATCTCTCGCAATATACAACTTTTTACTCATCAAATGTGCACACACTGCTTCGTTCGCGGTGAATGGTGCCTTGAGATGAAGTCACATTTTCTCTAGATATTGAATAATCTAATGTCGAGAAGCGAGCTTTTTCATTGCGTCGTCTATTACAATTTACATTACCAAAAAGACTAATCCACTAAGAAGACATTCCACGCGGTCAACACAACGACAAGCGACGTGCATGGTTACCGATACCATAAAAATAATACACGTGACTGGCATATCAGAATTGTGATGTAACAATGAGCTCAAGACAATTCTTTCCGTGAATGAAATTTCATATTTCATTATTTTTAAATACCAGAGTTTAGAAGCTATATTGAAACATTGGGAAAGCTTAAAATTCTTCCTTCTCCTCTTAGATTGCCCTTGCATTGACGACCTTGTCGCGACCCATTTTCAAACCTTCCGCGACCCATGTTTGGGTCGCGACTCGCGACCCATACTTTAAGAACCACTGACCTAGAAGGAATGGATAGGATTCTTTGTATTTATCCTGGGGGGGCTAAGAAAGTCGATAAGACAGCTCAATCCTATATTTAATCATGACCTTTCGTAAAATAATGGAATGCTATATCAATAAATCATTCCATATACATACATGTCAAGTACTTTGTGAATGAGGAATAAATAATGCATGAGTAGATATAGTGCACCTAAAGTGAGTGATTATTAGTGATTGGTATAAATTTCGTGATACCAGAAAACAGTATAGAAAATAATTAGACTCAGCATTTCAAAGGGTTCCTTCAAAACTAGTTATCATGCCAATTAACAGTAACAAGAACAATTACACTGCAGAAGTTGACTTGTCAGACTTGCTAATAAAGAGAAAGAATGATAAAATTGAATAATCAATTCAATATTCAAAATCTTACCAAGAATGCTGAAACATCTCAACACTTCATTATAATTTTTAGTTGCAGCAGGATTAATACCGTCATTGCTTCCACTGCATATCTAGGAACAAATTAATTATACAATCAACTGCTCCAGTAGGGTGTGTACAAATATGGAGGTAACTAATTTTGTTCGCCTACTTTACATCAAGTTGTGTAAGGAGACTGAAACCTATAGGCAGGGACCAGGGTGTATATTCACTTGGCTAACACAGGCAGTCCCCAAACTCGTAGTAGAACTGAAATACTACAAGAGTACTCAATCAATACACTTAACAGCTGTTCCACTCACTAAAATATAAATCAAACTTAGTAACATAGAATTCATGATGTACCACAACGATGAAAGTGTTAGACTTTACCGTGTTGGCATCATAGATTACACATCTCGGGTTAAAATCCGATGTCCCCCTCCTTCAAGTTGTAATAATAATGCCTGATCTAGAAGATCCCGGTCCTTTCAAATAAAAGTAACTCCTAACCCAGTGGTTCTCATTAGGGTGATTTGTTAATGCGTCCCGAAAATTAACAGAATTGTGTTAAACATAATTACATAACTAATATATTATTAAATATTTGAAAGTACGCGTTCACAGCAACAGCAGCACATATCTCATTAGATGAATAAGTGTAAATGTTGTGACGTTATGTTATTTTGTTTACGAACTTTAAAAAGCCTAAACACACATTGACAATCACAAAATTGGGTTTTAATTGAAGCCAGCAATTTTTTTTCGTGTTAGGTGCGCTGTGAGTTTTTTTCCTGATAATTTGACGCCACAAAAACAAAAAGTTTGAGATCCGCCATCCTGACCTATTGTGAGATATCTGTGGCTGCTTGTATGGGGTCTTATTCAGAGCAAGAGACATAAATAAGTGTCATATAAAGAATCAAATATTAGACTCATCTTATTGTGCAATATAAATACTCTCACTGAATTTGCCCTAATCATATATTATTCTAGTGAATAACATGTAGGTAGGTATATGCTTATAAACATTATTCCCAAACTCCAAAATAAGAGCAGGGAAACAAAACATTTATATTTGACAAATGATATGAACGGGAAATAAAGCATATTGCACAAGGACATAACAGACAGTGATTGATTATATTGTGCACTAGGAAACAGGATGTCTCTGCAATGCCTCATGTTAGCTAGTAATTACAGTTACATTATCACTAAATACTAAGACACACTACCATACACTTAGTGGGAAGAAATTTTGTCAATGTGAATTGTATACCGGTAATATAAAAAATAAACCATTGTAAATTTTAAATTATGATTTAAGTTTCGACAATCTCAGTTCAAAAATGTGGAAAATACTTACATGGCCATGTAAAACAGTAACAAGGCCTTCCAAATTTAATTCCAGAGCTCTACATTGAGCATCTGATGTAGCGGTGATCACATCACAAATAGCTTTGGTGATTGGATATGGGTCCCCAGGTTGCCTGGATTAGAAAACATTTATGAAAACATCTATCGAAAAATTGGTGAACACAAGAGTATATATATGTTTGTTTATGATAGACCGATGATCAATTACTGTTAATGATTGCTTGTTTAAAACTATTATACCCTATTTTGATTGAGAGAGCAAAACTAAAGGTTGTAAAAATTATTGCATGGGTTGAAAATTGAGTACATTTCACAATCGCCACATTAAATTTTGGATTACGACGAACCCCCAAAAGCATCAGGTTTAGTGAGTATTCTCAAAAATAATTGAAAGAAGGCTTGCATATAACAAGGTCCTGGTGGTCAGATTCGGCTTTCTTGAATGGGGGACAGAGTAAAAAAAATTTTCTATGAATGGAATATAAAGTTTAGCCAAACTGGAATCGAGAGTCAGAGTCGTTACGCGAATAGATCAGAGTTTGGAGTCAGAAACCGATGTCTCATACCCACTACCTGACTGATAATGAAACTCTATACCTCGTATCTAATATGATTCTAACCTTCTATACAGAGACACTAGCATCGACATCAACTTTGAAGCTTGTTCTTCTAATTTTTCAAGACTCAGCAGCATCGTCATTTTACCAAGAGCATCAACAACAGCACAACGAAGCTGTAAGAAAATTGAAAAAGATATTATGGATTTTGAATATCACCAATTTTATTTTGACTCCATGACAGAGAAATACGCTGAGAACTCTACATGCAGTGGCATTTTTTATATGTTGTATTTATATGCCTTTTGCTCTAAACGGGGCTGTGAATTTATTATATCTACTTGTGATTTGAACCAGAAATTTCAACTTGTGATGCCATCTTAGGTACCGTAAGTCTAACGCTTTTAACTGCTCAGCCACTGTGCCCACAAATTTTGTTTTGGATTTCTTAACAATTATCACCAAGCAGGTGTAACAGATGATATTCAGTTTTTCTTAGTTTATGGCAATACCCAATTGAATTTCAGGTCATATTCAAACAGTAGGAGCCTAAAAACCTCCAAGTTTTGAAAGAAATAAAATGCAGACAATTTTTAAATTAATTATACTTGAGGCAAGCAAGGCCACAAGTAACCCACAAGTAGATTTGGATGATACCCTTTTATTATCAGCACACTTAACTACAAATTCAGTAGGAAATCCTATATCGAACGTATTTTGTCACATGATTATAGTATTATTTCAGGATACATTTTTCAAATGATGCTAAACAAATATAGTTGTTCTATTTAGTAGCCAAACAAGAAATACATATTTTCAGTCCGGCATTAGAAATAAATAATGATGAAATTGTCAGAAGAATATGACGTGATTATTAATATGTAACTGATAAACACATGACATACCGAATACTCGACCGTTAGTTGGGTAAATATGTCTGTATTTATAAAATTAACAGAATTCTGAGTCTTACTATTCAGAATTGTTATCTATTTTGTGTTTAGTAAATTACTTTCACATGTGCCACATATTTGTACATATGAAATTTGATAATAATTTTACATAAAAAAACATTCTGAAAGAATTAAGATCGCATTTTATACTATTTTGTAGTAAAATCATCATTTAATCAAGCCTAATATGATGAGACTAAAATAAAGAAGGATTCTATAAGTCAGTGGTTCCTAAAGTATGGGTCGCAACCCATGGAATGCCTAAAATTGGTCGCGCCAAGGTCGTCAAAGCAAGGGCGATCCAAGAGTAAGTGGCCGAACATTTGAGCTGGTCCAATGTCTCAATTCATAAATTTCAGATTTGGGTCGCGCTCAAAAAAGTTTAATGACCACTGCTATAAGCAAATGAACATTTAAACTTTAAAGTGATGGTACATAAGAAATCATTACATTTTTTATAATTTCAAGATAAAGAACAAATGTGGAAATTTCAAAATTTCATTTGGAAAAATGAAAAGAAATTATGCTCTTTGAACTGGTTTGTTGGCAGGCAATGTTCACCTCAGTTTTTCAATAAAAAGCTTAAGGATTTTCAAAGTTAAAAATATATGTTTTCCCCTTTTTCTGAAGAAAGTTTTTTCCAAGTTTCGCCCTCTTGGGTTGAGGCCTTCAATTCAATTTTCTATTTATACGACTAATACAAATCAATAGAAAACTTGAAATGTAGGGCAAAACGTAAAAGTAAGTTAACTATATAAATCAAATTTATCATGAACTAGATGAAAATCCTATCCAATGAAAATCAAAAAAATCAAATAACCTTTGTCTCCTTTGTCAGAATCCACACACTGTACAAAATATTGTATGCACCAAATATTTCATTTGAAAATGTATTTCTTGTTATACTTGGATCTGGAGCTTTGTCAATATTCATGACATATTCCAGAATTGCTTCAGCAAATTGTCCAAGACATTTAGCGAACACCCATCTAGAATGGAATATATATTCATATATTTACTAAAGTAAATATTATTACAAATACAAAAAGGTAAATTTAAACATGTAGAAACGACTTAAAAAGGATGACGGAAGCAATAAAAAATAAACTAAATATGTGGAAAGATATTTTTAAATAACATTGTACTATTTTACCAAAAATTTTAATATCAGTACAGAAAATTCAGATTCTGTAGTGTTTGCGAAAATCTGACATCGGTCAGACAAATCAGTAAAGAGACGTAAATTCAGATTCTGTAGCGTTTCCAAAAGTCTGACGTCGGTCAAACAAATCAGTAAAGAGACGTCACTTGCCCCTCCACTGATTACCTGATCTAATTTTAAGTTGGTTGAAGCCCTCTTTTATTTTACTAACAATTAATATTTATTAAAAAATTAGCTGTGAAGACGAAGAGGTTGACTATTATATACGAAGCCCCACAACAAATTTATAGAATTACAAATTATCTATTGGAACTTATAGATGATGTCATATTTGAATTACCGCCTTGTCGCCTGATTTACACACTGTCATTGTCTAATTTTTTTAATGCCTTGCTTTTTTGAACAGTTACAAAATTAGCCAAGTCAGTATTCTGATAATTTACAAAAACAGTATATCTTGAACAGCAATTTTTCTCAATATTCAAGCAGTACCAGCATTTTTATATCTGTCCATGTCAAAAATATTGCATTCATAATAAATCTAATTTATACAAACCTCATGTTGTCATGTTTTGCAAGTCCAAGAACAGGCATAAAACTTGTCAGCAAATGGTTGAGATAAGGAACCATCTTGAAGGCTTAAAACAAGATAATGTTGATGTGTTATCAAAAACCTCCCATGCTGTACAGGAGGTGGAATGAAACCTACTCTATATCTATTCAGCAAGTTATGAAAATATACCTATGGCAGAAGATCCTTTATTTAAATAAATAATTGAGGAAAGTTACAGGTAATTTATTCTGATGGAATTTTCCCTTCTTTCAATTCATGTGGGTTGGTACTTGGTGTACACAAAAATACCAATTTTGTAAATTTTGTCATTGAAAAAATGATAGATTTTAACGTAAAAATTTATTTTAAATTTAAACAATCATTGAGCATGATCAATTGATAAATTATACTACCATGTGAAGAAAGCAGTTGGCCTCATTGCATGCTTGGGTAACTTACAGATTCACACAAACTATATCTGAATGTTATACCCACCATTTGCAACAGCCAAATTTCCAAGGGTCTGAACAACAAAGAAATGAGGAAGAATTCCAGCTGGAAGTTTTTTGAGCAAATCTTCCATGACTTCATTCACAAAAACAGTACCCAGTGTTACTACAACATCACTTGCAGCAGATTGCCATTCTGGTTGAGGTTTCTGAAATAATAAAATGGAAAATCATGCTAGACTCAGCTGTCAGCTCTACATTGTATATTTCAGGAAACAGTATTGCCATAATGCAACAATGACATTTTTGACATTTGACGATGCAATATTCGTGATATTGAGTTGGATGTTTTACTTATATTTTGCGATCCCGCATATAAGTTGGCCCCCTAAAAACGGCACTAAAACGATGAGTTTATAAAAATTCGCATATAGGCCAACCCTACAAATCGTACGCTCTTATAGTGAGAACTTAACACGGTTCGAGTTGAAGCTGTTGGAATTAAGTTAGCATTATGTCATTTTGTTTGTGTTATGCGCGTATAGACCAAATTTTCATTGCGATCAGAGTTATGCTCGTATCAGGCGACCCCTTACTTTGGCACCTTTTTTTCGAGTTTTGAACTCAGCTTATATGCAAGAACATACGTACATTGGAAACAGCAAAAAGCTACAATGCACCAATGGTTACCTAAATCCCCTGAGAAGATGGTGAAAGCTGCAATGCTTTCTAACATAAATATCCTTATTAAAATGATTTCAACCTGCAAACCCACTCAAAGTAATCAGCAGGAACACTTAGCGGAATGTACAAAGTGGAGACAGAATACGAAACATGCGAGATGCCGAGATGACAAAATTTGCTAGGCAGAAGTGGATCATTGTTGATGCAATATAAATTGATTTATCATCAATCCTATGTATATTTCAATATCCACACACAGTTAGTTTCATACAATTTAATGTCTCCTAAGATCCTTCACCAGCTATGTTTAACTGGTTAGTCATCAACATACCAGATTTGAACAAGGGACTGAAGGGAGCGATTCATGCATATGAATAGGCTGATTTATTAGCATTCCACTCCTCCAGAATAAAATATAAAATCTGATTTCACCATCAACTACCACTTTCATAACATGATACCTTTGATTTTGTCATATCTTCAGATGCCATTCCAATCAGTTCTCTTGCCAAAGTAATATTGATTTCAGTATTTGCCAAGACTTCTTTTAAAATGCTATTCATAGCACGAAGCAATATAACACGATGATTAAGATCCAGCTAAAATTTGAGAATGAGAAAGTGGAAAAATAGGACACGCTTTTAGAATATTATAAAATCAAGTGTTTTATATGATGATCTAAGCTATTATTATTAGAAAGAACCAGAATCTTTATGGTTTGGCATTGCCTAAATCATTTATTACAACCTGGGTGAAGTGATGGGCATGGTTTTTAAACCAGGAATTTTAACTGTGGCCAAAACGGTTAAGTCTAAACCTCTCGGCCATCAGATAGAAAAAAATTGAAAGCTGTGAAACTTCACATCAAGAAAATAGAGAGCCTCTCATACATAGAAGTCAAATTCAGTAATTCAGGATAATTTAGATAAACATTGTTTTGATTAGTTATTTTATTTTGTTGGACTAGTTTTTTATCTATCATAATTATCTTATAAATGCTTTAGTATTCGCTTTGTTTTTGACATTCCTACGAGTCATGTTATGTGGTTATATGGATTATTAATTAATTATTATTAATCTGATCACATTTTTAGATAACAAGAAATAAAGAGTGATCCCCCATAAACAAAACTCATACATTTCTTAACTACCCCCAAGAAAATTAATTTACCACATTCATTTAATTATTATTAATCTAATCAAATTTTCAGATAACAAGAAATAGGAAGTGATCCCCCATAAATTTCTTGATTACCCCCAAGAAAATTCATTTAACACATGAACATCAGCTTGTGTATGACCCATAAGTTTCAGCAATCTAGGGCACTCCGTACATGTTCTCGCTAGAATATGTTTCAAATGATCTGGGTTCTGTTTTTTTGGGGTCACACTGATATAAAATATTTAGAGTACAAATTGCCTTTCAAAAATGTAGATTCAATACCTTCTGAGTATTGACAATATAGTTACGAAGGGCTCCCAAAACTACAGCATGTTGATGTCTCCCAAGTTTTGTCAAAGCAGTAATGACAGTATCTTGTACATTTTTATCCTTATCAGCAGCTGAACTGATCAATGCCCCTGCCATGGCTATAAAAGAATAGATATAGTAGAAGCAAGCAACCGCAGAAAATAGTCTTTTTGGTTACGATACAATGGGTGATATAATTTCATTAAATTCATCCCAAGAGGGAAATCAATAAATAAGACGTCTTAATTAATGAAACATATTGTAGTGAACCACACTGGATCATGATCTGTCCCCAGGGTTAGGTAAGAAGATAGTCAACCAGTGAATCATCCGAGATGCATACAACTTCATGATGTACAACCTTCTCTCCCAACCTCTTATGGCTCGTGGCCCCCTTCCGAAGGGTTTTAGCACTCATGGCCTGATGTTTATCATATTATCAGCACTGTATTTATAGTGTCATTATGATTGGCAGATTCCAAATCCCATTATGTTCAAACAATTTATGCTCGAAAAAGTGAAAACACCCTGTGAAATAAAGCAATGAAACTACAAAGGGAGTTTTTTTGTAGTGAAAAGTAAAATCAGTTTTGCACCTAGCATTGTGGCCCCTGGCTGGGAACCGCCGGTGTACAACACGTACAGTACAACCCTGGAAAGACGAAGAAAACCATTTTAATGGCATTTGCACTTGTGAACACATGAGTGATAATCAAGGGTATGATAGGATCCATTTCCATACAGTAAGCAACCATAAAACCATGAGCGGAACACATGGCAAGACGAGGAACAGCTTTACTTCAAATATTTCACAGTTCTAAAGATGACAAACAAAATATCGCACACTCATCTTACCACTAACTTGACTTGGAGAAGCAATGTCTCCCTCCATTGTTATCTTTTCGAACTACTTCCAGAAGCAAAATTACAATAATTTTATTCTGATTTTATTGTAAGTTTTATTAATAATAACTAGCAGAAAATTCAAAAAAGACAACTCGTTAAAACAATAAAACACAATTAGTTGGCATAGAACAATAATTCAGCTTCATAATTATATCATGCACTTATATCACAAAAACAAAACTACACCATTCAACAATAAAATTCAATAAATGATATCTTTAAAAATATCAGTCAAGTTAGTACAATTGCTTTCTGTATCTGTAATACAAACAAAATGGCTAAACATGATAAGTTTGGAATCGTTTTACGCCCACATGCCTCCCAAAAGAATCAAAAGGTAGCGGAGACGTGGTAGAAATTTTGAGGGGCGTAACCACATAGCAGGTTGCTATCGAAAAATGTTTTCGACGTCCAAAATCATGATGATTACTGTCAGTCGTAAACAAAGAAAATATGACAAATAGGTGCTTATTTAAAAGACCCTTTGACAATAAAACTATAACTACAAGAATCACCAATATTATTATTGTACCCATTTGCAAAATTACCCCTATTATGGATAAAATATAATTATTCAGATGGAGTATTATTGTACTAAGACGATGAAGCTTTAGTACAAAATTACAGTTTATTATGTTTTGAAGTAATTTTCTTACCATTTGATGACATTATAAAATAAACTACCATGTTTCAGTAATAAGTAGAAAAGTTGATTGGCAGTAATAATCAATATCCCTCAACCCACAAATGGGATAAAACATTCATTCTACCACTCCCTATATTGAGATTTATCATATAAAGGGTGAATGTTGAAATTTAAAAAAAATTCAATTTGAGAACATTACAAAAGGAATAAACAATTTTTAAGCTGATTTTTAATCGAATATTTCAATAAAAAGTTAAGATGTCAAAAATTGAAAATTTATGTTTTCCTCATTTTTAGTGTTTCGTCTTTTGGGGTGAAGCTCTCGATAATTTATATCATAAATTTTACAACCTGATTGCCTATTTTTTCCATATAGGGTAGCTATTCTAAGGTTTATCTACGCTGTACCCAAACTGCAGTAACAGACTATAATAACACAATTACAAGTCATTGAATTGTGGAATTTTATTTATCAAGGAAGGCATATATTGAGATTTGACAATTGACATTATATACTGATACAAATTTTTTTTAAATCAATCAACATGATTTTAAAAGCATAAAAGGCAATAAAATTTATTTTCTTATGTAAAGGGAAATCTAGCTTTGAATGCTGGTACATTAAAAACAAATTCGTTCGAACCAAAATAAGCCAGGCAAAAGTAATGTTGTTCGAAGGGCAAGTTGTGCAAATAAAGAAAAGATAAGAAACAACAAATAATAGCAAGCATACACAGTTCAAAAAACAATCGAACTGAGCCTAATTTTAATTCTTCCCCGAAAAATTGAAACGTTAATAACAATCTTGAGCCATGTTACAATATCAGTATAGTACCATACAACAAAATTCAAGAAAACAAAAATTACTGATTACTGAAGTTCAAATGAGATTTTAAAACCAAAAAAGGTTTTTGATCAATATACTAGCGGTGGATAGTTCTCATTCTCAATAATTCAAAACGCATAAGTTTCTAGTTGTGGGAAAATTTACATAGTAAATGTGTACACTTAACCAATGTGGTTTAACATAAGAGGAAGTAATAAATATCTTAGCCTTTCAGCTGTCACTCCAGACTCCTGTACCAGTGATCTTTCAACTTTTTGAAAAATATTGGGAGAAATCTACATGAAAAATAAGGTACTCAAGTAGTATGTGTACCAGGGCATGGTTAGGCCATGATTTCATTCCGATTTTCTTTTTTAAATCTATTACAAGTTCGGGGACAGTTTGTGTTAGCCAAGTGAATATACCCCCTGCTCATAGGCTTCCGTCCTTTACACAACTTGATGTAAAGTAGGCGAACAAAATTAGTTACCTCCACATTGGTACATATACTTCTGGAGCACCAAAAATAATTGGTACATAGGCTAAACTTGGTACAAGGTAATACTCGGGTAAGACACAATGATGCAATACATCTTATTTCATTTCATATTTGTACTAAAAATAGATACAAGGTAAAAACAGCTCACAAAAAATCCTTCAACAATTTCAACTGTGCAAATTGACAATATTTTTTAAAAATCATACAACAAAAAATTATAAATCTTTCTCCATTATTACACTATTTGGTTCATAAAATTAATATGACATATTTTCAATACTTTCAACCACAAAATAGTGCAGTTGACATAAAGTGTGTATTATAAAAACAGGAACATTCAACATCTTCTAGTCAAAGATCTAAAGATGATAATGAATAAAAAGCAGATAACAAAACATATAGTTTTATAGTATACCATATATGTTATGTTAATTAGATAGATTAGCAATAGATTGGCAATATCGTTCACCACAGTAAATTCATTGCACTCATACAAAAATAAAGTAGGGATGTAAATATGTGTTTGGTACGAAAACTCGTTCACATTATTCGATAGGGACGGCGAACATTTTTTACTGAATGGCTCACACGTTATATCTTTATTATTAAAAAAATGTGGCTCATAATAGATTTATTCAAATTATGTAACAATGAGTGAACTCGCTATTGCTCATTTTTCTAAGTATTATAATCTTGGGTTGATATTGTGTAGTTGTGATATTGCATGAGCTTTACAAATGCAGCACTTGTATCTGGAAAATAATACATGAATAGATGGATTCACATGTATATGATGATTCGAGAAGCGTTAACAGCAAAAGATCAACTGTAATATCATGTCATAAATATTGTAACAACTTGTTGCCAATAGTTCCACACTGGTATACCAGAACTAGTACAGTATATTATTATGAAATATTTTCAAATTAAAATGTATTGTTTTGCTAATAAAGCAAATGCAGATATCTCAAATAGTGCATCTGTCTCAAATTTAGCTTGCAAAATTATTAAACCAAGTAAAGATGTAATAGCGACAAATAAAAAAAACAAATAGAAAAGTTGTGGGAACTACAAAGAAAAATGAAATATCAATCATTTAAAAAAATTGGAATTACTAAGTATTTTGCACCATCCCCAGCAACCAAGACACAGAAACTGACTTGATAATCACGATTCTAGATTTCCGAATCCGCTATATTTTTATCTAACCACTCAAATACTTGTGGCTGATAGGTTTCGATCCAATGCACATTAAATTTTGCTTTTTCAAGAGCTCGTTTGAAATATCTTATTCCAGTCAAATTATGCATTTCCATAAATTTTTCAGCACCAGCTATTTCACTTTCATCTGTAAAAGTCTGAAAAATGTTTTCGGCCATTCGTTGAACTGTAAAACTACTTATTAGAAATATGGAAGTAATTTCTTCCCACTTACTACGAACAAACTTCCAAGCCATCATACTACCTACTCTACCACTATACGTTAGGTAATGTACCACGGTGTCAGCATCTTGATGTCTAATATTTTCTCCCTTTATAGCCTCATCGAGTAAGAATTCCACCGTTTTTTCATCCGTACGATGGCAAAGAGCTTTCAAAAGTTTATTTTTTTCTGAAGCGTCAAGAGTCAGATCCTTTGTATATTTATTCCACATATATTTCCAATCTTCGGGCAACCCTAGTCTGATTCCAGTACTGTAAACAATGTCTTTGTAATCTACCTCTAACTGAGTGTTATTATCCATCCATTTCCTGAAATGAATCAGTGCTTGATTAGTACAATTCTCATTGTCATAAGCGCACATTAATTTGATCGCTGATCGTCGAAGTTTTATTTCCGGATGAGTCAATGTTGATTGCATTGAAGCAACAGTCGGCCACCCATATTTAGAATAAATGTGACTCAGCAAGTTTTTTGAAAAATGTTTCATCTTTTTATGATGATTTGTATGAAATTGCATTTTCAATATTTTCTTGAAGTCACTCAAGATGAGTAAAGCACTATAGAATGGTCCATATTCTTCTTCCTTTTCGAGATAGGTCATAAGGTCTAATAGTCTATCATAACTAATTAAACCGGCTTTGGCAGATTTGGCAACATTGAACAGAATACCGGACCGATCCAAAGCCGATATTGCCGTATGATCCGTTTTCAATTGCAATATTAAGCTTTCTAACATTTTTATACTATAATTAATCAAATAGTACCCACGCCTATTGGCGTTCAGGATCATCCATTTTGGGTAGTCCTGTAAGGTAAAAGTGTACGTTCTGTTTTCAATAAATTCCCATGCTGAATCCTTCGATTTATCTGTCATATAAGAAAGTGGAATTTGCCATAAAGATTCACTTTTATTGTTACATTTATTTGTATATGAAGCTGGTAACTCGAGCATATATCTCATTTGGGATATGATAACTGTTTTTCCATCAAGCGATACATTTAAAACAGGAAATCCTGGTTCAACTGTCCATGATTCTAACATCCGCAAAACGTTTTTACGTTGATTGGCGGTAGACGTATGTTGAACAACAGCTTTAGTCAAGTCTTTGTTGTTAGCGTTACTATAAGCAAATTTACTTAGGTAATCTGTGATGCCAGCATAAAAATTGTCTTCACCAAGATAACTTATCATCATGGATATTAGACAAGCACCTTTTTTATATGTGATATCATCAAAGAGCTCTTCAATTTGAATAGCACTATTAACAGGCACTGAAATTGGATGTGTATTTTCATTTTCATCCACTGTCATTGCATCTGCAGTAGTAAGACTATGAAAAGTTTCCATTAGGTTCCATTCAGGGTAAATATGATTCACCCCAAAAAATTCAACATAGCTTGCAAATCCTTCGTTTAACCATAAATCATTCCACCATTCCATTGTTACGAGATTTCCAAACCACTGATGAGCAAGTTCATGGGCAACAACAATTGCAACCCATTCTTTGTCTGAAATGGAAGATGTTTTCTCATCCCAGAGTATTGCAGTTTCACGATAAGTGACAAGACCCCAGTTCTCCATTGCCCCAGCGGCAAAATCAGGAATTGCAATGAGATCAAGTTTAGGTAATGGGTATGAAATTTTGAAAGTCTTCTCATATTGAATTAGCACTTTGGATGCAACTTCTAATGCAAATTGCGCACTTTTAATTTTATCTTTTGGGGCATATACCGAAACAGGAGTACTACCCCGCTGTAATTGAACTTCGTTTGTGATATTATCAAAGTCAGGAACAATAATAAAAGCAAGAAGATAAGTACTCATAGCTACAGATGTTTGAAATTTGACCAACTTCAAATCATCCCCAAAATCTGATGTATTTTCCACTGGCATATTCGATAAAGCAGAATTTGTATTATCTATGACGATGTTGACTGAAAAGTTCGCTTTCATCGCTGGTTCATCAAAGCATGGGAATGCTTTTCGGGCCGATAAGGCTTCAAATTGCGTTGTAGCCAATGTTTTGTTAACACCTGTTTTCGTTTTATATTTACTCAAATAAAATCCATTAAGAGACATTGTCAAGCTGCCGATAAATTCAACATGAATTGTATATTGTTTCTGTGTTTGAAGCCTGTCAGATAACTGAATTGCAACAAAATCAAGCTCTGTGCAAACCTGATACTCCCTTTGTTGGGGTACCTCGTGTTCCGCAGGAATTTTATCACCTCGTTTATGCCAACCGCTGTATACCTTGAGAGCAGATATATTTAATTCTTTACTGTGGATAACAATTAAGTCTGTAGCTTGAGAGACAGACACTATAATATCAACTTCACCGGAATAGTTCCCAAGAGTGAGATTTGGATGTAAAAAAATGGAGTAAAATTCTGGATGAATGTACGATGGAAGACGATACATTTGCCATGGAAACGATGAATTACATTTCAGTGAATTAATTTCTTTTTTCACAGGGCATTTCAATGTTAATGATGGTTGCACAGTAGAGGACACCGATTTGTCAGGGTAACCATGCATATTCTTCAATTTAATACCCAAACCAATATTTATAATAATAATAAGAATAACTCCGACAACAAGAATACTGAGTGCAGCAGCTCTTGACTTTTTTTCCTCTTTAAACTTAGTCGATGAATGTTGACTCTGGCGAAAATTAAGATGTGGTAGGCCAGCATCTTGTGGTGATACACTAGCTTGTTCTTCATCTTCGCTGACTGAAAGCAACCTCACATGACTTCCATCGTCTCTCATTCTACTTGATGACATTTGGAACATTTCATTATCGCTATCGCATGCTTCTTGGTTCGCAGACCAATTCATTTCTATAGATGCCAATTTTGGATTTGATGAATACTGGTGCCGACGATACGCCAGCTTGGAGTGTGCAAGCAATTGATTACAGTAAATTAAATATAATTACAACTTTTCAATTCATTAACATTATCAGGATTCCAAAGATTTGTCGGAATTAAAAAGACTGCACAAATGGATGGAAAACAGAAAAGGATTTCAACGTCTGCATCAGTATCTAAGGCTATAGTCTACATGTTCCTCAGACATGGAATACAGGAATACGGAAATGCCACAGACATACTGACATAAAAAAGTAGGATATTGATAGTTATTAAGAAAAAGAAACAAGGAATAGGACATAAAAGATAGATTTTACCAGTGGAAACAAAAATGATTTTTTTTCTGGACTGGTAATCTAACTACCTTTAATTTCTAAACTCGGGAACTGGCAAGTCGGAAAGTCTAATTTTTGCGCATTTTGCTAATAAATGCAAATTATATCTATCTACTGATCGAAGGATCTACTGTATCTAATTTCTATTCTCCATCTACGCGACTTATTAAATCACACGGCCATGTCTGTATAAAAGATGCGGAAAACAAACCTCACACACAGGTGCAATAGTGCAAAGAGGAACTTGCACAAGCCGTTGCCGGATACGTAATACGGAAATGGATGTAGCGTTGAAGTCTGTACAGCCTGCCGAATGGGAACTGTTCACAGAACGGCGACAGGCAAACGAGCGATGGCGTCGGAGAGGATTATTTCACGTGATGCTTTAGCAAGAAAACTTCCATTTATCAACGTTTTATACCCAAATTGAATAAATTTATCATTCCTATCCATCCATGCTTTATTAGGGAACATCCACAGAGCTAGCACAGTCTTCATATTCGACATGGAGAGAGAAAAGTCGATAAAAATCTAAGGATACCTGGTATCTTGAAGCATCCTAAACACGAACTTTCGGTTAATTGAAATTTAGTATTTATTTACGATTTAACCCAGCAAGAACAAGTTCCCTCTTACTCAGTGAGGACCAACGACTAACATACCGTGAGGACAGAGCTTTAGCCAGTACCGGTATTCAACGAATATATATATAACAAAAAAGTTAGCAGAGGTTTAACCCAGCAAAACGACTTCCCTCTTACTCAGTTAGGCCAGAGCTTTAGCTGGTAGTCAACGAATATATAACGAAATTAGCAGCCCTTCATTTGCTGTATTGTAAAACCACACAAATAGGAATTGAACATGAAGAATATCGACGAAGTTGATTGATAATACCACAGAGAGAAAAACACGCATAATTTTACGTATATATCAGGGTGTGCAACATTTTTGTCGGGTGCCATATATCCAATTTAAACATCCAACTGGACCACATAAAAAATTAGACTTTCCATGTATACAGCGAATTGAAAACACTGCGGGGAAAAGCAAGAAAAGATATTGTCATACCGGTTAATCTTGCAGTAATAGGCTCTGCGTAAGAAGGCAATAATTTGACGCAGCGACAAAAGTAGAACTACACTATGTATTTTTAGTTATACCCATGTGAGTGCATTTTTGAACACGAACACAAACTGTCGGAATGAGATTTTTCAGTTGGCAGGGGACAGTCCGAGTACTGACAATGGCCACACTAAATGGCGAGGCTCTTTTATCAAATATAACGATCCCAGTTGTTTCTATTAACTTGAAATTTATGGGTGGGCTACTTTAGGATCACAAAAATTCTTCGGGGCGAAAGCAAAAAAAGTAATACAAATTTAATATAATATTAATGAGTGAAATTTTGCTGTCGGTTCTGTCGGGCAGAACTACCGGGACCCATTGTTGTTGGCGGTTCAGGTCTGTCAATACATATTACAGTTTGTGGATTACCGTTAATGTCTATTTTTTATATTTTGAATGCTTTTCCAAAACTTTCATGCAGATCACCATCTTAATGTCAAAGGGGGCAGTATATTCCAAGCTGATTAGATCCAGTCTCATCAGATTACTTCTATATTCTTTACGTTCTAAAACAAGCTGCAATTAAAGTAGGACAACGCACGGATTCCTCTTTCTTTATATCTAGGCCGCTTGAATACCCACAAGTGTAGATGTGCCTATAGTTTAAGTTTATCTTGCAGGAACTTCTATCAATGCGCACATTCCATAATAAAAACTGCTTTTTCAACAAAGACTGTTTTTTATGCAAGAAACAAATTTATTTCCAATATTTAAATTCAAAATAGTTTAAGATTACAAAAATACTGAAACACAAGAGGCTTTGAAGCCAACCTATCGACTTATATTACATATAAAATCGGACAAGAGCGAACAATGCATGCATTCTAACATGATAGAAGCGAGGTTATAATCGCAATGTTAAGATGGTATTACTCTCATTTGAGCATGGACACAAAATACAGTTAGAAAGTATGCCAAGGGGTCATTTATCCTCTCTATTTAGTCTGCTAAACAGGAAAAACCTCATATTAATATTTATAAAAAAAATTGTTTATATATGTTGATGCATATAGTATAATTCGACAACACCGTAAAAAATCAACAGTTAAGGTGTCATGACAACTAGCAATAAAATATGTCATGTGTAAGTATTCCCACATCCCAATAACCCACTATTCCATAAATTATTTTGACAATTACTTCAGTATATTTTGCTCAAAATTGATCTATTATGTGATGAAATTCACTAAAAAGCTCATGTATTGTTGATTATTCGAATTTTTTTAGATATTTTGGTTCAGATATTCCACATATATGATACTGGTGACAGTAATAATACTTCTCTGGCAAAAAAAAACAAAGCAAATTTTAATTGTGCATTTCATGGCAAAAAAAAATACAAAACAGAAAGTTTGCAAATCAGAAAGAAAGCGCATCCTGACATGACGAAACAGAAAAACTATTTTCGTTGCTCACATTCACCAAAACATTAGCTTGTTCCACAGCAATTCCATCATCAAAGTCATCATGAGAAGGTATTGGTGTGTAATGTTGAGGTTTTATTTTACGAAAAAGACTGCTCTTCGTCTGAGATTTGTGTTCATGTGGTTGTTGATTGATGTTGACGGACTCATAGTTAAGTATTCGTATTGCAGATTGTCGTGTAATGTGATAAAGTCTTGAAAAATTCACACCAAGAACCCTATAACGAAAATAAAAACCTTTTCTAAATACCAGATTTCTACTGTTGACGAAGGTTTATTGTAAACAGGAAATAGAGATCAAATGCACACTGACAATTACCCTAACTCGATGATCTGATTAAATACATTCACACAAACAATTATCACAATGACTGATGAGGACTATTTGCTATACTACTCTTACACAGATTTTGTGAAGAATTAATAATGAGGTAAAGGCATAACCAATCAAAGGTGTTTCAATTCTTATAAATAAAGTATGTTGTCAAATTTGACCCTTTTCTGTGCATGTCACTCAGGGCATAATAATCGGTATTTGCCGCCATCACCAACTCACAAGTGCGAAAGAATCGCTCGAAAAAAAAGTTGACAAAAGAGCGATAACAAATACAGGGACAAGAATATGACAAAGTATAATATGACCATGAATTTGCAATATTTTGAGTGGAGCGTAGGACTATAGGATATTTCAAAATAAAATTAAGACTCCCAGCGAATTCTTCCACCTTTAAGTAATGAGAATTTGTAATCAATTGGTCCATTAGTTATGGTGAAAAGCAATTTTTTCACACAACACCACCACCTAGCAAGACGGTCCAATACGTTCGAAAATCAGTATCAGGCTAAATTATAATACGACATTACTAACCTTAAGCAGACAAGTTCCATAAGGATGGAAAAACCTAAAATAACGACTTTAATGGGTGTTGACAGTTGTGGTTGGTTCCGAAATACATAGACGGAAAGATAAGGAGCTGCACCACATAGCACCAGAGTTGGGATGATGATTACAATTCTTCTCCAGCTCTGTGACCAGGACAGCATTCTTACAGGTTCTTCATGAATCGCATATCTATGAACAGAACATAGAAAGGTGCATAATGTATATGTAAAACATGTCTATCATCCCAATCATATGCTGGTTATTGCTAGCATTTGTTGCTTGAAAACGATATTCTGGACTTGCAAAAATTTGTGACCAACATGTATATCCTTGTAATCATTGCATTTGTTTTAATTTAGGGCTATTTTGAGGATAGCCACACTCCAGTAAATACACTTTGTAGTTTTCTCAAATCACGAATATTGTCATATATTTTTGTACAGTGACTTAGCCTACCAAATAGATTTTTGATTTCAATGATTACCTGTACTTGCAAATATTGCATGATGGACTTTCTCCATTCGTTGTATTTTCCATCAACCATCTTTGCAAACAACTATGATGAACCTTGGCCATTCCACCTTATATTTACAATAAATAAAATGATAAGTTCATGTAATTGTTTTTTTCATACAACAATACAAATGATGAAACCGTGATTTATCCACATTGGGGCACAAAGTATTCCCCAAACCAATAAGTCCTATTATTTATACAAACTCAAGGATTAAATTAAATATTACATCAATGAAATAGCCTAATATATACGATAGATCAAATTTCATCGTCTTGTAAGGTGTTAAATGACCGGTGATAAAATGATTCAGAATTTCCAGTTAACTGAGGTAGGAACTGATAACAATGGTTGGTTATATTGTAAATCCCCCTTTTTACTGAACAATGCAGAGCCATCAAAACAAATTTCCCAAATATTTCTTGTTCCATCACTGAGAGAAATATCGTAATGGGTGCAACTTTACCTTTGCAGAGACATGGACTGATGAATGTTTCAGAATTGTCATGATCATAGCATATCCAACACTCTAAATAAAAAAATATATGCTAAGAAATGTCGTAACAAATTATTTTACTAATGCTGTCTAATTTTGATACATATACCACTCAAGTGATACTATGTTTCGAAATAATTCAATATCAATGCTATCCAGATCATTGATGTGTTTCATGTGTTCAAATGTGACAAATATTACGGTAGTTATACTAACCTGATTCTTCATCATCGGTATCTGATTTTTCATCAGGAATGTTGAAAGTACTATATCCAGGCCTTCTTCTTGCATGAGAATTGAGAAGCCTCTCTACAACTAAAATGAAAAAACAAAGAAATGATATTCATAAATATTTGTCTATTTAGAAAATGCATAAGCTTATATTTAGAAGTGGATAGCTATGAAAGAAGCTAAAGATCACTAAATTTCCAGATTTATAGCTGTTGTAAATAGTGGAATATCATTATTCATTATTCAATCATAAAGTATGGTTTTTAAGGAGAATAGGAACCAAATAGGAAAAAGAAACCAATTGTCATGTTTAGAGATATAAATCCAGAAATAGTAAAACTTCCGACCCCATAGGACACTAATCTGAAGTTTTGACCAAAACATGCTATAGTTCAGAACATGGGTGTGAAACCTTTAATGCAGGAGGGCCAGATACATATAATTGGGTGAAACGGCAGCCACCCCTTTATTAAACATAGGCTTTCTAGTAGTTGCAGGCACGAAAATTTTGGTTATAAATCTAATGACATGCGTTGTTCGCTTCACACAAGCTCAGGAATAACCTTTGCAACGCAAAGGAATCGGAATTATTCGCACATATTAGGTCAAACTAAATAAAAAACTCATTTATTAACGGGCTGCACACCATTCAACAAAATATGCACTTCTCCGCGAGCCACACAATTTTCCTCGCGGGTCGCATTTGGCCCACAGGCCGTAGGTTGCACACCCCTGGTTTAGTACACAAGCAATTATTAGATTTATTCAGATTGTGGGTAATCGTTAATTAAGAAGAATTTTACCTCGATTTTCTCCAAAGCTTAACAATCTTCTTGGATTCAAAAACCACAATTGTTCAGGCCGTGATGAATTCCATAATACACATGGAAACCACAGTACAACAAGAACCTCAGCCATTCTAAATGATAAAATAATATAGTCTGCCATTTGCAACAGTTCAATGCTATTATACAAAGCATCAACATGCAAACTTGTAAGGGAGTGGTATGAGCATCCACACTGACAAATATAAGTAAATCGGCATCGCATGTTAAAAATTTAGGGATGATATCCCCATGCCCACAACTTGGACCAGGGTGTAAAAAAATTGGGTTAGCAATGCTGAACGTGACTTCCAATATATAATTAATTGCTTCTTACCTAGCAGTAGGCGCTTGTGTAAAGCATTTTTCAGTATGAAAGATGGGTACCCCCGCAGTATGTGTACCAGGTAAGGGTTAGGGTATAATGTTATTCCGATATTCCCTATTTAAGTTGTATTATGAGTTCAGGGACTGTTTGGGTTAGCCAAGTGAATATTCCCCTGCCAATAGGCTTCCGTCCCTTTACACAACTTGATGTAAAGTAGGCGAACAAATTCAGTTACCTCCATATTGATACACATACCGAAGCACTGAAAGACGTATAAATTATTGTATATAAACACCAGATATGTTTGCACCCATAAACATTACTCTGTAGAATATTACAACCATGATCATATGCCCAAAGCAAAACTAACAGAAGTACAGAACACATTCATACTAACAGGTCTATGTTTCTTCAATATCTTACACCTATTAAAGTTATTATAAATCTTCATAAGAAGCTTGGGGAAATACTAATGTTCTGATACAACATGAGAAAAGTTGAGTAAGGCTCAGAATATTTATTGATTTTTTAGAATTACCGTAGTTTAACAAACTCATTGATACAAGTGGGTATATTTATTGACCGAGCGTAAATAGAATGGTTTGAGAGTATTGATTTCACAGCGCTCCAGTAGCGTGTGTACCAATATAGAGGTAACTAATTTTGTTCGCCTTCTTTACATCAAGTTGTGTAAAGGAACGGAAGCCTATGGGCAGGGGGTATATTCACTTGTCTAACACAGACAGTCCCTGAACTCGTAATAGAACTAAAATAAGGAAATTCAGAATAAAATTATGGCCTAACTCTAACCTCGTACACACACTACGGGAGTACCAATTTCAACACCATAGTATAAAAAAACAATTTCCCGTTTATAATGTTATTGTCTCATACGTACTGCTAAAGTAGTAAATAATACGAAATGCCTCTGCTTGGTATTGCCTTTTTGTTTGCTAACGAAGTGCTGCTTAGCTTAAGACTGACCCTAAAATCTATAATGTTAAATATATTAGAAGATAAGTCTGATCAAATTGCTTTAAAAAAAATTGCCCAATATAGATCTTTGTAGACCAGGGGTTGGCAACCTGCGGCCCATTTCACTGAAATTCAGTGACAAAATGGCGGCTGGGAATTTTAACCATATTTTATTGTATAATCTACGCTCGAGGAGCAGATTATTGAACACGGAGTGGACCTCTGGATCGTTTTGTTATTATGTTGTTGTTGTTCATGTTCTTCATTAATCATTCTTCTTCCTGTCGTTTTGAAAAAGTATCTTCTTGAAGGAAATCTCAAACCATTAATTTGGAGACTGATCCAAGTGTATAATTGTTATTTCCCCGCCAAATCCCGTTATTCTCCCTCCAAGTATTAAAAATCTACAAACCTGTGCAAAACGGTATGAATGCTTCTCGTTTTGATATCAACTTTATCTCTCCACATTGTTTCAACAGCTTTCGACACAATGCATACGACCATCAGTAAAAGAAAGAGGGCCTGTAATGAATAAGGAAACTCTCTTGAAACAAGAGCATACACACACTATTTTTCTTCAATGTAAAATGAGTCACCGGAATAGTGTGCAAAATTTTATACCAGTATTACTATATCTTGACTCACGAATAATACATTAAAACCAAGTTCTTGCATTGGTAAGGCCTTAGCTGAGCGTCGAGTTTGCTGAAAAGATCAGTGGACAGATATGATGGAATGAAGTGTTTCCATATGTGTTATAAAGTGTTCCAACGAATTATACAGGGGTGTGTAACCTTTAATACAGGAGGGCCGGTGCTCCCGAAGTATGCGAACCAAGATTGCGGACATCGGAACGTAACATGGGTAACAGGTTAGGGTTAGGCAATAATTTTTTTTCAATTTTCCTTATTTTAGTCCTATTATCAGTTCGAAGACTAGCCAAGCGCCTCCCGTATTATTTATACCTAAAATTATGGCCTAACCCTAACCTAGTACACATATTACATTCCGATGTCCGCCATCTTGGTTCGCATACTCCGGGAGCCCCGGAGGGCCAGATACAAATAACAGGGTAAAACCGCCGGGTGCCGGCCGCACCTTTATTTCACATAGGCTTTGCAACGCACAGGAATTGGAATTGATTGGAAAAAATATAAATTCTTTTATCTTTATCTGAAAATTTGTAATCTGTCAGCCCATTAGTTGCTTTTTTCTCTAACAACAATAACAATTTAGCAAAATAATCCACATGTACACTTAATGGTAAATGGAGTATAGTTTATTAACTCTATCATATCACGTATGCTCAAATATCTCAGTGACATATGTAGCAGTTAAAGCACCAAAATCTAAACAGTGACATCACAATCAAGCAAGTATTATGAAACCTAAAAATGTATTGTCAAAAAAAGGAAAACTCGAGCTTTTAACCTAAAAAATATTATTTTGGATAAATTTAACTCCAACATAATATGACAGTCACCTGAAAAACGATTGCTAATCTTGATTTAACAACTTCTCTCCAATTAATATTCTGTGTGGTTTGCGAACTTGACGTTGACGTAGTTGGTTGATCTTCTTGTCTGTTGAATGCACCTCTTACCTGAATAAGAATGTCAAATGAATTTAGTTTAGTCAAAACTTCATTAAACTCGGAATCATTGAAAAAACTATTTAAAATAGAGTGTGTTATTAAAGTTTCTGAATTTTAAAGGAATCATGACATTTATCCAATTTGAAACTATGAATTTTTAAGCTTTATTTGTTCTATCGGCTAAATCATATCCCACAAGTAAAATGAATAGCAATAAATGTTAGGGTGGACTAAGCAAGTATAGTAATCGATTAGCATATCAGCATATGACATATTCTTTGTGTCATATATTATTTAGTATAGTTACTAGATTAATTGATCTTATCTAATGTATCTTTATCAATGCAGCATGCCAGCCTGTGAGTCTGTGGTCGAAATTCTGCATGTTTTCTTTCAAGTCAGATCCGGTGTCGGAAACACCACAAAGTCTAATTTTGAATTCCTGTGGGACGTGATCGAGAGAAGGAATTTCAGACTTTCAATAGCAATAATTCTAATTCAAAATTTTCCATAAAAACTCATAAAAATTAAGATTGCAGAGCGTTCTTAACAGTATATCAAAGAAGGCTTGCATAACGAAAGTTTTTATCATCAAAACTTGATTTCATTGATAGTTCAGAGATGAAGTCAAGATTTTTTCAACTGAATCACAGTCATTTTTTTTTTCAACTCCAAAGCTCTGAACCATACATACTCAGTGTTTTAGGATGTCAAAAATGTATTGATGGACAAGGAATTTGCAGTTATACACAAACACCTTGGCTAAACTTGACTACTCATAATCAACAAAAAAACAAACTTACCTTGAAAAAGATTTCCACTCCAACAGTCATAAAAATAATAAATACGATGAACAGTATAATTGCAAAAAATGACTGGAAGGCACCATTAGTCCAATGATCTGAAATGATATTTAAAATTTTAGTATCAGATATAATAAAATAACACATAGATGAGGATAGAAATATAAAATAGAAATGCATTTCAAGACCCTTATTTGCATCACATTTCGAATCTTTTAGAATATATTATGCACCAATTACTGTTATATCTCGGAATCCAGTCAAATTCATTTTATTTTCAACCAGTAAAAAAATTAATTGTACACAAATTACGATAAAATGATAATTCCATAGTTTTACTGGGGGAGAGAATCAAAGTGGATTTACTGTAGTATGACAAAATAAGATAATATGAAAAAGGTTTGCAGGGTTGGCTTATGTGTGAATTTTTATAAATCCATAGTTTTAGGGGGTCAGCTTATATGTGCGGATATATGGTAATTGTTACCGGTATTGAAAATAAAAGTTTGGCAATTTTACAGATATCTTGAAAAGTTGAATTTGAAAACGAATTAGACATTTATCATGTACATATCACAAAATATCGAATTTAATTTAAATGAGACTATTCTGTAAAATCAACAGTGTCCAGGGGCAAGAATTTTTGTACAAAAACAAAGTCATGCTTAGTTCAAATAACGATTCAGATGAAAAGATTTATTTTATTGCTGCAAACATGTTGACGCTGAAAGAGCTGCTTTATTTCAGAATTCGTTGGTATAGGGAATTAAATAAATATTTTGTCCAACTATTGTATATTCAAACATTATAAGTGTTTTGAGGCACAGACTTGCTGTGTTTGTAGTCACGTAGGGTGAAGGCAATTTATTATATTGATGATCACATGACATTTATAAATTTATACTTATAAGAGTTGAATGCATTAATAATTTACAGATACCGTAATATATTGTTGGTCTACATTAATATTATGGAGTAAATTTAGTAAACAAGTACTTGTAAACACAAAAAATATAAAATTTGAACTGAGAACTAGAATTTTTGCAGATTCTTTATAGCTTGAATGCCCGGTATTTCTGAACAGTAAAAATCACCAAAAAACGATATATAACACAATTTCCTACTCATGATAACGGTCAAATTCAAATATCCAATATTTGTTCAATACCAGACAGCAGACATAATGACAATTGTATGGAGACATGATGAATATAATATACATGACTGAAAGAGGTCAAATAACATTGATCCGACCTTCACAACCCTACTGGTAAAAACTTTATTAAATAAGTACAGCTAATCAAATAATACAGATTCATGACTTGTAATCTATATCAATTCTAGATAATATAAATGGATTTACATCGTTGTAATATAATGATACTATGATTATAACACCCTTGCATTTGCACGACCAGTGTAAAAGCATAAAAGAACGAGTAAGCATAGGATGAGTAGTGGGCTCTACAGAAACCCAATCAATCAATAGTGCAAAACAAATAATGGTATACTGAGATCATTTTAAATGAATTATTGTGTCATTAAAAAAATGGTAAACTTTACAGAAATTTCTGAAATTATAAAAAAAAAATTCTTTGAATAGAATTTTGAAGTTCGTATCAGACCAATAAACTTGTTCAACATCTCTAATTTGAACATGGGATTCATTAAAAAAAATTTTGTTTTCATGGAACTTTCGAAAAAAAAACTTGATTACAGTATGATATATTTATTTCTGCAAATTGCATCAGTTCAATTTTACAAACTTTTTGATTTATGTCATGTTTTCCTTCCACTCACCCACCTATGACGAGAAATAAAGTAATTCAAGCACTGATACAGCATTGTTTTGGCTCTGTTAATTTAGTTTTCACCACCGGTTCTCAACCTGTGGGCCATGGCCTACTTCTGGGCCAAAGACACATTTTCAGGTGGTTCACAAACATTTTAAAAATTGCTTGAGTTATTGATAAATTAGTTAAACTTTGATTGTAGTAGCAATGAATGATGATTCTGTTTCTGCTACTAAGTGAAAGTTCTCATTTCAATTATTGAAGTGGAAGTGTCTTTCCCTCAAAAAAAATTTAGTTTTTTCTGTTGTTTTCCCCTTGCATGACTAAGTTAATGGGCCACAGAATTTTTCGTCTCAACAAAAGTGGGCCACGAAAGAAAAAAAGGTTGAGAACCGCTACCCGATATTCAAAATGTTTTTTCGAGTAATTTTAGAATAGTTCAGTATCCAGATACGATCACTCCCAGTAACTTCACAAAAAACAAGCCTTAGCCCTCAATATATAATACAAAACTCACCAACTGAGATGATTCCTTGAGCCCCAGTTACAACAACTATAAATTGTGCAATCACAGTGAGATAAAGAATCAAATTAAAAGCAGAGAAAGCAAGCCATGATTTGGAGAGAAAACGAGCTCTTCTTGCAGCAGACATACTCACATCCTCCAAAAAGAAAGCCTGTAAATTTAATTAGAAATTTAGATCAGGAAAGAATAATGACGCTCCAGAAGTGTGTGTATCAATATGAAGGTGACTAATTTCATTCGCCTACTTCACATCAAGATGTGTAAATGGACTGAAACCTATGGGCAGGGGGGATATTCACTAGGCTAACACAGACTGTCCACGAACTCATAATAGAACTAAATAAGGAAAATCGGAATAAAGTTATGGCCTAACCCTAATCTGGTACAGTGGTACACATGCTACGGAAGTACCAAAATATTAAAGCAACTAGTGTAGTGTGATGAACAAACTGTGTGAGAAGCTAGTCAAGAGGAAGTGAAATCTAACCACATATTATAAACGATAATCGAAATAAGGCAAAAAAACCTTTGATTCACTATTATTTCAAAGCGGGATTTTGATTTAATATAACAACTTTATTCATATATTGTTGCAGTAAAACCAAAGTAACTTACGTCACCTTTTTTTAGAAATGGAATTTTTTGATTTCTGACACTATCAACCATGGGCCATCTTTTGGTCTGGGTTTCTAACTTGTACCTATTTTAGTTATGATTCTGGTAGTGCCTTATGCCTGTTTTTAGATTTAGCTAGTAGAAGCTTATTACATAAATTCCAACTATTACTATTACAAAAATGCGTTTTTATCAAAATCTCAAATGTGACATGAGCTTTGGTTTTTCTGCAGCAATATGCATATTACCCAATTCAACACAATAATATTCAGCCCATGAATGAGTAAGCTTTTTCTTTTCATAAAAAATAATTCAAACTGTTTAAGTGCACAAAGAAAACACAGTGTTAACCTGGGTGCAATAAATAATCTCGAAGACATTACAAAATAAGATAAACAGTTTGATTCACATAGCTAATCTATACCATGTCTGGAGAATATAATAACATCTGATATTGTAATAAATAACTTCATAAACTAATGAACATGAGAGGCATAACATTTAATGTGTTAAGCAATGACATCAATGCCAATAAGTGTTAACGAATATATAGCACGACTCGAATCTGTACTCCCGTAGTGTGTGTACCAGGTTAGGGTTAGACCATAATTTTAATAAGGTTTTTTCTTATTTTAGTTCATCAGGCTACGAGTTCGATGACTGACTGTGTTAGCCAAGTGAATATACCCCCTGCCTATTGTCCTCCGTCCCTTTGCACAACTTTATGTAAAGTAGGCAAACAAAATTAGTTACCTCCATATTGGTACACACACTTCTGGAGCGCCCTTGAATTTATATAGAAACTCTAGTCTCTTATTCAATTGGCCTGCATACATTTTATTAATATTATAATGGTATTCATTTCAATAGGTATATACATTTTTAAAGCTTTGGTCAATTTTCCAACATTTGACAGGCAGGACATAATATTTTAGGCCTATACTTGTTTTGCATAATATAACATACATAAGCATCTCTCTAACTCTCATTTTGGTGCAAGTGGGCTATGAAAATTTATATCCAAAAAGTTAAATAAAAGTCCCGGAACTAATATTAAATATCATAGATAGATTTCCATACATACTACAGTAGACTCTTGAAAATGAGCGAATTTTCGAAAATGAGTTTAAACCAACAAGAATGAATCTATTTTAAAGGCAATGAATTAGACATGGTACTACGATAAGTAGAAAGTAAAAAAGTTATTATAACATTTCAAGTCGCCATCAATACCGTACATACCGGTAAGTTATTGAAATCAATAGTCATACACAATAAGACAATATGTTTAGTTCAAACAATATTCATAATAGATTATATTTGAAAAGATTGTTTTGATTAGGAATTCAAATATCATTTCCGGTGCTTTGGGATATTTTAAGATTATTACATAGTGAATCCAAATACTGAAAAAAATGTCCGCAAATATCTTCAATTACTTTGACTATATGAAACAAGAGCCGCACATGCCAAATAATACACATACTGGTAATTATATTTCAAGAACCATGTTAATAATCAATTTTTAGCTCACAGGATGACGCTTTTCACGTTCAACTTTCATTTGCTATGACATAACTTGAGCAAATTAATATTTGAGAAAAATTCACAATATCAGTAGGCTTGCACGTAATTGACAAAAATCAATTCCGTAATTACGGCCAAATCGATTACGTAATGACCCCGTAATTGCGATATTTTTTTCACACATTTAAACCTATCATAACAACCAATTTAATCCACTTCTATTCCGAATGGGACATCGAAGTTTGGTTTTCATATTCCCGGCAGTACTACACGCCGGCGACAGATGTTAAAGACAAATATCAAGTAGTGAATTCAAAATAATTTTATTCTGATTTTTATCTTTTGTATTAGCTTTGATTTTTTTTATCCACTTTATCACCAAATTTTATGCGATCAATTTTATTATTACCAACACTGGTAATATATTTAAGAAACGATAGTTCACTTTTTTAAAATCGTATTAACGTATTAATACGACTTTCGTATTAAATAAAAATTCAGGGTTGCTAATTTATTAATCAACTACAAGCGTATTCTCTCGTTTGATTATACATTCGCTTGCCTCGCGACGAAGACTTGTTATTTCACCGTTTTTTACAATATCCGACTTTACTACTTAGTTACCATTTTATAATAATTATTGATGCCAACTTATTGACGATATTCCGAATTCTATGCTTCATTTTACATTAAATCATTTCGCGGCCTAAAAGTTATAACATTATTTGCGATAGATTTAGATCAAATATTAATTATTTGCGCATTATTTAAAATACCGTACTTATATGACATGCCTTCTCCGAAAATACAAAGTTATATCGCAAAACAATGCATTTTGTGACATTTATTTTGCACATTATTGAAAATATTAATTTATTTTTTTAACTCAAGTCGACAATCCTATTTGCCAAGATTGACACAAGTTTGGTCGAGTGCTGGTGGTATTCGAGTCGACAATAAATCGGCAATAAGTTGCCGCATTTGGTAAAGACAGGTAATCATGTTTGGTCGACATATTGCGAGGCATTGTGAAAAACATATTGAGCAATGCCAAATCGGTAACAGAACATCAAGATTTTGTAATAGAAAATGGATCTCGCGCAGAATAAACACGGAAAATCCCGTCGTATTGTTGTTTCTCTGCCGTCTCAATCGCTTTACCGATGCCGAAAATACTAAGTTGCGTTGGTTCATTACGCAATTTCTCTTCCGTCTTTATATTGATGTTTGATAAGCGCTTCATTAATTATCACGGCATTTACAAATACACCATGTTTTATAAGTTGATCTCTTACATTCTTTAGTCATTTCACCCGAAAAAGTTGAAACCAGGTGTGTTGACGTCCATCGGTCTCAACACAAGTCTATTCCTTAATATGTACATTGGCCATCCTAGATACGTTGATAATAGATTAGTAAATGACGCGTTATGCCTTCCCCATCTGCCTAACAAGAGAGAGAAAAACGGCTGCGAATACCGGAACTCTAACTTCTTTCACTTAAACTTTAATTTTTTACAATCGACGGAATTGACTGCTCTGAAGAGAGCTCGTTTCAATCGCGAAAGCGCTCGACCAATAATTACGACTTTACGTAATTCGTAACTTCGCTTCCGTAACTCGAAATAATTCCGTAATTCCGTAAATCCTTAAATTACGTGCAAGCCTAAATATCAGTATCTCACTAATATGATATAGACGTCACCACTTACCTCACTCCAATAACAGACAACGAGAGACATTCCAGTTATTAAAAGAGGTTGATATGCTAATTCCATGGTATTCAACCATTTGTCAGGAATAACTCCCTGTAAATAGAATACGAACATCAATTCCGAATACCAAACCTGCAATACTTGGGATCAAGTCTTGATAATCAATATAATATATCATATTATGTGAAATTGACCAAATATAAATACATGGAAATAGGGAATTTATAAAAATTCACATATAAGCCTCCACTACAAATCGTAACACACTGTACGAGTTGTAGCTGTTGGAATTAAGTGAAATTAAGCATAATGTCATTCAATTTGTCATGATATTACATAATTTTCAAATTGACGTCAAAACTACAGAAATAGCGCATATTCTCATAATAATCAAATGAAAGATTTCAACTATCAACCTTATTTTTATTAAATTATTATTCGTTACGTTTCCAATTTTTATAATGTTTAAATAAAACAATTTTAACAGTTTTTAGATTAAAAAAAGAATTTGAAATAAATCCATTTTGATCCAATTCAAAATCAGCTGATATTATTTACATGAAAAAGTTTGGAAGTAAAGCAAAAACATTTACAAAAATGAAATTGGAATTTTTCACTTTGAGGGAATAATATAAGATTTCTAGTTTAATAAAAATGACAGTTTGATTGTCCTTCAATGCTAGGGTGATGAAATCTCATTTAAAGCATAAGTACAGGTTGGTGATAGGATTTAGGATTATACAAAGCAATGTATGATACAATTACTTATTGATCAATATTGTCATGACAATGGTTTAAGATGGTAGGCTACTATTCATATTCAATCACTCTATTATACAAGCAGGAAAACTGAATATATAAAAAATATTGCCAAATTGGATTGTATATAACTATGAAAATCTTGATAAATAGATCACATTATATTAAAATCAAACTACCAACATGACACCAATCACCTAAGGCCAGAAAACTACTAAAAATAAACACTACTTATGTTAAGTCGTGAGCAAGAATGCCCAAACAATTGATTCAAACCTAGTTGAACTCCCTTAGTTGAAAGTAATTTAAAAATGAAAATAGTTTGGAAATTGACTAAGAAGGAACCCAATTCTTCTTTAATTAATATAAGCTATAAAATCGAAACCAGAGAAACTATAAATACTATTATACTGGATTCTAAGAGAGAACAATACTATGATATTGAACCACTGAAATCAACAGTACAGATATTAAATAAAAACAAAATACTGATTCCTTACCATCAATGAAAAATAAAGCACCCTTGTTAAAGCAGCACTTAATGCTAAAAAATAAAGTAACTTTTGAGTTGTGATGCGACATGCCGACCATAATGATGGATGCTTCAGCTTTTTATATTCAGCTTGTATACAGAGAATCTAAATAGAGGGAAAAAAACTGTATGATTTTCTATTCGTAATGCTGACTTTCCTTATTTTAGTGTCTTTCGCTTTATTAGAACAAAATATTGATCAAATTACAAATGTCTTTGTAATTATTGCTAAATATATATAAGAGAATGTGAAATTGACTTACTATGGAAAATTTCTGCCTAACCTCCATTATAAGGCTTTTGTAATTTATTTTTTAATGCCTACTCTTTGGATATGTTTCACAATTTTTAGGATGAAACTTTCTGGATGCCATCAGGTTGGTAAATTTTCCTACCAAAAGAATACTCACCAATTGAATGAAGCTAACTAGAACAAGCAGGCTGTAAAGACTGCTGAATGCAGCTACAAAACCAACATTTGTTTGCGAACACTGATCACCTAAAAGAAATTATGGCGAAAGTTTAATAGACTACCTAATGAATCATATTTAACCCAAGTAGTTGACCTAATTTGCAAAGCTGTTTGGTAACAATTTGAGGCTAGCCTTTTTCATTCTATGCAATAGGCTACAGACCTTGCATTTCTTTTAACAAAATAAACAATAGCCTATTTAACCACTGTGGGTGAGTAGAATTGACTGGAAAGCTAAAACATAAACGTGGATATAATGAAAAAATGATTTGAAAACTTGGATGATTTGATTAAACGAAATTAATTTTAAAATTACTGGTAAATTTTTATTAAAATCACCCCAAAATAAAGAAATATTATTTGAAACGATGATCTATGCTGGTGTTTAAAATGATTCCAAATGAAAAATGTGGCGCAATAACACATCCCAAAAAATCTAAAAACATATAATTATGATGCTCTAAGTACAACCAGATTAGTAATGATATGTCATCATTTAGTCACCAACAAATGTTCATACTTTGTATTGTTCTTATTACATAATTGGTATAAAGCGAATGACTACAGCATGCATAATGGTATACGATACTGCAAATCGTATAAAGTACTCACCAGCAAACTGAACAGAACAAACACATACTCCTTCCAAACAACTACCCCGACTAGAACAATTGAAACTTGTATCACAGGCCATACGGTGAAAGAACATTTTAGTAAGAAATCTAATATCCTGCCGATATTACAAAAAATATATAACAAGATATTATCACAAATATACATTAACACCAAGGCATTGTGTTGGACCATAAAAATCCTATAATACAATCAGTAATATAGCGTTAATAGTAGTTCAACACACACATAAACACAGATTAATATAATAGACAGCAGCTTGTCACCAGTTATTCATGACTCAAAAAAATTTTTCTTTTCAATTTACAATGATCATGATTCATGATCCATGAATCACGTTGAGATAATGAAGATTGCTGAATTGTACCTCATAGAAATTGCACAAAAAAATAGAATTTATGGAATATTAAACTACAGACAACCATATATAAAAATACCGTATTTCACGAAAAATAAGTCGCTTTTCTAGACCCAAATTTTTGGCCTGATTTTGGGGGGATCGTCTTATTAGGCTAGTATGATACTTTTCATTTTTTTTGGTGACGCCTTATTATGTATTAGGTAATGTTCTTTTATGGTGGACGCAATCGCGAGTTGAACACAATTAGATTAAAATTTAAAGACAGTTTGAATTCCCGTAGTTATTATGGATTGAATATCACACAAGAAAACATCATTATAGGCTATTTTAACCAATGCGCAAACGCGGCAACCGCTCAAAAGGCATTGCATGGTAATTTGAGATTCCGATGTTGATGCGATTTTACTACCCCGACTTATTGGCAGGTTATATGCGAAAACCCATTTTTTCAGGCTTAAAAAACGGGCCTCGTCCTATTTGCCAGGTAGACTTATTCGGCGTGAAATAGGGAAATACGGTATATAATAAAAGAAAATTTCAGTTATTTATAGGATTATTTATGCCTGTCTGCCTGTAACAATAAAGCTTATAACGGTAATTATATGTCAGTGTACAATTTGGAAAGGCATCAAAAAATATAGGTTGGTTTCAAACATGGCCAACACATCAAACTCCTAAAATGAAGTGTCTGAGTTTGGGATATTTTGATTGATATTGAAATCAGAGTATTTTTAACCCTTCTTTTCTGATAGACCTGAGCAACATGCGCCGAAGTTTTGATTTCTTTGGAGTCGGAATTACAGTTTTTAATGATGATATTCGAAGTCAGAATTTCAGCTAGAATAAACTCAAAACACAGTTGACTATACATGTTCAACAATCAATTGCAGCAGGCTTATTTATGCCACCTTTTGTGATCAAAATTTGGTTTTCTCAGAGTTTCTGAAGAATTAGTCGCAATGTTAACGTTAACTTAAATTAACCAGCTCAATATAACAGATTACTATTATTCTAAATACAGTGATATCTCGGTAGTCCAACCATTAGACACACAAACAATTCGGTAGCCGACAACTAAACCAAGCATCCCAACCATTCAACAAGCATCAGTTTAGGTCAGAAAATTAGCGGAATAACACATCTTGAAAAATTTTTGTGATTTAGTGCTTCCTTGCCTTTTTTGCAGTTGATCATGGCTACAAAGAAAAGTAGTGTTAAGGCAAGGAGAAAAGGTGAGAACAACTATCGAGTTGAAATATAAAACTTCTGTGAAATAGGATATTAATAGAGTTAGAGTTTCTTATCTTGCCTTACAGTATTGCATGACAAAGTCTATCATTTCCAAGTGTTCGAAAAAAAGGAAATGATAAAGAAAGCTTATTCATTCATAAGATAGAAGGTGTTATCAATGTGAATGAAAAATTAGACTGATCGCAGGATGTCACAGGAGATTCAAGAAAATTGAAAATTCAAATACATAAATTATATGAAAATAATAGCATCTCATGCACACATTGAACTTGACTACATCCCGATGTCGATGACTATTCGCATACTTCTAAGACGACGTAATGTTGCGACACCGTTCCGCCGTTTCAGATTTGACGCCAGACATTAAAGCGCCGACGAGTTAGTGTAGATTTATTTAAAAATAGCAACAAAATTCCGAACAAAATACCGAACAATATTAACTACTGTTAGACTGTACGGTAACAGAAGCCGACATTTTATGTGATACGTTTAAAGATATTCATTAAAATTACTACTGTAGTCTACTACAGTCAGACAGTGCTATGGCTGTTTTCCTGAGTCAATTGGTCATGTGGTTACCGTAGCAGGAACCTTGTTTTCTTGTTCCGTACCTTTACGGTACCGGTACCGGTACCCAGTTACCGTACGATGTACTATACCGGTACCGGTACCTACCGTACCAAAACTCAGAAACTGCCAAGCGCTGAGGTGAACGTGGGTTACGGTACGGTACCAACTCGCCGAAATTTTGAAATTATTCTTTTTTAGGTATAACGAAAGAAGAACAGAAATGAAAAATGTTCCTTATCAAAATCAATCAGATACAATCAATCCAACGTGAACTTTCTGGCGCATTCATTCCATAGTGACTATAGTCACTTTAATTCCTAACTGTACTGTTGTTGTAATCCCAGCCTGCTGACATGAGCGGGTTGTTTACACTCACGATGGCTTACTTTGCCATTGCGTCACAAAGTCGACAAAATGATTAAAACCGTTCAGATTTTAGAGGTGGCTGAAATTTCTTCTGGCGGAACAGAGCCACTGGGCGGAATGTAAGATGGACCGTAATATTGAAAACTAAAATGAAGTAAGTACATAAATTTCAATGGAAGGTTGTTGAAGTCAATAAAAGGCTAAAAGCCCGTAGGAATATTTGACCGGAATTTCTTCCTTCCGGATGTGCGGTCACTGAAAGGCTGAAATCAGAAAAAAGGGGCATAAAATCTAAAATCAAGAAATGACAAGTTTATTTCGACGACGTGGATATTTTTTATTTTCCCGTATTTTAAGGTGCCTGTTATTTTTTATGTCTGAAACCAAGGGTTACAATGTATTTTCTTCCCTCGTTTCTAGTGAACGCATGACTTTCGCAAAATTTGAACGCGAAAAAAAGGAAGATAAAATTGCTAGAAGGGTTAGCCTAAAGCAGTGGTTCACAACCCGGCGGTCGCAATCTACAGGTCGGAAATAAATATATCAGTGGTGGAAAAATATAAATTTGTATATAAGCAGAAAAATTATAAACCAGAAACATTGGATACCTATTTTAAGGCTTTGCTTTGACAAGTCCTAGAATCGATCTGAAATCTACCACTTCGCGGCCGAACACACCATTAAATCCCATCTGCTTACGGCACCCAATTTCAATTTAGCGTTGAATTTGAACACTTCGTTTCAATATTATGTTGTTGTTCTTGTTAGTAGTATTCTTCTCTTTCGTCATGATGAAATCGCTTTTCTCTTCGAATACTGGACCAATTGCTTCGAAATTTTCAGTGGTTAAAGAATGATTTTTTTGCCAGAAGGCTATTACTTTACTTATTTCAAAAATTTTTGTGGACTTCAAGAGATTCGTTGTTTGTGTCAGAATAAAAAATAGCGACATATTGTGACGTGCCATATATTTGAGAACAGCTCTTTTTTTTTATTATTGTGCCGTGATGGACCTTTCCCCGAGCATCGACTTCCTTGTTTACTTCGTGACATTGGCTAATCAGCAAGATGCGAAAAGTGACGTAACAATGCCCCCTTTTCGCATCCGCTCAGACACTTTTCTCACTCAGACAGATTTTCAAGCGTGATTGTAAACATTACCTCGTTTTCGTTTTTTTGAACTCTATTCGTTAGTTTTCAGTTGTGTTTTGGGAACTTAAATAAAAATCAGATAATTCAATGATCACTCTGTCTTTCTAGGAGTTTTAATTCAATTGCAGTAATAAAAATAGGTGTAGAAATAGCTGTGATAGACTAGCCTGATATTCTTTACCGGTACTTTTAAAAAACAGATTGTTGTATGCGATGAATCATAATGATGGTTTGAAACACATACCCCATTTTACAGACGCCAACTCGCAAAAGCACTCTTAAAATAGCCTTGACAATTTTGCAATGGTAAAGTATAGGAAGAATTTTCCGAGGGTCAAAGGTCGGGGAAAGGTCCATAGAATGGTTACACCTGCCGCAATTGTGAGATCGAATGTGTGATTTTGAGACCAATTTTGATCTCCGATATTTTCTAATCCAAGGGTAATTCGACCACTAAGTCAACCCCAACTAATAGGTCGGAAATATCAGTTCATTGAAATATAAAAGTAAATAGTAGTGATAGTCCACTCACAAGACAGTTATAGAAATTTTACATTTTGAGATAACGGGATAATAAAACAATCCCATTTGAATTGGTTCAAGATAACGGTTCGTATTATTCCGTAGACAAAGCATTTAAGCTTGAGATAATTTATTTTGTAGTACCTTTCAATTAAAATTTAGCACATATCGTGAAAGGGATCGAGGTATGTTAGAAAATATCCAAAGAGGGTCGCGACGCAAAAACGGCTGAGAACCACTGGCTCTGGCGGCTTGGCTCTTTTCCGATGTGACATCAAAGACGATAAAAAGTCAATATGAAATGGTGAGCAATTGTAATTTTCATCAATATATATATATATATACAGTAGTGGGATTCAAAATTTTTTGTCAGCCGGTTCCATCACAAAAGTCATAGTTTTTCAGCCGGTTCTGTTACAAACAGAACATTGACAGTAACCACCACTGTATATATATATAGGAAAATAAAAATACTTACTATAAGTATCAATTCTAAAAAACAGGCGGAATTCTATTCGATGTTGCATGATGTCAGGAATCTCTAGAAAAAATTTGCGGCTGAATTTTATTAGATAAGACATCAATATTCCCAAAAAATAGCATATATATATATATATAACTGATATCAACGTTTCCCGAAGGGGGAGGATTTTTTTTTTATTATCAAAGAATTCTTTTCAACTACCGAAACAGTTGCTTTGAAATTTTCAGTGGTTAAGCTTACATATTGAAATATCTGGGTACAAGCCCCTAAACTTCAAGCCGAGTCGCGGGCTATCCGGTTCAAGTCCCGGTCTTAACAAATTTCAAATTCCAGTCACACATTCCCGAGTGTCAAGTCGAGTCACTGCTATATCGAGACACAAGTAGAGACCGAGTCATTGTCGGTTTCACAAGCAATGGTGAAGTAGATACTGAAACTTCCATTTGCACGTTTTTCCGCACTCAAAATAGATTTAGTTATTTTAATCGCCATTCCACTGTTGGTGCTACGAGCGTTAGTAACACGTTTGCAAACACTCATTCAGGATCAAATAAATTGCACAAAACATGCCGAGGCTGCAAAGTCAGTCTTCATCAGTCATGTATGTCTGTTTTCAAAGAAATGAAATAAAGGTGAAAACTCTCCCTGTATTGGACAACGAATCTTTCAATCTCATTTATGCGTTTCCGTGTCTATGGCTATATTGGCAAAGTCGTTGTGCCTGAGGCAATACTTGTAATTATTTCTTTTGCGTAAATTCTCACTATATATATATGTTCTCTTTACATGTGGTACGTAGAGATTGGTGGAATATATTGGAGATTTAGTTGATAACATCAAAGTAGGTAGTTCAGAGCATAAATATTAACGACTGACCAGTGTATAGCTATGGACATGTATTGTCAGCTTATTTAGAAGTACTTGATCATGATTATAAAGAGCTACTTAATAGCCGAATTGAACACAGCTGATAAGTGAAGTTTTCTTACTCACTACAATATTTTGTCGTAACAGTTTACCAATACTAATAGCAGCGAAATGCTGGGATTGTACCGGCTGAGATGTTTTTGTGTGGTGTTTTTCATGATTTGCAATTCGGTAAATCTGGAGGCAATAAATGAAGCATCATCTTCAACTCATTCCCGTTCTCTGAAATTATTTAAACGTGAAATTATGAGAAGAATCACTACTTGTCCAGAGGATTGTACCTGTGAAGTTTACGAAAATGGTAAGTAAATGCCAATTTTCCTGCATTTCATTACGATTTTAAATTCACATCCTTGATGAATAGATTTATCATGGCCGTTCGTAATTCCTCTATCGTTGTAATCTTTCCTCCATGGAGCGCAAGTTGAATTTCTTGCTTCAAAAACAATTTGAAACGATATTTCCTCTGCACACCTGAGGTAGCGTCTACAAACATTTTAATTAAAAATATACATATTGATAAAGGCATATGTTTTGTGAGCAATACATTTTAATTGTTAACTTTATTTGGCCATACATTCCATTGTATTGTTCACCAGACTAGTTTTACGACTTACGACACGTTATTTTGCCCGAGGATATATTTCGCTTTTAAACCTGTCATTTGATATAAATTAAATATATGCCGTAGTTACGTATTCGACCATGTTCTGTTCTGTTTTTTAAATTTATTTGAATATGTATTTTTTGGCGATAATTATTACTTCAATTTGTAAAAAGTACAGTATTCAAAAGAATCTCGCCATACTGATTTAAAATATCGAGAGAAGAAATGTAACTTCATAACACGATATACAAAAACACGCCTTTCTATATTTTCTCTGTTTTGCTAATTTTAAAATGTTTTGTTAAATTAAAGTTTCTTTGAAGCAACCCAAATATGCCTCATTTTCATGAGTGCCATAGCCGACAAAGAGTCTTTCTGATCCAAAACATTGCACACCCTGTATTTTCAGCATAAGTGTCATTGGTTATAATTTTAGAAATTCTTTGGCGCTTTTGAATCATCTGAATTAAAATCACGGTTTCTTCTGTGTGATCAAAACATCACGTCAAGTTAGTTTTATTGACACGCGAGATTTTCCCGATTCCAATACGCCTCATACGTGCGATAATGTGCCAACGGATACACCTAAGACAGGACTCAGCAATCTTTCGTCACCCGCGGGCCAGAATTTAAGGTTGCAAGTCATTGGCGGGCGCACATATTTTCAGAAAGTTGAAAACCGAACAGGTGGCTGATGAATCACATTTTTTCACACAGATCAGAAGTTGAATTTTAAGCAGCGCGCGAAGATTGACCATTTGAATATTTTCTGCGCCGCTAAACCATTTGCACTTAGCATCATCATTTTCTCATTTTGTTGCCATTTGTTCAATTATAATTACATTATAGGCTCATTAAACGAGTAATTGTGGATTATATACTTGTTAGGTTATAATATAATTTAGTCTAGACTTGTCTCTCAATAAATTCGGTTACGTAAAGAATATAATCGTCAAAACAGCTGCTTTGTTCCTATAATTCAGCGAAGCGTCGCGGGCCTGATTCTATTGCTCCGTGGGCCGTAGGTTGCCGACCCCTGATTCAAGATTTAACAAGAGGCGCAACAATTTTAACAACAAACCTTACAGACTTTAAATTTTTGAAGTCTCCATATTAATATCTTTAATGCATTTGAAATGATTTATTCAGATCACAAAATTGTCGATTGCATCAACACCGAAATGGTTGATATTCCCCAGGATATACCTGGAGATGTCGTTGTTCTAAATATGAGCAGAAATATGGTGATGACTATAAAATCGGGTTTGCTTGACAACTTGCGTGACCTCGAAATTGTTGATTTTTCTCACAACAAAATTAAGGTAAAGTGATAGAATATGAATATTTAACAACTCGAGGAAACTGTTATTAGCTTTAACCCCACCAAGCCCCAAAACGAGAATACTGAGAAAGGACTTTAAAATTCATACCAAATTCCCCCCCTTTTTTATTGGATTAATTGGATAAGCATACTTAATTTGTAAACTGCCGAGTATCCACTTATTCTGAGATGAGTCATAAATTCCAATGATTGTCCTGGATTTTAAAGTAAGGCCTAGGAATATCATCTAATTCAAACATATCATGAAAAACTAGGTTTCGTCTATGTTACTTCAAGTGATCTGGATACCAATTTTCTCCCAACTCCCAGTCAGTCGAATAGTCGATCCACAATGGGGTGTATTTGCGATACTCTCATATAATTTTATAAAGATTTACACCAGACTTTTCCAATGTGTTGATAAGGATAATGTATGCATCTGGAGACAAAACAAAATATATTCTGTTATCAATATCCAGATAGAATTTGTAATCTTGATGCTTTTGTAACTTCATGAGTATTATGAAAATAGCTTTTGAATCTAATGCAAAATGGTCATTAAATATCGCTTCATTTATGTCAACTATCAGGAAATACAAAGAACTGCATTGGAAGATTTAAATGGAATGCGAGTCTTAGATTTATCATACAATAAAATAAAGAACATATCTCTCAATGATCTGAGGCAAAGTGCACTCAACTTGGAAGTTTTAAATATTTCGTCCACAGAAATACGTGAAGTTCCTGAGCTGTATGATCCGTCAGGTGGGGAAATATGCCGGTTAAAAGATTATATAAAATACAAATTATGTACATAATAGTAAAAACGGTAAAAGAATATGTATTTTAGGCTAGTTGATATCCTTTTAATTCAATGGTCAAGGTTCAAGGTAATGGGTTATATCGTTACGGGTACGAATTAATTAAAAGTATTCACTTTTTTAATTTAGAAATTTACATGACAAAGTTAACTCATCTGTCGATGGGTCAAAACTTTTTTACAACCATACCTCCGTCCCACATACCAACTTCAGTAAAATATCTTGATATTTCGTGTCTGAACATGAAGATGTTGAAGAATACAGGATTGTCAGGTCTGAACCAATTAGAAGAGCTTATAATACGTGGTTGTCCAAGAGCTAAAGTAAGTGAATTCTATTATATATTTTTGTTATCACTCATAATTTTTAACTCCCAATCTTTTAATCATTTAATTTGGGTTTTAACACCAATTCAATAATAATATTGAGTTGGATATCCTCAGTTCTGTATCTTATATTAAGGGATAATTGAATTAGATGGCACTATGCTTGATAGTGAAGGCATATGTATATGGTATACCTATTTTATATTTCCAACGGAAGAAGTGGAAATCGATAAAACTGTTTATACAACGGTTAAGGGCGATACACAACCTCTTTTCCGGTTAGGAAACCGTAACCGAAGGTGATAGGTGCGTTAACGTCAACCATTATTTGACGGTAGTTATCCAGTCATCTTATTGCGCACAATCACAATCCGCGTAATCGCAGAGTATTGCAAGGGCAATGGTAATATTGTGACTGTATGCAATAATAGACTATTTTGTATCGTCATTAATGCTTCATACCAAAATGAAATTATTTTTTATTTCAGGGGCGAATAAAATCAGTTGAACACAAAGCATTCGCAACATCAATTCGCCTGAAACACCTTGATTTGAGTTCGAACGACTTGACAAGCGTACCTACTGGTCTTCCACCAAGTTTGGAAGTCTTGAATCTTGCAAACAACAAGTGTGTTTTTTATGCAGATAACAATGATCAATATATTTTTTTATGTTCCCAATCACGCAACAATTTCTGTGATATATATCATGATAACATTGTAAAGATTCTTAGCGATGGCTCGTGTCTTGAGTTTATATTTTAGCAAATTTAAAGGAATGGGTCAGGAAGTTAAAAATCATTTTAGAGTTTGAAACTTCTGTATGGCGAGTGCTATTTCGTTGTCATCTCATCAACTATTTTTTTTTTCTAAATGTATATTCGGATGTACGTATTATCTAATTTGTCCATGTCCACATTATCTAATATATTCTAAAATTTAGAATAACAACAATCAAGAAAACAGAATGCGCGAAGGAATCTGATATGCGGGGGAGGTTATACGTCACTGCCAACAACGAATACGACGAATTCGGAGACGGTACTGTTGATATAAAAAATAGAGTCATCATTGATTTCATCATTCTATTTTCAAGTCTGTAAAAATCACGTTTATTTTATTCTCTTTTTTTTCATAATCTCAGGTCGACTGACCCGTCCTGTTGGAACTGCTTTGTCAGGACTGGATAAACTGCGCGTGTTGACTTTAAGTGGAAACCCTATTGCTAGTTTGTGCATGGATGAATTTGTAAATATGGAAAATCTACAAGTGAGTCCCCAACCCATTATAAGATTTGATATGACATTGATTCCAGCTATTTTAACGACATTTCTTTCGAACTTCGCCATACATTTTGTCGCCTCGGATCAGTCTACTCCACTATTTCTAGTACACCGTGTTGAATATATGGTACTCCCGTAGTATGTGAACCAAGATGGCGGACACCGGAACGTAATATGTGTACCAGGTTGGGATTAGACCATAACTTCAGGTACAAATACTACGGGAGTCACTTGGCTAGTACTCTAACTCGTATTAGAACTAAAATAAGCAAAATTGGAATAAAATGATGGCCTAACCCTAACCTGGTACACATACTACGTTCCGGTGTCCGCCATCTTGGTTCGCATACTATAGGAGTAACGAATATATAATTATTGATACTGCTTTTGTTTAACTGTGTCGCCACAATTGTAATCGGAACGAGTTCGTTTATATGATTTTATCACAGGTTTTGAACATGTCTGGTTGCAGTTTGTCTTCGTTTCATCCTCACACTTTCGTATATCCTCGTGTATTGCAAGTTTTAGATCTCAGTGACAATAACATGATGCACTTTGTAACCGAAGAATTATCCATGCTTGAAGGTAAGGATTTGATATACCATAATGCAGCAGGCGCGTCGTGATTTGGTTTTTCAGTCTATTTATATATGTTTAAATTTTGAAGATTTATTTATTTAGTTTGAAATCTTTGGCGTTCGCTCCTTGAATAATATTTGTTTAGCCACTGTGTCAAGTGCGGACTTAACAGTCATAGCATTAATTTGTTTTATATATTTCACGGCCTTCTGTCTCCCCGAACCTTGATGCTATAAAAATTCATCATATGCTATACAGGTATGCTATACATTGCAGGATTGTCCATTTTGAAAGTAGTTGAGACGGAGAGTAGTTTTCGCGAGTTGGCTCTTGCAAACTGGTTTACATGTTTTTTAACCATCCTGTTGATTCTGTATTTAAACATTTGCCATTCGGAAGTATTGATGTCTAATTTAAGTCTAGTCTAACGCACATTTTTCGACTACAACTAACTTTTTGATAACGGCAAGTAACTAGAACTCACCGGTGAACAAAAAGACTATTAAAGGGTTCGGTTTATGAATATCACAATTTCGAATAAATAACGAAAAACTGACCAATAGCCAGCGAAAACCATACATACGAGCTAATATCTCAGTTTCGGAAAAATAGCGAAAAACTGACGAGATAGCATAATCATGGTGTCTGAGCGGCTAAACATTCTATTGTTACATCACGTTTGAAACTTTCCTCAATTTTATGAAAATATGCAAGGAACTCGATGCCCGGGGAAACATTTATTTTAAACTGTTATTCTTATACTTGTAACAGAGTTGTATCTTCAATACAATGTTCTCGAGAATGTCGGAAAAATAAGTCGTCGTAAGTTGCCATCTCTAGATAAAGCAGATTTCTCTGGAAATCCGTGGAGATGTAACTGTGATATCAAACCTCTTTTACAACTTCTTGGATATCATTCGAACGAAGTCGATTTCATCAACCTGCATGCTTACTCAGGTAAATCATCAGTCTTCGTTATCACATATACAAGAAGGCATAATGGTGAAGGTTGTCCCTAACCAAGTTGACGTCTTCCACAGGTTGAGGATCATAGATGCGCTTCATTAAATGATCTTATGTGTAATAAATTGGGCCCCAAATCTTTTTATCTAATAAGAACTGCTTAGTCAGCGTTGTGAGTTGTTTTGAGCCTAAATGGAATTTCTTCGTAACAATTCACTAAAAATCAGAATCTTTAACTTGGCTCCAGGAAATGTCAATATGAAAAAGCACATTTCAACCATACTTTTGTTTTCAGTTTACTACGCATGCACTTTCCCGCTCAAACTCAAAGGAAAACCTCTGATGACATTGGATTTGGATGAAGTTGTTTGCGGCGAAGACGGTTCAATAAACATCTGGGCAATTGCTGCTCCGGCAAGTCTTGGTCTTATAATCATATTAATAGTGATCGTTATCGTAGTGGCATTCAGAAGAGATGCAAAGAAACGAGCAAAATTAAGAGCCGAGAGAGGGATTGTTGATGATGAAAGCGACAAAGAATCTTGCTCATGTTGTTGTAAATGCTGCTGCCGAAAAAAAGAAGGAAATTATACGAGGCACGTAACAAAAGACTCCAGAAGAAATTTTGATTATGCGAGTGATACACTTGTCCGGGTGAGTCCAGAAATTATGCATTTGTTTTTCGTGGTTCTCACACGTTGGTGTTGTTGATATAAATATGCTATGACACAAATATTATCAGTGTTTTTGTGCCATGAACTAATGAAGATTATGTGCAAATAACTCAGTATTTTCACACCTTCGTTACTAAAGAGGCTCTACTAAGACTTTTAAAATTTGGTCAACCAAATCCGTAGTCCGAATTTTATACACACATCAAAATGATTTGTATTTTCTATGTAATTAAAGGAGCTTTAAAATTGATCCCATATCTTCCAATTTTTGTTTGTTCTTTAAAGAAAAACGCTCTCCTCAATGATGCTGCGATACTGTGTAATACCAAAGATCAAAAATGGATAATAAACAAAATGATACCAGAGGTTCATCGTTATCGAGAAGAAGGTTTTAGTCAATCAAGCAAGAAAAAACTTAACGTACCACCTAGAAAACTTAACATGAACGTTTTTACCATTGGACAGAGCATCAAGGTAGGAGGAGCTTGGCATGCCATGTAATAACAAATTATTAGATATGAGGTCCGTTTCTCAAATGACATTTCATGACAATTGATAAGAAAAAGTTTACCATACAAGCGCTGCTGTAGTTGAATAATATTGCCTACCAGTAATTTCCCATCATGTTGTTTCTGTGGGTTGTGTTGATTTTGATGTATATACTATAACATCATGATTCGAACCCTACTTAACTCGCGGAGTTACTTACATTGAAACTTGATTTGCACGAATACCGTACAATCGTTGATTGCTGCAGTCAAACCGGCAATATTTCTTGGTTTGTTGTGTAATTTGTATGTGTTAGTTGCCGAAATGGCTATTAAAAGGGCTATGAAAGGATGCTTCACATCTGGCCCACAATGTTATAAAACACTGCTCTTGATTGATAGCACGCAAAAATAATTTTTTCATTTAATACAGATTGAACGTTTGTCAAAATGTATAGATTCAAACAGAAAAATTGTTCTCGTCATCACACACAATTTTGTTGAAGAAGAACCTTGCATACTAGTTCTGAATGTAAGCATATTTACTTATTGTCTTGTGAATGAGGTTTGATATCCTTGTAAAACACGGATACAGTTTTGTAAACATTTGTCCTGTTGATTTAGAAGGTTAAATGAGTACATTTTTCATATTGTTTTTCTACGTGTTTACTAAATTTTGACTGTAAAATTACTTGCATAATCAGAATAAAATCAAGACTACTTTTAGTTTTAGTGCAATGTTGAATATCTGCAAATATTTTTAGTGTAGGCACAGATCCCATACTATTTGGAAATGTTTATTTCGTACCACTAAAAGATTGTAGTACTCATTGCTTAAAGTTATGAGTGCAACAACTTGTGACAAAGTATAAATGTCTGACTTATCTTTTTTAAAATATACATCCCGTATGGTGTATGGGCCTATCAGCAAAAACCCCATCTTGGGTATTTTACAAAGCCTATACAAGTAAACGCGCTCATTTATACCAATATAATGTGTGGATTCAAAACACAGGATTGAAAAATACCAGAACTCAGACCAGAGTCATGACTGCTATAAACATTCTAGCTATTTCGGCAATATATGATTAATAAGACGGTGTTTTAAAAACGCGAGACAAGTTACACAATCGGGGCACGTGGGACAAGTGGTACACGTGGGGTATGACATTTTGAGACATCCTTAATAAAATATCCAATTGTCGTTTTATACTCCTGTTTGAATGAAATTTCCAATTATTATTCAGATCATTCGGGAACGCATGGTTCGAGATCCAAAAGATTCTGTCATTTTATTAATTCTTGATGCCATAGCTTGGTCAACTATGCCTCAGTGCCTACAATTTCTGATGGTGGAAAAAACGTTTGTTCAATTTCCTCAAGACGGTCGCGGGAGACAAGAATATTATTTCTGGGATAGTGTTTGCTCCAATATGTACAGGTACATCACGAATTACGGCTGTGATTTCTTCAAGTCTATTCTATTTTCATTTACAAATGTGACCATTTTGCGGGATTTCATAATAGACCATATTTAATAAATGAATATTGAGTAAATGGGTTTCAGGAAATAGCCAAGTAAAATAATACGTTATTATATATTATTTTGAATTTAATTTTTTTTTATAATGATTGCGTTTCGTCCAATTCCAAGTAACTGTGGATAAATTGATCAACATATGCTGAGGTGATACCTTGTGATAGCTAGTCTGATCTAGAAAAATCTGGTTTCCCTGTCCGCAGTATATCTTTAAGCAAGTCTTGATTGAATTAGATGGTTTTGAGAACAAGTGCGCGGAGGTATTCAAAATTTTTAAATGGGTAACAAGTGCTAATTTTAATAATTTACTACACAGCAATAGTTTGCGAATGCTTCTACCACCCGTAAACGAAGAGACAGATAATTTGGCTTTCGAAGAGGAAGATACTGTTGGTAGATTACCTATAGTCAATCAACCCTTGCCAGGATTTAACGAAGACGAAGCTCCACCAATGAGACCGTCAGGCTGGAATACTGGAGGCCGGCGAATGGAAGGACTCAGCATGAAAAAGTATGACATCAAAGTTCTAATGTCTACATCGGTACTTAACACCTGTCGATTGTTTGATGCGAAATATTAGCTTTTGATTCTATTTCGTAAAAATAACAATACAATGTTCACATCAACAAAGTCAAAAATCTAAATTTCAACAGAATGAATGATGACACTATATTAAGCCCAACTACAGAAACAGCTATGGAGGCTCGAGCGTTGAGTCTTGTGGCATTTTTGTATGGTATCACATATTCATGTTGCCACACGCTTTCTTTGATGCCCATCATTAAGGCTACATATTGATATTATTATATTGATATTTATTACATTTTGATACTTTCATTCAAATTTCATCATTCTATTCGTATTCAGTATGTATATGAGCCCGGAACGACAAGCTAAATTGAGGCGACTCGGATTGCAAAACGATGGACATCTTATGGATCAAATGTATGGAGGGATTGAGGAGGTAAAATAACGCCTTGGATTTTTATTCCAATAGGTTTATTTGTGTACAAATACATTTACAAAACGATTACCTTGATTTAACATCTTGTTTTCTTATAGGCAAGAAACTTAGGTCGTGAGCAAAAGAAAAGTTACGAAGAAGGCCAACAAGTCAGAGATAATTTGGCAACAAATTTTCCACTTCATAATATGGGTAAAAAACCGCTGTTACTACTATAATTTTCTAAAGAGTGGCACATATTCTGTCCAAATTTTATAAACACATAAGAGTTCTCATTGTAAGAAATTGCGAGTCGAAAATAGGGTCGAATTCAGTCATAATTCCTTCTTCTTAAGGTAAATATCATTTCATAGTTAGACTTGATTGTTACTTGTTTAATTTTCGTTGCTTTTATTGATATTTCTTCGATTTTGAAATTATCAACTTTTATTAGCGGTTTTTACACATTAGAGTACACATCTCTAAAGTTTTCGCAGAACATCACTTTTGAGCAATGTTTTCACGTTTCATACTTAATTTTAAGACTTTCTCCGCCAAGCACAGATGGATGATATTGCATCAGTTCACAAAGATATTGATGATCTGTATTCTACACGCGGCTCTAGTGCTTTACCACGGTAATATTATACAGTTAATTATATATAAAAACTTGATTTTTAACTGAATTTTACCGAGAAGCATTGTTTGGCGCAATAGCCGAGTGACATTGGAGCGTTGTACTTGAACTATGTTGGTATCGCAGGTTAATCACATGCGCACTACTTCACCCTGGGTGTCTTAACTCGCTAGGCCATACCGAACCCGGGAAATTCCATCTCTTCCCAACAAACATTATAGCTTCTCACCACGGTTGCATGAAAACCTTGTAAAACAAAATGATTATCGTGTGTAAATTGGGAACAAATCCTTCATAGTTCATTTTATTGGAGAGCGTGATATCTCAAAAGTTATTGTATGTCGAGACATACCCAATTATTGATCCCATTATTACAATGCAAGTTATTTGGCGCATGTTGAATTTTGCATAAACAGATTGTTATCTTGCTCAATTAATATTATATATTCCAGTCCTCCGTCATCTGGAAGAACTCGTACTATATTGCCTCCTAATGCAGGAGACGCAGATAGTATATATTCAGAAGATTTGGAAATCGCTTCTCAGATGATAAGAGCGCCAGAGAGACAACGTTCAGCACCTCGAATAAAACCATCTCATCTATTCCCAGCAGTAGGAGTAGATCCGTCCGGTGCTTCACATCATGGTAACGTACCTGGTGACCAGTTACACGGAACGGATAAGACGTTTCAAGAAGCAACTCTCCCAAATTCAATGAATACTCTAGAAAATGTTAATTTACCAGAACCGATTCCGACAATGGACGAAAGAGAGGAAGATGAGAGAAGTGATGTTGAAGAAGATTCAAAGCGAAAAAAGAAAAAAGAGAAGAAGAAAAATAAAAATAAATCGAAAAAGAAAGGAAAATGAAGACGTATTTAAAATTTTTTTCAATGAACGTTATTTCACTATAGTGCACTTTTATTGATATATATAGAGTGGACCAAAGTAGGGAAGCAGTTTAAAATAACTGTTTTTCTACTTTTAGCCCACACTGTATAATTAGTTACAGCGTTCGTTTTCAATCTTTTTGTTGGAGCAGAACCACATTGAAACATTCCAGAGGATCGAGAAACCTCTGTGCATAAGATTTAATTGTCTTTTATTTTATGAATTGTAATAATCACAAATATATATAAGAGCAAACATAATATTGCAAAAACAGAATGGAATGATCACGCAACCGGCGTGAAATAAGGGGAAAACTTAAATAATTATCAAGTTTGCGTGACAGTAGAATGACCAGCAGGTTTTTAATCCGATAAAGCTTCTGTGTTACTTTATTTCATACGAAGTGTTATTACCTTCCACGTATATCTGCTTCCTCATCTTACACGATCAACAGTTTCTGAATCTGGTGATCAAACTTATTTTGAGTCTTCCGCTACTGAAGACAATCATATGAAATAAAAATTGTAAGAAATTTTTAAGTTGATACGAATATTTTTGAAAAAGTAATATTATACTATTGTATGAAGATAAAATTGTGTTGAGTAGAATAACGATAATGAATGAATAGCGGTGTTTTGAACCTTGGATTCGCTTTATTATATGAAGATAAAATTGTAGCTTTTACGTTATGCATTTTGTAAATATTGTATTGTGCAATTGGACTTCCAAGTCTTCCATGATTTCCAAGATTTTTTTGTGAGAATACAGAAATAATACTTTGTATTCGACATATTTTTAATAATATAGAGTTATTTAGAATTATTGGAAAACGTATTCATGCATACTATTCAAACTTTGTAAACGCCACAGCGGTAATTTTGCGTAGTGCTGGCTATTGATGCTCTGCAATTTGAAATAACAAAAACATAAATAGTGAGGAAGAAATAAAGAGATCCAAAATAAACAGGGAGAAGAATATATCGAAAAAGAGTGGGTACCATTGGTCTACCGCCTTTTATTTCCAAGACTCAGTTTTATGATTACAGCTTTTTAGTGGAAATCTTTAATCATTATCAGCTGTAGTGGATTGCGTCTTCAATATATGTATATTTTAATATTATTGCAGAAGAATGGATCCTAATCTAGTCGTTTCGGTTAGGTCAGTTATATACTTGTTACTTGCTTAGGAATTATATTTCTATCAAGTCTCCTTCACGCTTTGCATACTAATTCAAGCTATTCTTTCTTGAAAACCCTTCTTTCCATTTATTCCTTGCCTTTTCAATTACGTATAGGCTACACCTTATTTAGACTAATAATTGACCCAAGTTGATTCATAACTTTTGTTTTCCGGACTTGATGCGTTAATGGCTAATAAGACTGGCTTACACTCAGCTTAATTAAAAGTGCTATGGGACAATATAAAGTTTCGAAGCAATTGAGTAAAGTTGAAAGTAAGAACAATTTTGGTGAAACAATTTTGACAAAAAACTAATGATCATGGCAATAAAAAAAAAACATAGCTTCGTTGAACTACAATTACGTATTTAATATGAACGTGTTTATATGCCTGATATGCCGTTTATATCGCGATATAAAAGCAAACCTTTGCAATGGAGCTAACGAAAGCACCACACATTCGCATAATAGCGCACGATCTAGTGTTATAACGACCTGTATTATTCATGTATATGCATGTTATGTCGGGTTGGCAATATCTAGAATCGGTGACCGTACATTTGAACCCATGTTTATATCCGCGGGTTCAATCTGTATGCGGGTGCTAAAACTCATGGGTTAGGGTTAGTATGGGTCAAATATCCGTAAAACAAAAAAAAATTCCATAGGTGCAATAGTATGCAGGCGCAATTGTCATTGGTTCAAATGTAATGGAACCTCTAGAATCAAATGTTGACAATTGTTGTAGATGTTGTACAAAAGCATTCATGTAATGGCCATTACATTCTGGTAAACATAATAGTGTTACTAAATCGTAGGCTTGTTCAACAAACTATCGCATCAATATTTTAAAATTTATTCAATCGGCAATAAGCAAAAATCTTGTGTGAATCTTAACAAATTTCATAGCCTTGCAGTGTAATATATAATATGCTATTCATTTAGTTTGAGCACTTCTTGTTTATCAGGCCAGATATTTTAAATTCTACTAAGGATTCACTTTGTAGAAGAAGAACATTTGAATCCAATGGCAGTACTCGGTATAATGTCATTGGTTTATTAGAAAAATACATCTGGCATTGATTATATCATTTGAAGATAACAATGCAGTTGTACCTGGAACGGTGCAATTATCGATTCATTTTTGTGAACTTAAGGCGTTGAGATCGTTTGAAATATCTGTCGATTGGGCTATTTGTGTTTCAATGCTTGGTGTTAAGCGAGAATAAATATTTTGTGCCTCTCGTCAACCATTGATGCTATGTATTTAATCAGGTCACGGAGTTGAATACATTTAAACCTCAATAGAAAAGAATGTATTTTAGTTTATAGCAAACGCTTATTAAATTATTACACTCTTGTTGTATATATGTTCTACAACATGTAATGCGTTATTTTTATGTGTCGGTGATAAATATACATCAAAGCTCGCAAATAGAGGGTCTCTTTCGTGGTAAAAGATAATCTTACATTGAGAATTTGCAAAGTTGTGAACATTGGGTTGCTGATCAATGTTCAGAAGAATTAAATGGATCACTCCAATGAAAACTTGAAACCGGTTTCGAAATTTCTCGAATTCATTTGCACACGCAGGATCTTTTTTTTGTCTTGATATATTTTACCTCCGAAAAATTTACGAGATAAATTATACAATCAACATACCATGTTTCACTTCATTTGTAAAACATAATATATATGAAAGCTTTTTGGGTTGAATGCCTCGCGATTTCACTTGTGGAAAATTTTTAAGAACGAATCGTTCAGATCTATTTCGCAAATCATTCAATAGATGAATCAGATTTTGTCAATCATAGTTGCAGTTTAATTCTGATTCAACTGAATGTTTGTTCATTTTTGAATAATGTTTGAATTCAATTCAAACAACAAACAATTACTTTTATTAAGCATTAAAGCTACCGGGTACGCGCATCATCACAGGCAAATAGTTAACATTTTATAGTCACAAATGACTGAGTGCATTCATTCACAAAAACATGATAAAAAAGGGGTAGTTGCTTTTTTATATTCTATTGTCAGAATTTTATAACAGAGCGGTGCAATGATTTTTATTTGAATTTAGAGTAGTGAGAAATTTGGCATGAATTGCTGCAACAATCTGACCTATCCATTTCAGCAACAATTTTCCTTCCTATTCGAGGTAAACGTATAAAAAATGACTGATTTTATGTCGTCAATTTGCCTTTTTATATGGTTAAATTTTTTTATATATGATTGCTGGTTGTAATTTTGTTAAAACATAATATTCATGCAACCCTATGTTTAGCTTCAATAGTTTCATAAATTAAATATTGGACAGAATAATGGACAGAATAAAATGGCTCTTATCTCAAATTGCATTCGTCAGCTTCTTTATCGTAGCAATCAATGGAAAGTTGGATGTCTCGATGAGTAAAGACGGATATCACGTTGCTGATGTGTATGAATACTTGGAGAATCCTCTCTCAAAAATGACGGATCGTACAGAGTCATCCGATAAACTTGTTGGCTACACGGGGAGTGAATTCTTGAAAAGAGAAGTTCTAAAAGTCGGTTCAAATGTTTACGTAGCTATTGGGTTTGCGCTAGCGAATTCAATCATGATTGAAGGTAAATAATTATTTATCCTCCGCTCATTATTTATCGAATGTTAATTTAAAATCAAGAAATCTGCACACGGGATTGTTTCATGAACTTAAACAAAACGACAGAGATACTTTTAAATGAGATTTATATTCCTAATTAATATTGATGTTCTTGTTCTATATTCAATTCTTCTACGTTTTAGAAATGTTCGTCTACGTTTTCCACTTTGAATGATGATCACAACTTATGATATTGTGTTATTTTAGGTGATGACGGAATAATCATTGTTGATACAACGGAAAGTACGGACAGTATGCAGGAAATTTTAACAGAGTTTCGAAAAATTACTACAAAACCTGTTGAAGCGGTTATTTATACACATTTTCATGGGGGTATAAACTTTATTATTTATTAAAGATACTGCAAAAAATATTAACGATATATATAAATTCGGTTACACGTAGGCTAGTTCAAAACAAGAATACACGCTGGTCATAAAAAGCATATTATGTTGTGAATGAATGTAAAAACTTCATCAGTTCAAGTACAACAAACTTCGAACATGAGAAAGATTTTTGGATAATGTGGGAGAACATATTACTTGCAACACCAGAGTAAGTAAAAATTACTAATATTTCTATTTATACAGCTACAGTTTCTATATAATTTTATAGATCATTATCGAGGCACTCTTGTTATTGTTGAAGAAAGGGACAAATTGTATCCAAATGCAACCATAAATATTTATGCTCATGATACAACAGAATCATTCATTATCCAAAGGAGTAAGTATTTAATTCGAGTACGTAATTTAGTGAGTACAGCATTTAAATACTTTTATGGTGCTAATAAGACACACCTATTTAAATGAAATCAAAAACAGGATCTTTTTGCTATCGAGCCCATCCTTGGCTGATCTTCTTCTTATGTCTGACTGAAAAATTCAAAATGCTCATGTCGCACCTTACTACAGTCTCAAGTCTCATGAGCGAGAGCTTGCCCCGTTGTCGGAACACAGAACAGACGACCAACACATAGCTATTTGCTATGCTAAATATCATGCACAAATTTGGTTTCCTCGGTGTTTTGGTTCTTGTTTGTTTACGTGTTCAGATTTAAATTTTGGAGTCTATATTTAAGTGAGTAATTGATTGTAAGATTGAAAAAAAATGACCAATAAAATCTGGAATACATACATTTTCTGACTATTTTTTTACCATTTAGTTGATCCGATGTTTGAGATTACTCTGAAACGAGCTCTAAGGCAGCTTGGACATCTACTTCCTAAGTTTGAAGGCGCCAGAACCGGATCCGGATTAGGACCAGAGTTCAGATCGGACTCATCTAATGCTCGATACACAGGAAGACCGACGATTACATTTTCTGACCGGGAGAAATTTATAGAAGCGGGTGAATTCTTGAGTTGTATATATGCCGTTCTTTGCAAATAAATTAAAAAGTCTTATAAAAACTAACTTATTTCATAGTTGTTCAGTTAAGACAATGTCTCATACAATAAGTTATACCTTTGCAGATCAAAACAGACTATACTCTGACCAAATATATTTATATATACTTAGGGCTGGGCATTTTCGAATACCTTGTGATTTCAGAATCGAATCGAATAATATTTTTCGAATCGAATCGAATCTCGAATACTTGAAAATATATAATTGTAAGCGATTTTATTATAGTAATTGGTCCTCTCAACAAATGAATTACCTAAGACATAGAATAAATCACCCAGATAGATTACTGAGCGCTCACACAGAATAACAAACACGTTTTATCGATAACTCACTACAGAAAATAGTCATATGTTAGAATTTCGTTGAAAAAATATGACTCCAATGAAAATACAATTGGGGAATTCCCCTCCACCATTAGCGGAAAGACAAAAACAAGATGGCGGCGATTCGAAATTTAGCTCTGAACCGATTCGAATAATTTACTATTCGATTCGATTCAAATATTCGATTCGAAATGCCCAGCCCTATATATACTCGGGGATTGGAAATTTTGAAATGATTCTAGTACTAAACTATATCTTTTGATGGTGGTTTATTTAAGGCATTGAATTTGAGTTGCTTTTCACACCTGGTGAGACAGATGATCAGATCACGGTATGGCTTCCAAATGAAGGAGTTGCAATGCCGGGCGATAACATCTACAAAACGTTTCCAAACCTGTATGCAATCAGGGGCAGTCCAGCACGAGATTGCAAGCAGTGGTATCAAAGTTTGGACAGAACACGAGCCCTAGGAGCGAAATATTTGGTTATGTCTCACACTAGACCGATTGTAGGAAGAAAAGAAGTTTATGATACCTTGTTGGTATATAGAGACGCTATAAAATATGTGAATGACCAGACGATACGGCTCATAAACAAAGGATACCTGCCTGGGGAAATTGTCGAAGAAGTTCAACTACCTGATAAATTGTTTGAACACCCTTTCTTACAGCAACATTACGGAACTGTCGAATGGTCCATTAAAGGAGTTTTCACCAACATGATGGGATGGTTTAGTGGTGACCCCAAGGACTTGCATCCGATGAGCGAGATTGATCGTTCTGTACGACTTGTACGTTTACTAGTAAACGCCCAAACAAACAAAGCCTGTCCTATTGAAGTTATGCTTCAAGAAGCCGAAATATCTCATAAAAACTCACACAGCCATTACATTTCGACAGGAAAGCATTTAGTCACTGAAGACAAATGGGCGTTAGAGCTTGTAGACTCCATTCTTGTTCTAGATGGCCTGGAAGACTCCGTCATTGAAACCGCTCGCCGAATTAAAATTAGTGCTTTAACAGCCCTTGGAGTTGAAGAAGTTAGTGCAAATGGAAGAAATTACTATCTCACATACGCGATGGAAATAGAGAAAAACTTATCGCTTGTGCGGTCGAAAGAATCCAGAGCATTTTCTATAAAAAGATCTCCGATTGACAAAATTTTGGAGTTACAATGCTTAAAAGTGAAAGGTTTAGAATGTCAACACGAAAATTACGTCATCGTATTAGTATTCACTGATATAGAGAAAACTTTTGTAGTGACATTACGCAACAGCGTTTGTGACATCACGGAGCCTGTGTTAGATGAAGTCATCGGAGATGTTTGGTTATCCACTACATCCGATGTATACCGAGATATACAAGCTGAATATACGGAATTGGATGAGGAGATTGCACTCGGAAATGTGAAAGTAACGAAAGGCAGTTTGAATTCATATATCAATTTTGTGAAGTGTTTCGATCCAGTTAATTCTTTATAATTGGTATGAGGAAAATAATATTTCCATGCCGTATATAACTGGAAACAATAATTGGATATTACTTACAGCAAACGGATTTATATTTAAGCTCAATGATTTCATTTAACTAACATGATCAAATCAAAAGAGAAAATCGCTCTATGCCTCAATTTAAATATTGAAGTTACTTTGCAAACGGTGAATTCATCTTGAAATTTAATAAAGTAATAATAATATATTAAGATTGTACATTAATTTCTGAATGGACCTACAAAGGGAGGAACAAAAAAATAAAGCGGGCCCCTACTTCGAGTCAAATTATGAAATATGCCTCTGATTTAGGAATGCTAAAAGTGCGAAGTAATCGAGAATTATTGTAAACCAACCGGCGGTGTTGCTAGCTTGCTGTTAGGAAATTGAAATGTTGACTGCATAATGAAATGTTGACTGCGATTTACAAAGAAACGCGCGGCAGTACTGATGCCCTACACTTGGTTGTAATTGTACTGGACCAATGCACCCGGTTGTAATTTGACAAACAAGTGTATGAACTCGACGAAAGCAGTTAATTGGATGTCTCCGATCTTTACATGTCATAGATGCTAGCCCCAACTACAAGGCAGTTGTAAAACTAAAGAACATCCTAAACTTACTTGCCTAATTAACCCTCACACCACCACTCTGAGTAATGCAAATTGAACCAATGATATGCACGTTTATTGAAAATAACAAAGATAAAAAAACGGGTGAAACTTAAAAGGAACCGAACGAAATAAATCACGTAGTCAGTAGCTAATTTAAACGGAAAGGAAACAATGCTCCTTCAATTTAATTTCAAGTTTACAAGAAAAAAGCTTGTTTTAGACAATCAAAAATTTAAAACGATATCAATAAATAGAGCAAAGACATTCAAAAATCATTTTTTGTGACTTACATCTGTTGATGTATGAGAAATTAATTCTTTGTTTTAATATTAAAAACAAAAAAATTCATGTTTGATTTGTTTGTATACTATATAACTAAGAGTCATTATGTCTTTCAGGGATTATTAGTTGCAATAATCATAAAGATGCGATGGACTGTGCTAAAATTAGCTATCAGTACCTGTAGCCTAAGCGACATGTTGTTAAATGTTTTTAACGAAAATAATGGTTCTGAACATTTATACCAGTTTATAAGCGCCAACTGACCAAAACGCTCTCGAAATAAGCGTCATAATTTTGCAATAGTAAAGTACGGATAGACTTTTTTGTGGATCAAGGGTCGGGGAAACATCCATAGACTCTATATACTATGTTTATTATATTTTCTAAATTGGATTAATTCAGCACGTCATGTTGTTATAACCTAATTCTTATTATCGAAGTTTGTGTAACGTCTTCTTTTCAACTCAGCAAACACAGTGTCACTGATACGATCTGTTACTGGAATGAAATGAGATATTTGCTCAAGGGTGTTAAATGGCATTCTGGTACCAGTATTCATTTCGTTACACTGATGGCATACGTAGAACATAGACAGAGTTAATCTTGATTAGGTCTATTTCCATCTACCATGGTTATTTACTAACGTACTTTCATCACGTTCAGTTCGTTAGTAGAGCAATGTTCTAAAATATAGAAATATAAAAGGAGGGCAGTCGTGAAGGTCGCGCTCGAGGAAATAATGTATGTATGTATGTATGTTTATTTGCCTCAAAAACGTAACAGTATCTGAATAATAATTAAACAGTAAAACAGAGACGGGATGCATGTTTAAGACCTTACTGGCCTAAGACACAGATGTGCGACATGTACCCCTAACAATAATAACAGCAGTTTAGGACTGCTGCGTTATACTAGGACAACAGACATGAAATTGACAATTAAAATAAAACTCCAGTAACTACACAAGACAAAGAGGTACGGCACAACGGCGATATGTACAATAGTCAGTTTATGGCACGTCCATATCCCAGGTTCCGTGTGAAAAGATGGAGATAGGGTATGGGTCGCTGAATTGATATGTTTTTACACTAAGTCTCACGAAACACGTAAAGATTTGTTCTGTTTAAAAACACTATTACGGTGAATTGAAATGAAACAGGAAAGTTTGAAGTTTGATTCTGACAGTCTCATTTCACAGCTCCAGTTTTCGGGTTTGGCGCTGTTGCATATTAGCCAACCCGTAGTAGTATATATTTACGGCCAAACTAACTATTCAAATACCTGGCCCGCCGGTTAACCAGTCGACATAGCCAGAAGATATGCTCATACTTTAGAAACGATTGCCTGGATATCTACTGGCGTTTCAAGTTTTTTATGACAATCTATATTCCTCCGCGCGAGATGAGTTTACAATGACTAAGGCCCAATAAGAAACTGTTGCAAGTGAATACATGAATCTCGGTGATCGGCTACCAACAATTCTATTTTTTGTTATTAGCATAACATTATGTGTGTCAAGTCAATTTAGTAAACCATTAACAAATACGCTGGTTCAAATGCGCTTGCAGACCTAATAACATCGCATCGTGAAGTATCACAGCAGCAACAATTGAGCTACGATTGCAAAAAAATATTACTGGTACGTGTGTTGGTTGGTAAATTTAGTCAGGTGTCCTATCGGGAATATTATTGGACACGAAATGTACATATGGATCGTTTGGCTGTTATGTTGTTGTTGTTCTTGTTACGACTTTAATTATTACTCATTACTTTTGTCTTCAGGAACAACAAAATAGGATGGTAAATCCTTTGTTCTCGGAGAATAGCTTGGTCTTTTTACAACTGACTGATTGAATTTCTCGGTGATAATTGCGATATATTACATTTGTTTTGTATTCAATGTTAAGAGTCGGATTTGCCTTTATCTTAGGTATGTTTCACCACATGTTCCGCACAAAGTATTCTACCTTCTTTGTATTTTGCAAAATTTCATCCAATATTATGCTTTTCGCCAGAGCTCAGTGAATCATATAAGAACAAAATTTGTGAGGATGCTGGTATTGACAGTGACAGGAACTTTAGCAGCCATGTTAGCGCTCATTAGTTACTTCAAGTTGAAGTCTATGAGACTTGTCGACAGAGTAAAATTACGTAAGTGTTTTATTGATAATACAACAGTGCTAACAGCGCTCTCAAAAAGTTAATCATAAATTTCAATAATTGTCCTATACCGTCAAACTTTACATAAGATACTTTACCTTTTTAATGATATCTATTTTGATAATATTACTTTTAGCAAATAGTCAAAGCCCTTCTTCTTTCCTATTTTTATTGATTTCCGGACAGGCCTCATACCTATTGATCGTTTTACAAAATTGCTGTTGATCTGATTGGAGTAAGTCCAGAGTGTCAGTACTTAAATATGGGAAATACTAACTAAATAAATGACTTTTTTTTTTAAATTCTTTGTGTCCTACGGGGCCATATATTTCACCTTAACTTTTCATGGTTTTTATATTTCACGGGCTACTTCCTGTCTTGTATTTAAGAAATGGCGATACATACAAAGCTGAGGATTCCACAATTACTTCAAATAACCGGACTAGATACACGGATGAAGCCTAAACTAACCCAATTCACGGCTTCGAATGGTTTTAAAATTTTACTGCCTGCACCGTTTACTGTTGCAGTTAATGAAGTTTTGAAATTCAAAGTAAGAGAAGACGACGTTTTCATCGTTACTTATCCCAAGGCAGGTGAGGAAGAAAAGTAAGATAAAAGCATCGCGTGATTTAATAACAACAAATCACAAAACTGGACATGCCTAATTATCAAGTAGCAACGGGACCAAATATTCCACCCCAAACTCTGTTTTTTTTTATTGTTAACGGGTATATGACATTCGATACAAATATTTTATAAATTACCAGAAATTTTACTGGCATTGGGATTGTCATTTGACTTCTTGTCAATATATTTGAGCATTTCTTTCTTGTCGAACACGAAGTGGACCTATAGATCCTTTTGTTGGCATTGTTGTTTATTTTGTTGTTGTAATAAAAAATGCTTTTCTCCTCAATTACTCTACCAATTGCTTTCAAATTTACAGTGGTTGAAGATTGTTGTTGTCGCTAGAATGCTTTTACGTTTAGTTAATTCAAATATTTCTGTGGTCTCTATGGGATTTGTTTTTGCTATAGATTCTTTTGTTGTCGTTAGAATTTATTTTTTTTAGTAATGAAAAAATTGTCTTCCTCACTAATTATTCGACCAATTGCTTTCAAATATTTCTGTGGTGTTTACAGGATTCGTTTTTTTGTGCGTGACGACATGATAAAAAATTAAAAATGGCGCACCTTCAGGCGAAGGCGTACTACTTCGTTTTGGTCTTCGTGTCCATATATTTGAACATTGCTTTCTTGTTGTTATAGTATTCGGACGTATTCCACATAAATTCATAAAGTTTATACGTATTGGCATTAGCTATGGGTAATTTTTGTATTTTGCAGGAACGACTTGGACGCAAGAAATTGTGTGGTTGCTATGCAATGATGGAAATATAGAAGAAGCAAATAAACAATTGCTTACATTGAGAAGTCCGTTTCTGGAGATAGTGGATTGTCACCTTCGCAATGGAATTCAATCTTTAGAAAATTGGTCAAAAAGTAGCCAAAGGTATAATTCCTTTATTAGTTGATTCACTCGATTCTAATGATGAATCTAAAACAAACGAATACAATCAAATTGTGGAAATTGTATCACTGTCACTTTCCATGTAAATTTCGACAGTGAATAGTTTTAGTGAAATAAGGATAATTATGATGCTCTCTCTCTGTATCGCATTTATTTCACTACCAAAGGGTAAGATGTGCACTCGATTTATATACAGCCAAACTGAAAATTTGTAACCTTTATTATATTTTTGTTATTTGAAAAAAAAATTCGATGATTTTTTATCACATTATTAGATAGTAAACAACTTCTCACTACTTATCAACGGTTTACCCACGACGTGAAAAGAACACAGCTTAGTTCAATGTACTGTTCAATAACAGAATTAATCATTTTATTTTGCTTCAATTAGTTAAATAATATACAGCAAATAAATATGTCACAAGAACTTTAATTTACAGAGTGATAAAGACTCATCTTCCGTACGAACTGCTACCAGAAGACATTAGGAAGGGGAAGAAATGCAAAATTATTTATGTAGCAAGAAATCCAAAGGACCTATGCGTTTCATACTATCAATTTCATCGCTTGGCCAAAAGAATGCCAGACCCTGGAACGTGGCCAGAATTCTTCACAAATTTCTGCTCACGCAAAGTAGGATTTGGAGATTGGTTTGACCATACGCTGAAATTTTGGGAGGTTAGTTTGTAATTAATTTTTGTGCAAATTATTATCTAATAATACATTTATCTTAGTGGTTTTTAACCTTTTTGACAGAGCGGAAACCCAGAAAAAAGTTTATTTTAAACTAAATACTCACGTTGCTGATTCATGTTTTAGAAATATCAAGAAGACAAGGAAAGAATATATTTCGTAACTTACGAGGATTTGAAGAAAGATCTTAGAAAAGAAGTTGAATCAATATCAAAATTTATTGAAAAAAATTTTTCGGAACAACAACTTGACGCTATTTCTGAACATTGTACATTTGACAGCATGAGCAAAAATAAAAGTATAAATATGTCAAGCCACCCAAATTTCATGGATTTGACAAAGTCAAAATTTATGAGAAAGGGACAAGTTGGTGATTGGAAAAATCATTTCACAATAAATCAAAGCTTGGCTTTTGATGAGTTGTATCAAGAAAAAATCAAAGGAACAAGATTCAATATTTTCTTCGGAAATTGAATTTTAAGTAATGATTATTATTCGTTGTTATTGGACACGTAGTGGACATAACGATCATTTTGCATTTTATGCTGGCTTATAGAATCGCTTTTCTCTCCGAATACTGGACCAATTGCTCTGAAATCTTTAGTGCTTAATGATAACATTTTTCTTTAAACGGCTATTACCGTATTTCCCGGCGAATAAGTCTACCCGGTAAATAAGAGGAGGCCGTTTTTAAGACTGAAAAAAAATTGGTTTTTGCATTTTACCTGCCAATAAGACGGGGTAGTATAATCGCATCAACTCAAGTTATCATGCAAAGATTTTTGTGCGGTCGTCGCGTTTGCGCATTGGTTAATATAGCCTATAATGACTTTTCTTGTGTCATAATATTCAATCCGCAACAACTACGGGAATTTAAACTGTCTTTCAATTTCAATCTAATTATGTTCAACGTAACTCGCGATTGAGTCCACCATTTATGAACTTCACCGATCTAAAATAACACGGCAATCTTCGGACATAATAACGTGGGGTAAACTACCTGATTATATTTAGTTTTTATAAATAAATATACATATAAAGTGTATATATAAAACATACATATCCATCACCTCGACATCTCCACGAAACTAAATGTGGTGCTTCATTTAATTGTGATCAATTTATTCTGTGATTGCTACAATATAAATACTATCACTGCTGCAAATTACCAGCGCAATCCGTGGACATAAACATGTACGATTATATGTTGTTTTGGTTCGGATTTTCACAAATTGCAATCCCACGTGTATCGGTATTTGCCCTTCACTCGTGACGAACACACTAATGCGGCAACTTTAAATATGATAATCACAGCATTGAAATTCCAGATTCTATTTGAACTAACCTGATGAGGACGTGGAGGATGCTATCGCCGAAAGTATTTTATGGTCCGAATTGAATAATAAGGAACCCCAAAAAATATAAATTATCATACTCGCCTAATAAGACGACCCCCCCCCCAAAAAAAAAAAAAAAACAGGCCAAAATTTGGGTCTAGAAAAGCGACTTATTCGCCGGGAAATACGGTAGGCTACTTTCATTTACTTTAAACGTGTCCATATATTTGAGCATAGCTCTCTTGTTATTTGTAAATAAATATAAAAGTTAAAATATTTACACATCATTGTAGGCATGTCTTGTAACCCGTGAAGATAGAAGAGGCTACATCCAAGGCGTGAGCCGCATGCACTATTAGAAAGGCAATTGCTAGATAATGGTATAATCTAAGAATGTCAAAATCATTATCATGTCTTATTGTACCCGTAATAAAGGAGAGTGGTTCTCTGATAATTTGCTGAGATTACAGATTTTTGAACGATATAACAGTTAAGCAGAATACACTCCTACCTAGTATTGATGATGTTTTGAATTGTTGTTCAGAGTTCACACATCTGGATGTCTTCGAATTTCCATAGCAGAAAAAGATGAATACAGGACCAGTTTTCTTACATCTACTTCGTAGTAGTCTACTTATTTAATGTACTAATGGTTTAACGTCTGCTCCTGCTGTTTTTGTTAACTAATGAGATCGATTATAGCTATTGGAGTCGTTTTGAGTTAAAAACAAAATGGTGAATTAGGCATTATTCTGTATGGGAGTTTGGCTCTTGATAAGGCCCAGAGAAATTATTCCACAACCGAGCAAATACTGTATGGCATATGCTATTGTATGCTATATCCAACATTTTCGAACTCACTTGCTTTGACAGACATTTATCATACGAACAGAGACCATGCTTCATAAGAATAGTTAAAATCTTTAGGTTCACGTAGATTGCTTTGTAGGCGGCGAAATATTCTTGCAGAATATAATTGTGATGTAATTGTTAGTCTAGGCATGGCAATGCTGATGCCTTGTCTAGAATTCCCCCAAACTGATTTTTTTCACGTTGAATTTTTATTTTATTTTTTTCAGGTTGAATAACTAACTTATGCCAGGGTGGTCCAAGGTTGTCGGCTCCGCGGGCCACAAAATTATTTTTGCATTGCTCGCGGGCCACAATAGTGCCAAGAATAGGTAAACAGTGCAATACAAAACAAACAATTTCGTTGTGCAATCACATAGTTATCAGGCATAGCCATTCTAGGCTAATAGAATCCGCATTCGATTTTTAGTTTTCTATGATGCCTATATTGTTAGCATATATTCCCGACCAAAAAGTTAGTAAGCCAGATAACAATTTAGACTGCCAAGCACATCATTCAACTTCGCTAGTTTCCCCAGCTAGCCATAACACTATGACATTAGTGATGACAATATATCAAAAGATTTCTCTGATTGATTTTATGACGAAACAACACGAAATGCGATTTTTTGATTACTCTCCGAATGTGACGCGGGCCACAGATAATGAAGCGGCGGGCCACATGTGGCCCGCGGGCCTGGGTTTGGACCACCCTGACTTATGCGGTTATATCACACCCATATTTGATGTAAAAGAAATTGACCACGTAAATTTCGGCGATGGGCATGCACCACCATAGATGACATATATATTTATTTATATTAGTTTTATACAGCTCGCCTATATTTTCCAATTTCATTCAGTTCTTTCATTCGTTTCACATGGATTATTTATTTGATCAATTTGATTTATTAACAAATTTTTCTAATTTCAAATGTTTAAAATTTCATCGAGGTTGATAGAAAAGGCGAGTAGTAATTATATTCAGATTTTTTTCTTTCATATTTAGAACTCATCACCGAGCAGGCAGCCTGTCGCAATATTTTTTCTTTTCTTGTATAGGTGTTAATTTTTTGTATTTTCATTTGATTTGCTCGGCGGGTCAGCTCAGTTAGAGTCTGTGTGCCGGAGGCAAGGGTTACTGGCGAATGTGCCATATTTCTAAGAATAAAGTCATGTATTGTAACTATAGATATATATAAAAGCAAAGCTAATGATCCACACAGTGGCAAACTTAATAGGTATTTAATTTGATTTGAAAACTATATGCCTATATATTTAAGAATAGACTTCAGATTTTACTGGAAACTTGCGGAACACATGAGTTAAATAGTATAGATTCCTAATTCAGTTGGAAATGGAATATTCTTAGCGCGCATTGCTTCTCGAAGACTTCAACGTACATGCTATAAGTCCGTGTATTCATAAATAATTTTGAAACCAGAAATTCTGAATAAAATAAATAAACTTTAAAACAATGGATCTTTCCCATATTATTGACACTTACGATTTACGATGTACATTTTGTGCTAATTTATCAACTGATATATCAGGTTTTCAAACCTAAATCATTCCTGTACAAATTTGGCAAGGTCTCCAGCATCTTTACATTCGGAGAGAACAAGGGGAACCGAATTCCACCCATTTTTCATCGATGCCATTCTGTTAATAGCAATCAGTAGGGTTTCTACGTTTGGATTTTGATCAGGAGTCAATAACCAGACAGCTCTCTCCTCCTCGTGTTTCCCCACATCTCAATAAAATAAGATAGTTTTCGTAGTCGGTGAAGACAGCGTGATCTTCATATTCAGCCATTTTATTGTAATATTTAGACATATTTTCAGCATTCTTTGTGGCATCTTTCATGTCCTTTTTCAATTCTGCTTCCCAGTTGTGGAAAATTCGATAGTGCCCGTCGTTATTCCATTGAAAGTAGCTTGGTATTATTCCGTAGGTTCCATTTTCTAAATGATAATCGACGGACAGCACGATACCCCCACCGTCTGTTGTTCTTAATTCATTCATTCCGTAACATCCAGGAAGAATGGTGCTTGCGGATTTAACTGTTTCATACCAATGACCATTCAAACGATTCCAGTCAATGTCGGGGTCAGATTTTATCAGGTTACAGTCGTTGTGGCTCACTGGCACAGAATTTATGCTCGGTGCGAAAAATAACATCAACGCGACTATATATTTCGAGTTGAACATTGCTGTCTCTCTCCTTAGCTCAAAAATCAGGATACCACATCAATACGAACGAGAAGAACACATACAGTGCGATTGCGGGCGCGCAAACGCAACACTTTAACTTCTGTTTGTTTATTTATTGATTTAAATCATATTGATTTAGATCTAAATCAACCCTTATATTACGCTGTAACTGCAGTTGACAATTTCTGCCCCGACGCTTAATGGCTAGTGCCTTGAAACCATTTTTCATTTTCAACGTATACATCTGACACCGAAGTGGTTGGATATGTTTTATGACTGATTCGTAATTATTTAGGTGAAAAATTCCACTCTAAATTTTAATAATATTCTAACCCGAAAAAAATGACTTTTGTGGTTTCGCTTTGAAATTTCTTTAGCAAGCACGAAATCGGTAAGTATACCAAATAAATGTCTCATTGTGTAAACTTGACGCTGCAATAAATGCATTCTGCAGCACCGCACACATCGATTCCGTGATTGTTTAGAATCTAGACATTTAAACATATAAATAAATAAAAAACAATACCTTTCTGTTAGTTGCGGGTGTACGGGAGAATGGCTTCGTGTTTGCATCCTTGTCGTAGTTATTTGACTTTCGTGTCCATAGCGCTTTTGTTTTATATATAACCATTCAAACAAATCATCGCGTTAGTAATATCAAAAAGGACCAGTTTATTAATAATTATTAACGATGATAAAAATACTGATTCGATAGTTAGATCCATTTTTCAATTGTGATTTATACATGTTGGTAGAATGCAATTTTCGAGGGTTTGTCTCAGTTGAGAGCTTGATAAAACTTGCATCAAAAATTACGCCTGTGCTTGATTGTAAACATATAAAATCAAAGGATCAATCAGATCTTAACGACATCTATGCGATAGCATTATTTTACGTGACGAAAACCGGATGAGCTAAATTCGAATTGAAAAACGTCATACATCATGGTAATGTTATAAACTTTAGGCCCTCTCGAATTTTTAATAAATATAAATGATCTGTCGAACTCTTCAAATCTTCTAGGCAAACAGTTCGCTGTGTAGATTCTTGCTCACTCAATAATGCGAAAGATTAGATTGCTCTCCAAACCAACATTAACAATGAAATAAATAAAATATACGATTCGATGATTTGCAACAACTCACAATTAACGGTGTTATGGGAAGTTTACTCCCAACGTAGATTTTTCAAGGAAGGGAACTATACCCCGCTGATCGACACCATTTTATAGTTCTCTGTGTGATTAGCAACTATATATATATATATATATCGTTAAGATTCACCTTACTTCCCAAACATCCACAACAGCAATCAGCTCATATATGCAAGTATCCTATTAATATTTACTTGCATCTTTACCGAGTTTCACCCAGATTTCATCGATGCCAACCGTTTGCAATAAGCAATATGCTTGCTACACTCAGATTCTGATCAGGAGCTGAGAACCAGACAGCTTTTTTGTTATGTGGCCCGGATCTTAAGAAGGAGGTTTTCCGTAGTAGGTGAAGACAGTAGGATCTCCATAGGTTGCCATTTTACTTTAATATTTAGTCATATTTTCAGCATTAGTTGTGGAATTTTCCACATCTTTTCTCAATTTGCAATCTCAGTTATTGAAATTTAATATTGACTTTCTCTATTCCATTAAAAGTAGTTTAGTATTACTCCATACATTTTATTTTTTAAATGATAATCGTTGGACAACGCGATACCCGAGTATTTTGTTGATTTCACCTCATTCCATACCATCCAGGATAGGGTTACCATATCTGAAAAGACAAAATCCCTGACAAAATTTAAATATGACACGTTGACCAATTTTGCAACCAAAACACTTATATTATGGTATAAATTCTTCATAAATCCAAAGGCACAAGCTGCCGTCGCTTTCTCGTTAGAATAGAATAAATACATAACAAGACGAAAGGAGCAAAATTGTTGCGTTTTGCTAAATCAAATGCAGGTTGTTTCTGTGAAAAATACTAGTTATGAAAATAGCACAGAGTATCTGTAATACAACCAAAATACCGATTACAAAATGCTGACAATTCAGATTATAGGTGACATCACAATTATCCGAACGCGAGGCAATCTGTGTTGCACAACAATGACTTCATATAATGACATTAAACATGTTATTGCTTCATGTGACACATCTCTGAAAAAATCAATTTTGTGGATGCGTAATATCTGAAAACTCTAAGATTTGTAGCGGGGATACACTGTATTCAAAATCCCTTGCATTTAAGCATTTTTTAACATTCCTCACTGACGCAAATTTGACCACAAAAATCCCGGACATGTCCGGGAAAAATCTGGCGTATGGCAACCCTAATTCAAGAAAAATGATGCTTGACGAGTAACATCAAGGCGAGTACTTTTTTCG